CTCTGAATAATTATAAACAAGGTTAGAACCAAAAAAGATATAGAAAGGAAGAAGACAATTAAGTTTCTTTGGTTAGATGAAAATATTCATGAAAAGATACTCACCAGCGGATGAGATTGTATAAGCATCATGATTACCAACCTGTCATAACCTGGTTGTGGTAATTGCTGCAAACTGATTTGGAATTATGGCTATGCAATAGGTGCATAGGAACAGTTGACTATGATTGTGGACCCCAAATTTACCTTTAACTTTTTTTGTAGTTTCTTTTTGGGTGACAATTAACTCCTTGTGTTTCATTAGGCTAAAAAAGGAAAGGGTGGACGACATGGAAGAACAATCAATATTTTCTCTATCGCCTCTGGACACCTGTGAGTTGTCATTTCACTGACTTATGGAAACTCATTCATATGTAATCTTTTATGGCACGTCTTTGTACTAATTTTCTTGCTAATCATTTCCCTTCACACTGTGAAGGGAGAATGCAAAACACCTGGTTGCAGCTGTAGGGTGGGTTCTATCAATAGAAATGTCTTGTTAGATGTTAATGAATGGAAATGTTTGGAGCATGCCGTATGGGAATTTTTTTTTCTTGGGAACTTATGTCAAATTGTAGATCGTTCCTATCATCAGAATTGTGTTTTCAGATGTCAATTGAGGATAAATTAGTGTATGGGAAGATATATTTGGGAACCTGGGTAAACATAGATGAAGACAGTCTGTGATGAAAAAAGATCATCATCATGCATTTTCTGATAAACAAACGTCTGCTAGTGGTTGTTTACTCTGAATTCTGTATGATGATTGATCATGCTTTTCAGTTTTCGGAGTTCCTATATTTTCCGAATACATGATTTCATGTATTTTGAAATATATTTGGTCGCTCCCAAACATTTCCAAATTACTGCTATTTGGCTAGCTCTACTAATGCGCTTGTCAGTTAAACCCTTATCTAATGGTTGGCTTACTACTGTTTTAGTATTTTGAGTGTCATTTTGGACGAACATTATTATTCTCCAAGTTTCATATCTATTTGCTCATGCATACCTTATTCTTATGGATACTTTTATGAAACTCAAGTTTCTGTAGAGTTGAAGAACGTTAATTGTTATGTGCTTTGAAGTTTTGGTATGAGTTAGATGAGGTTAAAGGGAATCATAGATTCTATCCCATGTCTTAGGTTTACATACTTTCAGAACAATCGCAAACAAAAGATTTTATTTTGCCAGTACATACTTTGTAAAGTCCATATTTCTGGAGTACCTGGATTGTAAAATACATGTGTTCTCTAATACATAGTTGCCAAACACCGCCTAGGTATATGTAGGATATCCATCATTTTAGTGAAGCCATCGATCTCATGCGTATGTCACCCATGCATCAACTTGTTCCACTTATATAGTCGCTCACTTTTCGAACACTTGGATTCTTAAAATACATGTGTTCTCTAATACATAGTTATCAAACATCGCATAAGGTACATGTAGGATATCCATCATATTAGTGAAGCCATCGAGCTCATGTGTATGTCACCCATTCATCAACTTGTTCCACTTCTATAGTCGCTCACTTGGGAAGGCTTTCCTGCTTGTTGTAGATATGAACGGTTCCTGAGAATTATGATTTTGAGTGTCTTGAAGAACACTCAACGTCCAGTGAAGTTTTGGTTTATAAAGAACTACCTTTCTCCTCAATTTAAGGTGTTACCTATTCACTTGCATCCTTTCACTTAAGTGCATTTTCCCAAGTTGAAAGTGTTACTTACACGTTCTCTATTGGTAACTTATGAACACCCAGGATGTTATTCCACACATGGCTGAAGAATATGGTTTCGAATATGAGCTGGTTACCTATAAATGGCCCACATGGCTACATAAGCAGAAAGAAAAACAGCGAATCATCTGGGCATATAAGATTTTGTTCCTTGATGTTATCTTCCCTATTTCCTTGGAAAAGGTGATTTGTGTATATTTGTGTACTTCTGTGTTTGGATACCCTTTATTGAGAATTTTGAAGTAACTTGGGTTTGACTTTCATTGCTTTGATTCTCTGTACAGGTTATATTTGTAGATGCAGATCAGATTGTGAGAGCTGACATGGGAGAACTTTATGATATGGACATAAAAGGAAGGCCTCTAGCATATACACCTTTTTGCGACAACAACAAGGACATGGATGGATATAGATTCTGGAGCCAGGTAATTTTGTACTCGAATGTTCATTGTTTTGGAAATTATTTGAATAACCCTGAGAAAATCCTCCTTTGTGTATCTGTTAGTTGTCTCACATCTTGAGAATTGTGATTGAAATCATCTCTTTTGTGTGGAACAGGGGTTTTGGAAAGAGCATTTACGGGGAAGAGCATACCATATCAGGTAGGTGGTTGGTTTGCGTTGGTTCCCTTCAAATGATATGACCACTTCAGGGGAATTGTTTCACTGAACGTGCATTTTCCTGCAGTGCTCTGTACGTCGTTGATCTTGTGAAATTTAGAGAAACGGCTGCTGGTGATAACCTGAGGGTTTTCTATGAAACCCTTAGCAAAGATCCTAACAGTTTGTCCAACCTAGATCAGGTATGGTTATTATCAGCTTGACTTTCCTAATGATTACCAGTTGTGCTTTTGATGCATGCAAAAGCATTGCCTTCCAAGTGGTATAGAACTGTATACTATATGCACTAGAATACATCGCGTCTCCTGGTGCAGTGCAACTTGAGGTTTCCTTTAAGGGTGAATAGTTCATCTAAAAGTTGGTGAAAAGTAATTTATGTTTGAGCTTTTACCTCAACTGAATTTTGAGAAACTAAGATTTTACATGAAATAGATGCTCCTATGCCAACGTAATAATTGAAAATGCCCTCTTCGGCCTTATTTCAGGATCTTCCAAACTACGCTCAGCATACCGTCCCAATCTTTTCTCTACCCCAAGAGTGGCTATGGTGTGAATCATGGTGTGGCAATGCCACCAAATCCAAGGCAAAGACTATTGATCTTTGCAATAACCCGATGACAAAGGAACCCAAGCTCCAGGTCAGCATTCTCATTTTAGCTGCATGCTCCTTGAATACTCCGTATTTGTCTTCTCAATTCCCTTTTTCTGTGTCATCCTTCATATTGCGGTTTTAAGTCTGCCTCCGTTTTAAACTGACTCCGATTTTTTTTTCTTTTCTTCCAGGGTGCAAGGAGAATTGTTCCTGAGTGGGTGGATCTTGACTCGGAAGCAAGAAGATTCACAGCAAAAATCTTGGGAGAAGAATTGGAATCCGAAGAGAAGGTTGTTGCAGCCCCCGTCCAACCCGAGCCACAGAGCTCTCAACCCGAAGTAGACCTGGAATCCAAGGCAGAGTTGTGAAGAGAACATCGAATACTACGTGGGTTCCAGTTTCCAGAACTCTCTGTGGCAAATCGTAATGCACGGAGCTGCAGAAATCAGGGGGCTTGACATTCTTGTTGTATCCACAAAGTGTGATAGCCATACAAGGCCTGGTCTCATAGAATGGTGCTGCCAGAAAGTGCTCCCCAGCTGCAGAAAACATGAGCTCTATACTAAAATACTCCACTCGAGAGAAAAAGAACAGCTTAGTTTTGGGCAGCTGTAGTTTCCATTTTGGCAGCCTTTGTAGTTTAGCAGGCTAAGAATTTTTTTTATGAGATGGGCAGTAGAGAACCATGTGTTCTTCTCTTTTTGTTAATGAATGAGAGCAGTAGCATATTAGTGTTTGAATATTTCCCAACTGTTCATTTTTTATCAGATGATCAAACTTTTGCCTGACATAAAAGCTACCCGAAAGTTTGTCTGATATAATCAATCAGACTATGATGCTCACAGTTCTGTCTACGAGAATGTGCTCAAAGCGAGTCTGGCAGGTTGTGCAAGGCAATTCTATGGATTTAGAAATGATTGATTTCTGGAGTGATTTGAGTGTGACACTTAGTTATATAGTCTTACCTCTAATTTCACCCATTTGGGACTTAAGAGACGATAATTAAAGAAAGACAAGCCACACCATCATGCAAAACACATTACTCATGGGTAGTAAATCATTTTTTTTTTTACCCCAAGTGAACAGTTAAAATACAGATTCAAAGTAGTTTGGAGAAATGAAGGGCATGTTGGAATTGAAAAGCTAAACCACCCCTCTTGAAGAGGTTAAATAATAGGCTTTCTATTTTCTATGCTTTCTTTGGTTCATTTTTTAATATGGCCTTCAGATATGCATATAACAGAGCCAAACCCCACTGCATTTTCACAGTCTGAGATCCAACAAACCCTGGAAATGGAGCCTCAGGTTCTTGCCCATACTGGAATACAGAAATCATCTTCGATGAGGTAATTGTTACTACAATATCACCTAAATAGTTTGTATCATACAATTCCATTTCGATAAAAGATGAAAATGATTACATTTTTATTCGGGCAAATCAAGGGTAAAATTCACTCCAAAAAAATATAAGGAGTAAATTGCACGAAAAGTAGTGGCGGAGCCAAGAATCTGAATGAGCGAGGTTGATTTGAATCGTGATAATTAGGGGAGGGGGGTGTTAAGGCCTTACAGACTACTCTATTTCTTAAATTTATTACGAAATATTCATGTAATTTTACCTATATTTCAAATTTGAGGGGACTATAACCCCTCCTGATTTCTATCTAACTCCTCTGCTGTTTAAAAGTTTGAACTAATATTTAAAAAGATTTACGTTCATGAGCATATATATTACATGGAATTTAGTCCGCGTTATATCAATAAGTATCTCGTTCTTCAAAGAGAGTAAGTATCATGCTCTCATGGAACATTTTATTCCATGAAATAGATCTTTTAAGATCTTCATTCACAGTAATATTTTTCATGTAATTTTTCATAAATCCATGCAAGTAAAATATCATATTTCACTTCAAATCAAGTTTTATTTTTTATTTTTTTTTAATGTTTGACTTCCTCAAATTGGAAAATGATTCGTTTGCTGACCGGAAAAAAACGAAACATCACAGTCCTCTTAGATTCATTCGCCGCTTCTCAGGTTGCCAGGCAAGGTCGCCGTCATCACAGGCGGCGCAAGAGGGATCGGCGCCGGAACGGCCAAGCTCTTCGCCGCCAACGGCGCCCACGTCGTGATCGCCGACGTCCTCGACGACATCGGAGCCGCTCTAGCCGCCTCCATCGGCGGCCGATACATCCACTGCGACGTCACCCTCGAATCCGACGTGGAGGCCGCCGTGAACCTCGCCGTGACCTGGAAGGGCAAAATCGACATCATGTTCAACAACGCCGGGATCCCGGGCCGCGACGGCAGCATCACAAACCTAGATCCCGGCGACACCAATCGAATCCTGGCCGTCAATCTCCAGGGCGTGCTGAACGGGATCAAGCACGCCGCCAGATCCATGATCCGGACGGGCACCCGGGGGTCGATCATCTGCGCGGCGAGCTCCGCGGCGGTGATGGGCGGATTGGGGTCGCACGGCTACACGGCGTCGAAGGGGGCGGTGGTGGCGGCGGCGAGGAGCAGCGCGTGCGAATTGGGGGAGTACGGGATCCGGGTGAATTGCATATCGGCGCACGGGGTGCCGTCGGAGATGCTGGTCGGGGCGTACCGGCGGATTCTGGGGAGGGCGGAGATGGCGGCGGAGGAGGTGGCGGAGATTGTTGGGGAAAGGGGGAGTTTGGTGAAGGGCAGAGGAGGGAAAGTGGAGGATGTTGCATACGGCGCCGTTTTCCTGGCGAGTGAGGAGGAGGCTGGGTTTGTTACTGGGCATAACCTTGTGATTGATGGAGGGTATACTTGTGCTAATGGGAACATGAGCTTCATTTACAGGGAAGATTAATAATTTGATGATTTGAGTAATTGATTCAAGGGTTGATTTAGATTAATGAGAGACATTTTATTATTATCTTGGTAATTGGTATAGTAAGGTATATGGTGCTTCAAGTATGAAATAATGGTAATAAAGGGGTTGGAAACGGGTTTTAATTTCGAAACGTTCGGATCAGGTGTATAATTCAATTTGAGTATCTGTGACTGTATTGTGTGAAAGGTGTAGAACCGTAATGTTGTGTCTGACTGTTGTCGACGAAATTTCTGAGGCGTGGTCTCTCGATCTTTTGTATCAATTCAAAGGTGTGTAGTTCAAATGATTTTTTTTATACAATCCCCCTAATCTCATGGTTGACGCGAATTCTCTTTGTTTGAACTCCAATTTTAAGATTTTTGGAATAGAAAATTAAATTAATAGCACCTACAAAGTGATATTTATTTGTATATAGTTCGACAAATTATTTGAACGGTTTAAGACACATGCTAATCATGATATGCTGGTATACAGTGATAGTACGATAAATATCCTACAATGGTACACCTTACATAACATATATACTGCCACCACGATACAAATCATTAATGGAATAATCGTGCCACCATGGTATAGTTCTATACCGACTATCGTGGTATGAACACATTGTCTAATGACACATACGTTTTTGTTCCAACATATGTGAAACTACATGAAACTCGTCAATCACTCTATTTGCTCTTTCTTGGAGAAAACTTTGAAATTCAAGTCCAAACAAAGAAGATACAAATGGTGATTGAAAACAAAGTGAAAAAAGGGCACAAACAAGAAACCACAATATACTTCAACGAGCAAATTTTCGAATTTGTCAAACTTTGGTGGATCATAACGTTTTTTTTATTTTGCATAATTTTTTTTAGTACTACAACATTTACTAGGAATAAATTTTCAAAAATGAATATTTTTTAATATAAGGGGTTTTGGGAATAACTTTAACTTTAATTTTCACATTTCCACATATATTCTGAAAATATTTCTATTTAGTCCTCGAAAAGTTATGCGAAATGAAATATTTTTTTTGCTACTATCGGATAATCGAGCACAAAGTTAAGATTGTTGGAAGTTTCAAAGGAGTAGTTCGAGTTCATTGAACTCGAACCACTTCAGCCCCACATGGTTCGAGGCTTACATCATCGATCTACGTGTAGATTGAGTAGCTTACACTCGGACCAGTTAGTAGTTCGAGTTCCTTAAACTCGAAACACTCCAAACTTAGGTATTTTGTTTTTATAAATGCGGTAGTTTAGGAAATTTTTTTAATTTTATGTGTATTTGGGGAAAAAGTCTGGGGGCTCTTCATCATCAAAGAGTAGTTTTATAAGTTTAAACGTTTTTTAGGGTAAATTAACTGATGTATGATGAAAATGTTAATTGACAGACAATGGAAGAAAGAACAAGTGAACATGTATGTATGACTAACAAACAAACCTCTGTTCTTGTTTTTTTAAAGGGTGAATGATAGAAAAACAAAGCAAAGCTCATAACAATAGCCATTAACAAGTTACAGCTGAAAACAGACACCCAAAAGAAAACCAGTTGACTTCTTCTTCTTCTACTACTACTCTATATACTATATACCATAATACCAGCTTACTTACTATTTGCCATCAGTCCATCACAGCTCCAGTGCATCATCCTACTAGCTGACTTCTTCTTCTTCTACTACTCTATATACTATATATCATAATATGCATCTGCCAAATTCATTATCAAGAAACTTAGTGCAGAGTACAATACTAAAATTGGCTTGGAAGTTATAATAATGTAAAAGTAATCGAAAAGTTACCATGATTTCAAGGACTCATACTCGATTTCACTGCTTCTTAACTGAACCTCTCCACCCACGCCCAGAACCACCCCTCCTTTCCTGCCGCAGCCACCACCCCTGCCTCCAAAACAGAAGCCATCGCCACACTGGCCGCCGCAACACTAGCCGCCGCCACAGCCAGGCCTGGACTGATCTCCTTCTTCTAGTGGAGCCACGGTTGGCCATGGAACGCCGAAGTGATCTAGTTTTAATCTTGGTATAGCCCTGCAAGATGGCAATTCAAACCAGCATGTCATAATAAAGATAGGGTAACAAACACAGCAGCTACTAGTTAGTAAAGCCAAACCTCTTCATGCTTTGGGTCCTTTGGTTTCAGATGGCGCTTCTCAACATCCCCTTCCTCGGGTGGAAACTGTCCATTTGGGGCAACCAGACTTTCAAAGTAGACAACTTGAGTCAATAGAGTCTCCCTCCAATCCCATGATCATGAGTTCCTGAGCAGCAGAACTCTCGGGATTTTCCACGTTTAATAGGAATTTTCTTTTATGGTTCATATTCCGGATTGGGTTCATCCCTTTAGTAATCGGATGAACGTAGAGATGAAAGTGTAAGAACTCAATTCAATGGTCCCCCCTATGTTTCTAACTTGAGGGGGACCATTGGGTTCTCAATAATCCAAATTCTTTAGCTTTATTCGGATAACTAATAAAATGGATTATCCCTTTCTTCTATTTTAACTATATAAAAAAATTCCATTACACCCTTTTTTCAGCAGGATTCTTTTTTTTTTTAACTCGCTTCATTACTTCAGGCAGAACATTTCTTCCCCCGATAGTCTATATCGATACTTTAAAAATTCGAATTCTACGAAAGAAGAAATTACTGGATTTATTTTTCCTAGATGACATAATCATAATCCATCGTTTCTCTATTTCTGTCGAGTCCATATCATACCAATTTTTCTATACTAATAGAACCTTACGCTATTTTTTTTTAATAGCTCACCAAAGTTTCAATTTTTTAGAAGTTCATTGAAGAGGTTCTATTTGCCCAAAAGATTTCCTTTTCTTTTTTGTTTTTGTTTGTCCACTCCCCTTTTCTACGTATAAAATTTATACGTATAAAATCGAAAGATAAAGATAAAGTTATGATAAACCTTGAAAAAAATAAGAATTAAAAAATAGAAATTAAGATAAGAATAGGAATCTTTAACAAAAAAGATCAGGTATCATTAGTCTTTCGACCCAAGAAAATAAATTTTCCACAACCCCCTCTTGGGTCGAAGACTAGGAAGACGAATAAAATAATACCTCCTAGAATTCCCCCCATTCAGCCCTTATTTTTGCGCTTATTTATCTTATATGGTAATTTTATACTTCGAGTAAAAAAGCTATTGATACATTCTATGCTAGTTAAATCTGACAACGGTCCTATAATCACACTGCTCCAAAAAAATTTCATATTGCCCAATTTTTTTTTGTTATTGAGATCATGGGTTTCAGATGACTTCTCAACATCACCTTCCTCGGGTGGCAACTGCCCATTTGGGGCAACCAGGCTTTCAAAGCAGACAACTGAGTCAATGGAGTCCCCCTCCAATCCCATGATCATGAGTTCCTGAGCAGCAGAACTCTTGGGATTCCCCACGTCACACCAAACAAGCCTATCGCCCGACTCCTGTACAAGTATATCCTGGCCGATCGACGATAATCCTAAATATCTACACACGGGATTGTGATATCCGAACAAATATCAAACCTATCTCGAGGGAAGTGGAACATATAGTGTTCGTCCTCGATCTTAGATTTAACAACGGAATCATTTGCTCCGCCGATTACATCGGCGGACTCAGACAAGAATCTAGTGTCCATGTTCGACCCTCCCAGATCAGCCGCCAAATTTCCGACGAGTGGTTCCTGCAACGGGCTACTCTGTCTCGCTGGTTCCGCTGAAAAGGTCCTTCTGGTCAATCCCGCGACGAGGAGGTCGCACCCTATCTACTTACTGGAGGTAAGTTTTGACGCTAAAGTCAACTTGGAGAATATTCCTAACCACGCTCTCGGATTCGGGTATGATAACTTCAACAAAGACTATAAGTTCGTCAAGATTTCGCAGTTGTTCCACGAACAAACTTAGTATCTCGAATCCGAACTAGTTTTTTATGGAGTTAGGCTGAACAGTCTCTCATTCGCGAATTTCCCTTATGTCCTAGATTCAGTCACAGGTGTGTTTGTGGGTACAGCTATTCGTTGGGTTTGTAGTCGTAGGAGACGTGACAACTGCCCATTTGGGGCAACCAGCCTTTCAAAGCAGACAACCGAGTCAATGGAGTCCCCCTCCAATCCTATGATCATGAGTTCCTGAGCAGCAGAACTCTCGGGATTCTCCACGTCACACTAAACAAGCCTATCGCCCGACTCCTGCACAAGAATATCCTGGCGGTCGACGATAATCCTAAATATCTACACACGGGATTGCGAAAACCGAACAAATATCCAACCTATCTCGAGGGAAGTGGAATAGAGAACATATAGTATTCGTCGAATATCAGAATCTCGTGTGTTGATATGGAGTTCAAAATTCGTGGATACATATGTTCTCTATTCCACTTCCCTCGAGAGAGGTTGGATATTTGTTCGGATATCACAATCATGTGTGGAAATTATGTCTATATAAAAGTTGTATTCCATAAAATTTATGCAAAATAAAAAAAATCCATGCCGTTTGGATTTTGGAGCACAAAGCTATGGTTGTCCAAAGTTTGACGAAATCGGAAAAAGCTGGTTCGGGGTAGCAAATGACAATTTTTGGGACGAAGGCGGGACCAAACCACCTTCGGCAGTCTTCGGCTTGCAAGATCTCAAAAGGTTATGCGGAAGCAAAAAAAAATTCGCGACGATTGGATACCCGAACACAAAGATACATTTGTTTGAAGTTTCCACCTATGTTAGGATTTTTCAAAAAAAAAAAAAAAAACAGAATGCATGGTAGGGGTGCGGTCTGCAACCAAACCGCATGGTGGGGGTGCAGTCTGCATAACCGCCCCCTACCAGTGCTGTTTTCATCGAAAAACGCGCCCTCGGGTGACAGTTTTCGCCTAAACCGCTGGTACAGGTGACGGTTTTGCAGAAAGGGTGCTATTTTTGGAATTTTTAGGAGTTGGGTGCTATTTTTGTAAAAAAAAATTAAACAGTGCTATTTCTGAAAAAATCCCAGGAAAGGGGGAGTTTGGTGAAGGGAAGGGGGGAGGGAAGGTGGAGGATGTTGCATACGGCGCCGTTTTCCTGACGAGTGAGGAGGAGGCTGGGTTTGTTACTGGGCATAACCTTGTGATTGATGGTGGGTATACTTGTGCTAATGGGAACATGAGCTTCATTTACAAAGAGGATTAATTTGGTGATTTGAGTAATTAAATTAAAGTGGTGATTAGGTTAATGAGAGACATTTTAATTGTTATGTTGCTGTGGTAATGTATGGTGTTGGAAGTATGAAATAGTAATGGTAATAAAGGGTTGGAAATGAGTTTTATTTTTGAAGGTTCAGATCAAGTGTACGATTGAATTTTGGGTATTTGTGATCTCATATTTGTGTGAAAAGATGGAATCGTAATGTCGTGTCTAATTGTTGTTGATAGGATTTTGGAGGTGTGATCTCAATCTCAACCCTGTATCACTTTGAAGGTGGAGTTCGAATGATTGTTTTTAACAATTTCTTTTGTTTCTGTACTCCTTAGGGATCTGGGTTCAGTTCTCCTGAACCTCTGTCTTTCCATTTGTTTGTAATTCGCTGCTTTTTGCTTTTATTAATAAAATCACCATTATAAAAAACAATTTCTTACTTTTAGCAATTAACCTATATTTACTTTGTTTGAACTCAAATTTCGAGAATTTCAGCATAGAAAATTACATTAATATTGTCCACAAAGTGGTATTCATTTTTGCATAGTTCGAGAACTTTTTTGCACCTTTTAAGACATATGCTAATCACGAACAACTGGTATACAACGATAGTAAATATACCACAATGGTAACATAATATTTGTACTGTCACCACGACACAAATCATTAATCGTGTCACCATGATATAGTTATATACCGTATATTGTGTTATAAACACATTGTCAAACTACACTGACTTTTTCGTTCTAACATATGTCAAACTACCTATAAAACCTCGTAGAACAACTGTCCGCTTCTTTTTTTTATCGAAAAATCCGAAATACAAGTTCAGACGAAGAAGACACTGAATGTTATTTGAAAAAGAAAAGCTATAACAAAGAACCCCAATCTACTTCAATGAGCATAAAGACAATTGCACAACCATTTTGTATCTTATGTGTAATTTTTCTTCATATATGCACATTGACCCAAATCCAAATGATCCAAAATCCTTTGTTTACAAGAGATAGCCCAATGGCAATTGAGGTAGGTGGGTGTGAAAAGAGAATGGCAGATAGATAGGTATGCTGTGAATAGTGAAGGCATTGATGCAGAAGAAGACATGACATTATAGTTACATGTATGGTCCCATGGGAGATATGGCCTCCATATCATATCCAGGCTTCTTCTTCTTTCCTTCTTGATTGATTCCTAACCTTGACCCAAGAAGTAGTAAAGGAGTGCTCATAGTACACAAATTTGCATGGCCCAAATGAAAACAACTTCCACATCCTCCCACCACAATCTCCTCAATCAATTCCCTCATTCATTTTTGTGATAATAATTCATTCCACTTTAAATTCCATATGGATGACTTAATGGGGAATGAGTCGGCAAACATGCTTATTCTCTTTTTCAAAAAAAAAAAAAAAAAAAATAGAATTTATTTTTATATTTTGGTAATGAATCCAACAGTGATCCAATGTTCATTTAAGTGGAAAAGAAACGGTTGAACGTACATGAATTCAGATTACGTGGTGTGATATCTACTTACCCATGCCATGGCGATTTCTTGGTTCAACAGCTTACCGCACATCTATCAGAACTCATTCTCAAGCGAGCAACAAGACTATAGACCAAATCATGCATCTCAAATGGACAACAGGTTGGTCGAGTGGTAATATCATTGATTTTGAACATAAAGATCCCATATTCAAATTTCTTAAATTGAATCTAATTAAAACCAAATCTATATCGCCCTTATAAAATAAAAATAATAATCATTAGATCTCAAAGCCAATCCAAAATGTTCTTTTTAGAAAATAGCTAGGAATGAATGAATTAGATGGCCAAACTAGCTAGCTAATCTTTTGAAAGACAATGCATGTGGTTTCCCCCAGCTCATTACCATCCATGATGCCAGTTGGTATCTCTTGGTAATAAAAGACTTTGATACCATGTCAAAAATTAATTATATCACTTACTAACACACCTGCTCAAATGAAAGTCAGTCAACCCATAAAGGTTTTTGTTTGCACATGTCCATAATACGAGAGAATACAATGTGTTTTAGATGGGGTCACCGAAATTCGAATGAAAGACCTCTTGATTTGATTAGAGGAAAAATATGATACCATGTGGAGGAACAGTTGGTTCCAATAACATGAGTTGTGAGAGGTTCAAGACTTGATCTAATACACCCTCTTCAAAACACGCGCGCGACTCATCATCTCCCAACAATTCTAATAATTGAAACAATGCATTTGGGCTTATAGCCTTACTGATTTCCACTCTTCTTGTTCCCTTCCTTCCAAAAAACACACACAGTAACAATCAGCTGAGATCTCAGTTTCATGATCACACCCAATTATGAGGAGGGGGAGAAATGAAGATGAAATTCCATCCCTCCTACATTAATGTACAACACATCTCATTTACTGACTGGACCACCACTCCAACCACCATCCGTATATCAGTCATGTCACACTCACAGAGCACAAACGACAGGCAAAATAAAAAGAAGAGATCTCTCTGTTTTCTCTCCTCTCTCACTCTGTTTTTTTTTTTGGGCTCTGTTTTTATATGTGGACAAATTTGCAGATAGGAGATGGAGGATTCGCATCAAACCCACATCACCAATAGCTAGTATACGTACGTACGTACATGGGTTCTCATCATGATCAGAAAAAACAGAGTGGTAGCAGCAGCAGCAGCTTGATGGAGGAAGATCATGGTGACGGTGGGAAAATAAGGAAGATGAAGAACAGGGGAAGCTTGGAAGATGAAGATCATGGAGATTCAGAGCGACGAAGACCACAAGGAGAGGGAGAAGAGGGTGAAGATCTTGGTGAGAGCTCGTCCATTTCACTGTCGGGGCTGTCGAAGATTGTTCTTCCACCACTTGGTGCTTCAGGTCAAATTTACCAGAACCCTCAGGTCTCCAGAGGATGGATCATTTCTCCCATGAATTCCAGATACAGGTATAGGCAGCTCTGATCACTAGCTACTTCTCTTAATACTCTACAGACTCTTCATACCCTCTTCTCCAATTTGTTAAACTAATTCTGTAATGCTAAAAAAGGGGGGGGAAAATTAGTGGAGTGAATTTTTGGCGACGAAATAGACTGTCGCGAAAATCTTTAGCGACTAGCTAGATGGTCGCTGAAGCTTTCTGCAACACCATTCAGCTTTTTGCGACCAAGTTTATAGTCGCCAATGGTGTTTTCTCTTGTAACGATGCATCAATTATTTGTGTATACACATTACATATATGTGACAAGTAATTACTAATAATTAATCTGCCTAGATATATCAAATAACTGACTCATGAATTTAATAATATAATAATTTATCAGACAAATAGCTCATTGTGTGTTTTAATTTTCACTACTTCTATCATAGAGAATTGCTTTTTTACGACTATTAGAGTTTAGGACGAGAATTTTTTTTTTTTTTTGAGAGGATGATGACGAGTTTATATGAAATTACTATCACCTAGATTTAACGATTGTGAATAACATAAGCGCTCAATTTAACAGCGCAAACACGCGTTGATCCGATTGGGTTGTTTCGGATTAGTGTGAATTAATTAAGATGTGTTGTGGGTTGTATGGCTATACGGCAGGTGTTGGGAGACATTCATGGTGTTGCTGGTCGCGTACGTCGCCTGGGTCTATCCCTTCGAAATCGCGTTCCTGAAATCGGCCCCGGCTCCCAGCAAACGGCTCTACGTCGCCGACACGGTGGTTGACCTTTTCTTCGCCGTTGACATCGTCTTGACTTTCTTCCTCGCCTACTTCGACTCTCGGACCCAGCTCCTCGTTCGCGATCCTCGTAAGATCGCCACCAGGTACTTACTCCGACCATTTAAACATATGAAGAAGAAAGAAAAAAAAAACCACGGTAACCATTTTAACACGCGAAATGCATGCCTTAAAAAAACACCATATTAGATAATAAAAAAAATAATAATGATGAAGAAGAAGAAGAACAATATTGATGCAGGTATCTGTCGACGTGGTTCATAATGGACGTGGCATCCACGATTCCTTTCGACTCATTGGGGTATTTATTCACTGGGAAACCCCAATTGGGCATTTCTTATTCTCTTTTGGGATTGCTCCGATTCTGGCGACTCAGACGAGTCAAGCAGTTCTTCACTCGGTACATAAATGCTCTCCCCTTTCCCTCCTTGTCTGTTCATTTTAATGGGCTGGACCGCTACATATTGGGCTAACAAAGCTTATCCGGGCCGGGCTTGGGCTTTACCTTGGCAGGCTGGAAAAGGACATCAGGTTCAGCTACTTCTGGGTCCGCTGCGCCAGACTGTTGGCAGTGACGCTCTTCCTGGTTCATTCTGCTGGCTGCCTCTACTACCTGCTAGCAGATCTCTACCCGCATCAAGGGAAGACATGGGTCGGATCCTTGATCCCAAACTTCAGGGAGACGAGCGTCTGGGTGAGATACATTGCCGCCATGTACTGGTCAATCACCACCATGACCACGGTCGGGTATGGAGATCTGCACGCAGTCAACACCATGGAGATGATCTTCATCATCTTCTACATGCTCTTCAACCTCGGCCTCACTGCCTACATCATTGGCAACATGACCAATCTCGTCGTCGAAGGAACCCGCCGCACAATGGAATTCGTGAGTAGTGCTATCAAACCCTTGATGGAGAATTATAGCATAAGACGTATTGCTTGTTTGATTGATTGCCGAGTGTTGTTGGGTTGGGCAGAGGAATAGCATTGAGGCGGCATCGAATTTCGTGGGCAGGAATCGGCTGCCGCCGAGGTTGAAGGAGCAGATACTGGCTTACATGTGCTTGAAGTTTAAAGCGGAGAGCTTGAACCAGCACCAGCTGATGGAGCAGTTGCCCAAATCGATTTGTAAGAGTATCTGCCAGAGGCTGTTCTTGCCCACTGCTGAGAGGGTGTATCTGTTCAAGGGTGTTTCCAGAGAGATTCTCTTGCACTTGGTAATCAGAAGTTAGTCTTTGCAATTATTTGTCTTTGGTGTGGGGGAGAAATGGTCTGGTGAACCGTGTTATTTTTTTGTTTCAGGTGGCAAAGATGAAAGCTGAGTACATACCACCTAGGGAAGATGTGATCATGCAGAACGAAGCACCGGATGATTTGTACATAATCGTGTCTGGAGAAGTCGAGATAATCGATTGCGATCTGGATAAGGAGCTGGTTGTTGGGAGTTTGCAATGTGGAGAAATGTTTGGAGAAGTTGGAGCTCTTTGTTGCAGGCCTCAGAGCTTCACTTTTCGGGCGAGGACTATTACGCAGCTTTTGAGGCTCAAGACTAGTGCTCTTATTGAAGCAATGCACTCGAGGCAGGAAGATTATGTGGCCATCATCAAGAACTTTCTCCAGGTGAGATTGGAGTTCTGATAGGAGAAAATGTGAGATTTTGATGTGTGACAGTAGTTTCTCATCTTGTGGAGGATGTTTGTTATTCTGTTTGCTATCACCTTGCAGCATCATAGGAAGATTAGAGATTTGAAGATTGGAGATTTTCTGTTTGAGGGTGGAGAAGAAGAGGTTGATAGGAACATGGATTTCAATATGTTGAGTGTAGCGAGCACTGGCAATGCTGCCTTCCTCGAAGAGCTTCTCAAGGCAAGGTTTGATCCTGATATTGGCGACTCCAAAGGCAGAACTCCACTGGTATGTCACTCCTTATCTTTCTTTGTTGAGCTATTTACTTGTAATCAAATGGTTGTTAGGGGATAGAGGGAACATTACCATGCCCTGAGTAATGTTGACATCTTATTTGCATACTTGGCAAATCTTGCAGCACATTGCAGCATCAAAAGGGCATGAAGAATGTGTCTTGGTACTTCTAAGGCATGGATGCAACATTCACTTGAGAGGTAAGAACAATAAAAAGGCTTCAAATCACTCAAAAGGGTATGCTTGTCCCCTGGAAATTGCTCTCCTCCTTCTGTTGTGTTCTTCGGATTCATGTTTTGGAGTGTTTGTTTCCCAATCTCAGATATCAATGGCAATACAGCTCTCTGGGAAGCTCTATCATCAAAACACTCTTCCATCTTCAGGATATTGTACCAATTTGCCATCATGTCAGATCCGAACACCTCAGGGGACCTCTTATGCACCGCAGCAAGGAGAAATGATGTTGCCATGATGAAGGAGCTGCTGAAGCAAGGACTAAATGTGGACTCCAAGGACCGCCAGGGGAGATCAGCAGCACAAATAGCCGTGGCTGAAAACCATGCTGACATGGTGGATTTGCTCGTGATGAATGGGGCTGATGTGTCTAACGAGTCCTCACCAATCAACACTATAAAATCCTCTTCAGAAAGTGCAGATGGAATGCAGCAAAACCAAGAATCGGGTCACAGAATCACAGACATAGATGGTCAGCAAGAAAAGCTGATCAGGAGGCATCATGGAAAAGGAGACTATCGATCGAACTCGCAGCGAGACACTCGTGGTTCTGGTTGTGCAAGAGTGAGCATATATAGAGGCCATCCTGTTGTGAGGAAAGAACTGGGTTGCAGGGAGCCTGGAAGGTTGATTACGCTCCCAAGTTCATTAGAGAAGCTTAAAACCATTGCAGGTATGCATTACCATCTCCTGATGCTGTGAATGTTGCAGAAAGGGCTGTCCTAAACTTTTTTTTTCCATATCTCTTCAGGGGAAAAATTCGGGTTTGATGCAAGAAATGCTGCAGTAACAAATGATGAAGGTTCTGAAATTGACTGTATTGAAGTGATTAGAGATAATGACAAGATTTTCATAGTTGAAGATTCAAGCTGCTGTGGTTGATGATGTATTGTCACCAAATGGGAACAACCCCATATATCATGGAGCTATTTGTCTAGAATTTTCGTATATGAGATGTGTTGTGTACTTGTTTTAATGGTCAATTATGTTGCACATGAAGTGTTGTAATGGCAATAGTAGATCATCCAACATTTTATTGTTGAGGTGAGGTAAATCAACTTTGGGAAAGGGTTAGTGGTAATTGTTTCATCTCAAATAGGCCAAATATGTAAGCTTAGGGCTAGTGTAGTGCTCAATATCTAATCATGTGCTTGTTCAGTTTCGAATGATTTAGTTAAGTTAAAATAATAAAGACACTACGATTTAGTTTGGAAATAATAAGGGAAATGATATGCTACAAAACTCAGAACTGCAAAATCTTGTGTTTTAACACCCTAACACAGATCATATCACTCTGCATCAATTATATGAGGGACTGGTATGATTTGTATAAGAAGTGATAAAACGCAAGTTTTGTACTGTAACTTAGGCATTAAGGCCATTCTAGTCAATGGATACAAGTGGTTAGTGTGGTTTTGTGAGTGGTAGGTCACTTCTCTAATTGGTTGCTTAGAGGATAACTTTTGTTACATGATACATAAATTCAGAACAATTCCTTTATTAGCCTTGTTGATTAATTATAATGTTTGTTTTGTGCTCTAATTATTCCTTGAGTATGTCTAGATTATGCTTTCTATGGCTGTAAAAGTTTGACCACTTTGACTCAGATTGTTCTCCAATCCTTCTCTCTTCTCATTCTTCAATTTTGATTTGGTTCCCCATTCCCAATTGAGTGCCCTCCTTCACCTTCTTTATCTTTTCAACCTTCCTATCCTTTTTGCCCCACCTTCTTCTTCTTCTTCTTCTTCTTCTTCTTCTTCTTCTTCTTCTTCTTCTTCTTCTTAACTCATACTCATATCTCTTGGGCTTTGAAATTACTTCTTCAAATGACATATTGTGATTATTATAATGGGAAGTGGAGTTCCCACTAGAAAATGTTTATACTAAATAGAAGTCATTTAATAAATTTATGTCCAATACTTAAATATTAGTAAAGTTTACTCTTGTTTCTCATGGTGAACTCTTTGTTTAAACATAACAAACGGCTGGGGGCTAATTAATTAGTTCTGATTATAGGGTTCTCTATATTGTAATAAACTATGAAAATTTTTTTGCTACTTTTTGGGATAATTGTGGAAAATGATCCTATAATTTTTGCAACAATCCAAAATTGATACACATAAGTGTAAAATTTTGCAACAAAGTTGTCATTTTGATCCATCTCCATCCAAATAGAGACAATTTTGACCTACCATATCGATAAATCAAAAACACCAAAATCCACCTGAGCATTAGAACCAACCCACAATATGCCTAGGTGAACTATCCCTAAACCCACATTCCATACACATTCAGATGTCAATTGTCATACAAGCATCAAGCAGTATGGTATCGCTCATGACTCCGGTAACCTACTCTCAAATCCTAGTTTTCCAATCTAACAAAGATGCTTCATAACGTGACAAGGATTGATACATGAACCATACGTGACGACAACTATAAGGTTCTTCATCAAGTTGGGAAACACCTGTAAGGCTATATACAAGATTCACATTTATCAATATCCCATTGTGACCGACAGTAAAGAGAAATCGAAGATTCCGCAGTTGTATTCCGTGGTCAGTCACTTGTAACTTATGAGATTCTTCGTCTCAAAAGTTAAAACGAAACCTTGACTACGCCACTGATGACTGAACCAGCAGCCCCTGCATCAACATCTAGGGATGGCAATGGGTCGGGTCGGGGATGGATAGTGCATATCCGTTACCCTACCCAAAGTAGTTCGGGTTTTACCCATGTCCATACCCACATAAGAAACGGGTAGAAAATCCAAACCATGCCCATACCCGTTCGGGTTTCGGGTATCCACGGTTATCCATGGATAATAGTTTTTCTTTATAACTCCAACCAATATGTTAATATTTACACGTATTCTCACGTTACGTAAAACGAAAAGTACGACAATAATTCACTAGAATGAAGAAAATTAATTAAAACAACATAATTTCATTAACAAAATGATATTTATATGCTAAATATAAAGTATGTAAGAGAAAAATATTGATTATTTCTAGACAAAATACATATGCATGTGTATAATCGGGCGGGTTCGGGTTGGATAGTGAGAAAACCATGCCCACCCATTACCCGCAATATTCGGGTTCGGGTTTTACCCGTACCTACTGAAAGTCCTTCGGGTTCGGGTTTTACCCTACCCGATTAGGTCGGATTCGGGCGGATATCCACGGTTACGGATATTTTTGCCATCCCTATCAACATCCAGAGAAACTGGGCAAGCTGGCCATTTGCAAGGTTTGAGGTGTGAGGTCAGCGTGTATGTCAATCTGGCGAAGGAATGGATGGGCAGAATTGGGAAATTATGGGGTCAAATGCAGGTTATAAATGGAAGTTGCTGTAGTTTAAAGGCTCAATAACCATGATTAACTTTGGCAAATTCAAATTAATTAAATTTTTTGTAGGGGGGAAAAGTGAGTGCTGGATTTGCCTGCCCATTACGCAATGATAACAGAAGATTCCTAATCATCCCCTCCACTCTATAGGAGACACCCATTATTGCACCCAACAAACCTCCTCTCCTCAACCCTTTCCCTTTTCCCCACTACACACATAATCACATATTTTCATAAATAATTAAGTTTACATCACTAATTTCTTTTTAAAAAAAATGAAAAAAAAATATTTGTATTAACGATCTGAATACACAAATACAAATAATCGTATGATCAAATACAATCGAAATAAAGAATCAAATCAGACCGACGAACAATACAATAGAAAGAACCTTCTTATCATTGTTAATTTAATTTGATTGTACGAGTTTTTATTTATTTACTTTATCTTGTACAAAGCAAGTTTAGGATAGCGAATATGTCTAGAATATATGCCTCTTTTATGTATATATATGTTACTAAATCTTGAAATGAAGATTTTTTTTTTTTGGGTTGCAATTGCTTTACGAAAAGGTGTCCAATTGTTAATGATTACGGCTGACAATTTATAATTCAATGAGCACAACTGCACAAGAATGATTGTTCTTCCTTCTCCTCCTCCTTTATTTTCTTTTTCTATCAAAGCACAAGAATCATTGTTCGAGAAAATATTACAAATTCTCTTTGACATACGAATAATAAAAAATGTTGACGCCATGAAAAATATGAATAATAAATAATAATAATAATAATGCAAAAGTGACACACATACATATTGCGCAAAAAAACAAGTATTGTAAGACGGTATCGAAAGTGGTACAGAAAAAAATTTGCTATATCGTATTTCATACTTCTAAAACTCTCTTACCAATTTAAATTACACCAACTCGAATCCGCAGATACTAGGGGTGTTCAAACGGTTTGGTTACCATGGTAACCATTTTAACCAGCAGTATTTGGCTAATTTGGTTTGGTTAATTTCAATAATTGGTTTGGTTTGGTTAAAAAAATTAGCTTGTTTGGTTTAAGTGGTCTGGTTTGGTTTCGGGCACTCCTAACCAATCAAACCGAATTAACCAGTTAAGTAATTTGTCATATATCTAATATATATTATATACACATACTTAATACTCTGCATAACCAATCAAGAGTCAAACGTAAGATAATTGTATTTATTACATGTATTTACGTTAAGGGTTAACTATAATTATGTGGATTGTTATGTGTTGTTCATTATATAAATTGCAAATTGATGCGCTAACTGAAAATTTTTCTCACTTAATGATAATGTGGTGTTATATTGGTTATTTTGGTTAACCAGTTAACCAAACCAAATAAACTTTAGTTTGGTTAATTTGGTTGTTGTATTAGTTTGGACGGTTTGGTTATGATATTGTATTCCATGGTTAATAGATTTTAGAATTATTTGGTTTGGTTATTACCATGGTAACCATTTGAACACCCCTAGCAGATACAATACGATTGCACAAACACCCCTCAAGAAATTAAAACACTGCTTTTGAGTGGGATATTTTACGATCGCCTACCAGTTCAAACTATGACAGATAAGAACGCAGTTACAATACGATTTCACAAACCGCTTTTTCCGACTGAGATATTTTAAGTTAGATATTTGCTCTCCCCTTATCATGGTTGTCACGCCGGCCGGCGTGCCACCGGTTGTACCGGGTTCAACCGATACCGGTCATAAAACCGGCGTGACACCACCGGTATGACCGGCATGATCGATATACGAATCTCTAAGTAAAATGACTTTAATTTAGAGAATTTAATTGATAAAAATTCTTTTATTATTTATTTTATGAGTATAAAAGTTAAATATTGATGTTATTTGTTGGATTCAAGTATAAATGTTTAGGTATTGACGTTAAATGTCATGTTTAAATATGAGCATTTAAAATTTTATTTGTAATATTGACCGGCATGAACCGGCACAAACCGGTATGTGCCACCGGTTGAACCATTCCACTTGCTAAACCGGCACACCGGCATAAACCGGTTTGACAACCTTGCCCCTTATTGAGAGTTTCGCAGGTAAAATCAATAGTCCGCCCATATAAATACCACATCAATCTCCATCACCTTTTTTCCTCCTCCTTCCCACAAACACACCCCTTACCTCGCCGCCGGCCGGTTCTTTCTCCCTTCCTCCGATCAATCCCCTCTCTTCTTTCCTTCTCCACCTCCAAACCGCCGTGGCCTCCGCCGGTCAACGACAATGGATCCGTCCCGAGCCACGGCCACTTCCGTCAACGGCTTCTACAACTTCATGGCCAGAGGCCTCAACGACCTAGACCAAACCCTGATCGCCAACTCGTCGCCGGCGGTGCTGACATCATCCCAGTTCCTCCAGAAGGTTCTCTCCTGCCTCCAGTCCTTCCACACGCAGCTCACCATCCTCGTCCAGAAGCTCCACCTCCCCGTCGGCGACAAGTGGCTCGACGAGTACATGGACGAGAGCTCCCGCCTCTGGGAAGCCTGCCACATCATCAAGTCCGGCCTCTCGGGGATCGAGCCCTTCTACACCTCCGGCCTCAACGTCGCCGCCTCCTTCAACCCCCAGCTCTCCCGTCAGGTAAAAAAAAAAAACACAACCTTTCTTTTCCGCAACCAAAACACCCGTCGCTAAAAAGTACGAAACTCGTCGTTAATACTTTTTCGCAACCAAAATGTTTTCCGTCGTTACGAAAAGCCTGAAGTTTGTATCTTTTTTCGCAACCGGGGAAAAAGTACGGAACTGGTCATTAATACTTATCGGCAACCAATGGGAGAAGCGGTCGCTATATCTGTGTTACGAATTCATAAAGTTCGGGCGTATTCTTTTTATTTTTTACTAGTATTAGTCTGCGTCGACGTGAGAATTTGAACACGAGATCTTTTTTTTTCTGCCTGTAGGTGATCCGGGCGATCGTGGGGTGCCAGAGGCAGATGGCGGGGCTGGAGGAGGACAACAGGAGCCTGCTCGAGACGAGGATCAGAGCGCTGACGATCAACGTGGACCGACACCACCACCACCACCACCATCACCGCTACAACCATCAACAGTCACGGATGAGGATGGAGTCGACGAGGATGAGCAACGCGTTCAGCGGGTTTCGAGGAGTCCTGTACGCGATGAGGAGGGCGACGTCGTTGCTGCTGACGATCCTGTTCGGCGGATTGGTGTACTACTCGTGGCCCGAGTACTCGTCGAGCAGCTTCTTCGACCTCGATCAGGACGAAGAAGGCTACTCGACCACCTCGTCGTCCTCCAATCTCGTGGGAGCGATGGCCAGGCTGCATCAAAGGGTTGGAGATGGGATGATGATGATGATGAATGGGAATGGGAATGGGAATGGGAATGGGAATGGTGGGATCATGATGAAGGAGTTTGGGGAGGCAAAGGAGGCATTGGGGGAGCTTAAAGTGGAGCTCGAGAGGGTGGTGGAGTCATCATCGCCATTGACGGAAGAAGAAGGAGTGGTTGGTGGGATTGTTGTGGGGAAAGTGGAGAAAGTGGAGAGGTGTTTTGGGAAGTTGAGGAGTGGGGTGGAGGCCATGATTGGTGGGCTTGATGATTTCTTTGATGAAATAGTTGAAGGGAGGAAGAAGCTTTTGGAGATTTGCAGCCATAGGTAGGGTTTTTTTTTTATTTTTTTTGATTTGGTGTTTGTTGTACCTATTGATCGATCGATGTAGTTTGTTGTGTTCGACTTTCTACTTGCTAATAGCTACTAGTTATTGCTCTTTTTCCCACTACTTATAATTAGGGGCCCCATGTGTAGCCATAGTGGGTAGCTAGTTAGCCTAGAAGATAATGAAAATTTGGAACCCAAAAAAAAAGAAAAAGGAGAGAGAGAGAGAGATTGATTGCTATATATTTGCCATTTTGTAACACATTTTCCTCTTTTAAGAGTTGTTAACTAATTAAGTTTGATGTGTTCATGGTCGTTTTCTATAGGGAAAGTAACATTTTGGTGGCATTAGTAAGGGAGTAGTGGTATGCAACCATGCGTGAGCACTAAGCACAACCATTTAGTGAATATAGAATGCAATGTTTCTTGATGGGGACTGAAATGTTGATTGCGGATCGATTGGAATATCTGATATATGCATTTACGAAGTAGTGATATGAGCTGCGGTATGTCAAGTTGAGTATGGAGTTACCTTGCATAAGCTCGGAGTTCAAAAAGTGTAAAGCTTTGCTTGTTTAAAAGGAACGATGATTTCTTTTTCTTTTGAATGGCAAACATAGAACGTTTCTGAAAGTACAAAATATGATCCAGTATATTTTGGGTGTGTATATAATCCCTAGTAAAAATCAAGCAATTATCTTAGGAAAAAAAATTATCGAACCAAGATCCAAGAACCAATTTTATTGCTACATATTTGCCATTTTGTAACACATCTCCTTCTTTTTCTTTCTTTTACGAGTTAATTCAATTTTAAATGTTCATGGTTGTTTTCAATAGGGAAAGTAACATTTTGGTTTCATTAGAGTAGTGAGTAGCGAAAAATCATAAGAAATTACAACTCCAAAAATCATAAGAAATTTCTTGTTCAGAGATGATCTCTGATGTAATGGAACGATGACTTCTCTTTTCTTTTGAATCCAGAATATAGAACATGTTAAAAGTACAACACATCATCTCGTATATTTTGGCAATTGTCTCTTCGAACTACCTCGATATTGTCTCTTCTTTCCTAGTTGTTGTCATGGTAATCTTCGTTGTAGCGAAAAATGATGCATTATTTGAGAATGTAATGGAACGATGACTTCTCTTTTCTTTTGAATCCAGAATATAGAACATGTTAAAAGTACAACACATCATCTCGTATATTTTGGCAATTGTCTCTTCGAACTACCTCGATATTGTCTCTTCTTTCCTAGTTGTTGTCATGGTAATCTTCGTTGTAGCGAAAAATGATGCATTATTTGAGAATGTCCGGTATTTCTTCTGGTTGGCGCTTGATATATATCATATATAAGGATACAATTCATTCTACTGTCAATAACAAACAAATTGAAGGAAAAGATATCAATATCATTACTCATGAAAATGATTGCTCTGTGGCAAGCTATAGGCTACAGCTCAAGAAAACCAAATAATTTCCATCATTAATTTTTCACAGAGAAGCCAATAAATATCGGGAGAAAAGGAAACAAAGGTAAAGCTGCATTAACATAATTTCAAAGGGGGAAAAAAAGGCTGCATTGCATTAACATGATTATTATTATTCGTTTTGCCAGCTAGCCATATAAGTGTCTAGTGTGATTTAAGAGATAGAAGCCAAAACAAATTTCAACTTCGAATATGATGTTATAATTGCCATTGGTAAGGAGTGTATAATATGTTACTGTAGTTCTTACATAATTAAAAAATACCATTTACAAATTTTGATTTCCAATTTGTAAATTTTAAGTTCCATTTGTGGATGTTTACAAATGTTTTAACGTACAATGTAGAATGTACTAAGTTATTTGTCAAGATTTATATGGATCTTTCATTTGGATGCATTATTTCATATTTATGGTACTTTAGTATACAATGATGCATTATTTATGAATATGGTATTTCCGAGTTATTTTGAATAATTATTCCCCTTACGGTGGTTTTCCTGGATAATCCTATTCCTTTTACGTAATTTCAGAGCACTCGCTACAATAAACTATTTGTTAATTAATCATATACAACACGACAATGACATATGTTGTGTGCACCCATAAATGACGGTGTATTATATATAGACCTATCCTCATCTGTTAATGGATCGGCATTGTAAGCATTTTACCTTTTTTCGTCGTCCACAAAACCAGAAAATTGACATCCAAATAACGAAACAATGCAAGCATCGCGCTTATAAACTCACTCTTTCATTAACACTCTTATATTTTCATTGACCGAGCATTGTTTTCACACGTTCGAAACTACCTCGATTCCCTCGAACCAAACTCTATTTTGTATGTTTTTTTTATTATTATTGAGGAAACCAATCATGAAGGGTTGGGTGATACGTAGAAGAAGCCAGTGGATGAAGACCTGAAACCATGTCCACAAAACCAGGCCTTCTTCTTCTTCTTCCCCTTTAGATCTCCTGTTGTTGAAAGCAGCAAATATGGAGGAAAGGGAAAGGCAAAGGGGGACTGAAACCAGAAGCAGCAAAAGAAAGTTTGGTTGGTTGGTTGGTTGGGTTATTCTGAAGGAAAAAAGAGAAATCTGTGTCACCCATCTTTGAGACAGCCTCAAAACGATTGCATGGGAAGGTTGCCCTTTTCTCACCAATAGTCAGTAGGTACTATGATTATACTCCACCACTACTCACTACTAAAGGAATGAATATATATTATTATTATACATTATTATTGATACATTGAACCCCAAAAAAGGGGGGAAAGAAAGAAATTGGCTTGAACATCATAGTTTGTGTTTGTCTAGGATTTGAGGCTTCGAATGTAGACCTCAAATGTGGAAAAAAAGAGCCACATGGGTGTTAAAATATCGAGTATTTAAGTGCATGACACAAATATTGTTTTTTTTTTTAATTTACCACCAATATGGCGGATTAAGAAGTATTTACAGAGATATTGTGTTTTGGACACACAAAATGGCGACAACACCTGGGACTTAGGCGCCGCCGCTCTGGATGATATTTTGGATTAAGAGACAGCGGCGGCGCCGAAGAGTCAGGCGGCAGCGCCGGTAAGTCCAGCGAGTTAGGTAAGAAACTGTCCCAGGTGGCGGCGCCCGAGACTAGAGTGGCGGCGCCTGAGTCATCAGCGAGTTAGGTAGCCTCCCCCCTATATAAACCCAGCCAATTTCATTTCAGTTTCACACCACAAAAAAATCGTTCAAAACAAAGGAGCTTTGGAGCTCTGGTTGCTGCTGCAAAAATGGCTAATAGGTAAGAGACGCATTTATTTTTGTAATTATATTATTCAAATGTTATTATGATTGTGTTTAGTTTTAATTAGTGAGTCTGTTTTTTTGTAGTGATTTTAGAAGATTTGAACTAGTCGTTCGATGGAAATCGGAGAAAGTAGAAGATAATTTGGGCGTCAAATTCGTTGGTGGTAGTAGTTTTCAGATGACGATTCCATCCAGGGTCACATATCATTATCTTTGTGAGAATCTAATTCCGAGAATACGGCGTAGAGACGAAGCAGTACAAGATAGTGATGTGATCACAAGTTTCATTTACCGTCTTCCAGAATGGCAGAATGGTGTTTTATTTCATTATGCAATGCCTATTGTGGATGATGATAGCTTGAATGTGCTTTGGAATTTTATGGCACAAAATCCTTATTGTTTGGGTGCTGAGATACATGTTGAGCTCAGTGAGGATCAGGGTGGAGAGGTAGAAGATGATACATGGAGCGTGCCATCCGATCATGCCTATGGTGACGGTGATGACGGAGAGGAGGAAGATGAGGAGGAGGAGGAGGAGGAAGAGGGGGAAGAAGTGCCTAATTATCCTCCATATTTTTACTTGCAGGGTAATGAAGAGGACGAAGAATACTCACTTGTTGATTCATATGGCGTAATTCCAATGCATATTGTTGATAGTTTTGAAGGAGAATTCTACAAGGGGCAGATATTTCACTCGAAACAAGTTGCACAGATGGCGATTAAACACCACGCACTACAACGCAACTTTCAATATGGCGTGGTGGAGTCGTCACCTTCAATCTGGAAGGTCAGATGCTTGAGGCACAAGGATGACAATTGTCCTTGGATGGTGCGGTTTGGATGTCGAGATGCTGGAGGCGAATGGACTGTGAGAAAGGCTGAGTTGGTGCATTCTTGTAGCAGTACGACTCAACCGACGGATCATCGCCATCTTGATGTCGACATGATATCTGAGGCCGTCAAACATTTGGTACGTGCCCAACCAAATCTGAGTGTTCTAACTGTGCAAGCTGAGTTGAAAGATAAGTTTAATATGCAAGTTACTTACAAGAAGGCTTGGTATGGGAAACAAAGAGCATTGGAGAAGTTGCATGGAAATTGGGAAGAATCCTACGATTTTTTGCAGACATTCTTGCGGGTAGTCAAGAGAAAAATGCCAACATCGGTGATTGATTGGGTAAGAGTTCCTTCGACTCAACCAGGTCATTTGATATTTCAGCGAGTATTCTGGGCTTATGGACCTTGTATAGATGGATTCAAGAATTGTCCGGGCGTCATGGTTGTTGATGGAACATTTCTTACTGGGAAGTATAAAGGAGTGCTACTCATGGCGAGCTCATTTGATGGTCGGAAGAAAATTTTTCCAATTGCATTTGCCATAGTGGAGAGCGAGAATACTGAGAGTTGGCCATGGTTCATAAGGAACGTTCAGGGTTTGACTGATCGAAATGATGTATGCATCATCTCAGATAGACATGCAGGACTCTATGAAGCCATGAATAACATCGGAAGAGGTTGGGAGTGGAGGTGGTGCATGCGACACTATGCAAGCAATTTGCAAAGGAAGACTAAAAGCAGAATTATGTATAAGCAACTATTTCGAGTCGGTAAGCATTCTTCATTTAATTATGTTATTTATTTTCATGTAATTTTGTCATGAATTTATCTAACCCGTGTGGTTGTTTATTTTGTTAGCTGGAGAAAAACGGTTGGAGAAGTTCGATCGTCAAGTTGAGCAATTTAAGAAGGTGGCCAGTGGTTCCGCCTCCCCTCGTAGTATGCTGCGGTGTATGGAAGCTATCCTCTGCCTGATAGAAGCTCGAAGACGCCTCTGTCTGAAACTGCTGCCGTCGCGGTGGCTGAAAGCTCGAAGACGGATCTGACTGAAACTGCGTGCGTCGCGGCGGCTCAAAGCTCGAAGACGGATCTGACTGAAACTGCGACCGAAGAGGATTAAACTGGAAGCTCCTCGTAGTAGGCCGGATGGGCTGTGCTCGCTGTCGATCTGTAACCCGAAATGGGTTAGGTACATCTCGATGCTCACGTCGCTGTCTACGTGGCCTACGCTCCTGTCTGAACTGTGGCTCTGGGGCGACCCAGTCCGGTGTCGGATCAGTACGCTCTGGCCAGGCAGTCATGACAGGCTCCGCATAATGGGGCTGTACAGGTACTGTGAGATCAGGGTATCTACGCTGCTCAAACCCTAGAGTAGCAACCCCGGATGCCATAAAGTCGGCCAAGTCCTCACACTGGTCAGGGGTCAGTCCTCCAGCCCTCCCACCGTCACGCAAACTCACCTCAGCATGCTCGATAGTGTCGTACTAAAAAACACCAACAAAATGTCAGATATTTCACACAGTTCACACAGTTAACAACAAAGTAAGCAAACAAATCAATCAAACAAATCAAAAAACTAACCAATGCCTCCGCTACAGCTCCTCTCCGTGTGCCGGAACGTCTGGTGACATCTCTATACCACTCCATATGCTCCGAGTGGTAGACTAACTCCTCATCAGTGTATGAAGATGTCGCTACAAACTCGTGTCGACGGTTCCAGAAATCAAGCGACTCTCTGGAGGCGTGTACCAACTGCTGTCCACGCGATGGCCCACGAGTAGCCTGGCGAAGAAAAAACCTAACCTCAGCCTCAGGATGTGGCTGATGAGGCTCATGCTGCCTCATGCCAAACTGCCGGAGCACGCGGTCTGGATGATGCCACATCACCGATGAAAAGCAGATAAGTGGCACTACTGCTCGAAATGTCTCAGACTGTATCACACTACCTCTGAGATGAAGTGCTCTCTCACGGTAAGGTTGCCACTACATAGCAAAAATTTAACGTTATTATCCCTAATTCTAAAAAAATAAAACAAATGAAAACTATTCTATAAAATGGAATGTTATATACTAACCACCACGGTGTCCATCGCGTCTAACCACAGCTTGTACTGGAATAGCTGGTCACCATACTGACGACTGCTGGCCGAAAGCCATCGAAGACCACGTGGATGTGCATCCTCGGTGGCCTGTGCCCTCGTCTCTGAATCTCGAGGAGCTAGATGTGGGAATCGCTCCCACGCCCAGAACTGCAGTAGGGCGACCCATCCACCAAGGTCACCGGCTAGAGAAGTGCCGGTATGCGAAATGTGCAAAGACGACCTACCCATCTCACGGTACAGGTAGGATAAAACAGCAGCTCCCCAGGCGAACCCTCCAGCCCTCTCCCAATCCTCAATCAGAAGTAGGTATTGTAGGTGCACCGTAGATCCAGACCGATCCGGGAAAAGTACACCTCCAATCAGAGATAGAGCATAAGCTCGTGCAAACTGCTCTATAACCTCCTGTGATGCATCATCCGGCAGATGGCTGAATTCAACCCTCAGCCATGTAATCCTAACAACAGCGACCCCGCCTACAAGATCATAAGGAACCCGTCCTAACAGTCGCAAACAGATCGCCGACCACTCCTCATCCGGTATATCAACTACGACGGCATCACCGTCGATCGCCAAACCGGACAGTGTAACAACGTCCTCTAACGTGATCGTGACCTCACCACACGGTAGATGGAAGGTCGACGTCTCGGGTCGCCACCGCTCTACGAGTGCAGTAATCAAACTCGCATCGGGGTTCATAGGGACTAGGGGCACGACACTTAACAAGCCTGCCGCTTCGAGATATGGCCGATAAAGCTCACGGTAAGGTACTAAAATGGTCGTACCTCGAACATGGAAAGATCGATCACCAGCCTATATAGTGCACAAAACTTATATTAATTTATCTTCATTCGTAATAATTCTAATTTCACCTAATTAATTCTAATCTATCTAATCTAATATCAAATTATACTAATTTCAAAAAATCTAATACGTAATCCTATTCTCTAACAGTACAGTTCAGTTCACCAACTAAAATAATCTAATTAGCTAATTAACTTTACATGAACAATTATTAAATACTTACCTCGTTTGTCCAAACAGAGTCAATACGATGTTGGCCATGTCCCCAAAGAAGTGTCGCATCGACCGGACTTGGATCAATTGTCGCCGGCGGTAATCTCATCGAATAAGGATCCATAAGCCTAGGAACTGCAAAAACAAACAACAAAACATCAATAAAAAAACACAAACCATTAAAAAAAAAATTCAAGCCGCCGACGAGAGTCTCACCGCGCAAACGGCTGCCACGACCTCGCCGGCCTCTCCCCCTGCCTCTGCCGGCGGCTTCTTCGTCGGAAGACATCAGCGGCGGCGCTTCAGACTGCAGCGGCGGCTCCCCTCTCTGCGGCGGCGGCGCTCAATCCCCAGCGGCGGCGCTCCCAACTGCGGCGAGGGCGCTCGACTCCCCAGCGGCGGCGCTCCCTTCGACGGCGGCGGCGCTTCACTTGCAGGCGGCGGCGCTCCACTCGCAGGCGCCGGCACCTCAGTTGCGGCGGGGATCTCTGTTCGGGCAGAAAGAAAGAAGAAGAAGAGGAGGGTTTTGGGGGGGGGGGGGGTTGTGTGGTCTCGGGAAGAAGGAGGGGAGGAGAGTTGTGTGGCTGGGAAAAGAGATAAGGGTGGAGGGGAGGGGGGGGGGCCCGAGCCCGAGGGAAATTTTAAAAAAACATAGTTTGAGGCGGCGGCGCTGGGGACTTGGGCGCCAGCGCCCGGAACTTTAGGTTCGGCGGCGGCGCCTGAGTCTCCGGTGTGGCCGCTAAAGCCTTTTCCAAAAACACAATATCTGTGTCATTTGTTTTTAATCCGCCATATTGGTGGTAAATTAAAAAAAAACAATATTTATGTCATTAACCCTTAGAAATGCGAGTTGAAAAACTAAATCCGTAGCAGGTCAGGATATTGGACTGAATGCATGAGATTCAATCACCAAAGATGTCGAGATCGGCTCACGAATACTCCGTTGTGATGATGATGATGATGTCTAAAAATAAGAGTGTGAAGGGGTATACGAGGGGACTGGATATGGGTCAAAAATCATATATCATGAATTTGTTAAGTAAGTGTCTGGCTGACTAAAATCAAGCATTGAGTTTATAAATCCACTACGAGCGACGGAAATGTGTAGTAAAAATTATCAATATTTGAAAATAATGCATAAAAAGTGAAATAATAGAAGTAATCGATCTGAAAAGTGCGTTAGTTAAATGTTTAAAAACCTAACAACAAATTAATCCAACTTCACATCCACGATGGCTACAGCCTACAGGATGGTACCGCATCACATCTAACACTTCAACACGGATGACTCCTTCGCTCTAGACACAGTGACTTAAACAACATTTCTTATGCGCGCGGACAAGTAATTAAAATTCGGGAACTCTCTCTTCTCTCCCCGACTTCAAAATACCTATTAATCTTCCCTCTCTAGCTAGGACCATGCTAGCTCCCTCAGCTTTCTGCTAGTAGTTACAATCTAACTAGCTAGGGCACTTAGTTCCCTTCATATTAAAATCCTTCCTTTTTCCCCTCTTTCTTTTGACTCTATAATTACATGCTGGTTGCTGGATAGGAACAGCTAGCAGCCTCCACCAGGATCCTCGAACCAAAAAAGAAGCAAATCAGAAGTAAAAAGGGGGAGGGCTCAAAAATACCCACACATTGCAAAAAGTTGTTAATTCAAAGCTTAAAAGATCAAGCTACTCGTTCATAGTTGTTGTTTGCTAGCTAAGTAGCTACCCTACTTCTTTTCCTGCTTTTCTCCTCCCTTTTGCCTTTTTTGTGAGGCTTAAAAAAGAAGAAGAAGAAAAAAGGAACAAACTGAAAAGAAACAATGAATTATTAACATTATGGATGGTAAGGCGACGACTTTTATAACGAAAGTTACCGTCGTACTTCATCATTCAAATGTTTATACGATATGATCGAACGTCACCTAAGCAACTGGCAAACTGGAATTGCAAGGCCAAGGTCGTGCTCTTGTAAGAGATCTCATGCCACCATAGGAAGACTCTTTGACTAGTATATAAGAGAAGGAAGTTAATAATGGCTAATCATTTTATTTGCGAAATGCTATTATTGTTGTTGTTGTTATAATGATGGAAGAAGGAGAAGAACCACTACTACTGCCTACTGGGAGAAGAGAGAAGAGATGGTTTTGGGAGGACAATGTGGCCATCATCAAGATTCCCTATTGAGTTCTTTTCCAACTGTTGCCCTAGCACTCTTTTTCCCCCTTAGAGCCCCTCACTCATCATTAGCATCTTCAAAACTTTGTTGCTATTACTTCCTCCTTAGTTTAGGGTCTGTTTCCCTTTGTCCGACTTAGGACGAGAAATCGAATCAGAAGATGTGACGCTTATAGAGTTCATATCGATTACGACGCACCATAGAGCAATGAAGCTGAGAGTGACGATGCTTGACAGCTAATTAAATGAGGTGGATTCCGTTCTCCTGCGTTACCTCTTTCCCAAGTAAACTTATATCCGTCCTTGCCACCTGATCAAGGATCCCGCCTTTCACTAAATAAATCCTTCTGTTTTCACATCTTTATACCAAAATTTCTATCTACAATCAATTTTGAGTATACTGCACTTACCAGAGACTTAACAGAAACCTATAGACACCACCCAACAGATCAAAACCCTCAACACCAAGAGAAATGAAGCAACAATAACTGCGCTATGAATGTGAATAATGCTCACTCGGCGGGGTTCAAACGAGCAGTGAAATCCGCAATGTGGCTTCAAGATGCTGGCCGAAGAGCTGCAGAAGAGAACAGGCCAGGCGTTACCAGATTTATGGTTGATGATGCTTTGTAGCAGTTCAGACTTCAGAGACGCATCATAATTTCTTCAGATTCACACATCTAAACCGGGCAAAGCAAACTGAGTTGCAAAGCTCTCGACTTGGTTCCGGACCTCGGCAAGGTCCTTGCTGCTCTGCAGAGCTTCCAGGAAAGCCTTTGGGGACTTGCCATGTTCACGCTGTAACATGCTCGCGATCTGTGCAACCCTCAGTAGAAAATCAGCCATCGTCTCAAAGTCTGGTTCCAGGCAACCTCTAGATGTCATAGCAGGTGTACCTAAACGATAGTAACCAAGTAAAAATTTGATTAGCTGATCTAACCACTGCCTAAAAGATAACAACGTGTGGAAGAAAGGGCAGGGAAAATGAGGAAATAACTCACCAATCCTTACGCCACCAGGAGTAATGGTGCCATTATCACCAAAGATTGCAATTTTATTCACAGTAATGTGGCACATCTCGCAGACCTTCTCATATGTTTTACCTGTAACCAAGCGATAATAAGTAACCGTTAGCCATACACCAAAACTGAAGGAGATTGATCAGTGCCAGAGATGTTAGCTTACTAATGAGAGAAAACAGAGAAGTTTGGTGGTCATTCAAGAGATTCTGGGTAGGCACAAGTAATATCATCGCATTACTCTCCAATCCACTCACAGTTATCAGCAATATCCAACTCCAGCACACTTCTTAATGACAGAAACACAAATACAAACTGGACACTACAATCTAATGGATATATGCTAAAGTGGAGCACAACGAATTTGGTAATTAACAAACTTCATCAAAAAGCACAAATCCAAAATAATAAACAGGAATCACAACATCCATTGGAGAGAACTTATACCTGTTAGTCCCAGTGGCCTCAGATCCCAAAGTAACAGATGGTTGTCCGTGCCTCCAGTTACCAGACGGCATCTTCTTCTCAACAATGCATTGGCTAAAGCCTGTGAATTACGCTTCACCTGATGCATATACGCCTTGTATTCAGGAGTAGCAACTTGCTTTAAGGCAATGGCAAGAGCGGCTATGTGGTTGTTGTGAGGTCCACCTTGCAATGATGGAAATACAGCAAAGTTGATCTTCTCCTCGAAATCATACTGCTCACTTTCATTGCCCTGGCTTAAAAGCATTCCTCTTTTCCTCGGCTTCGCACCCTTCCTATAGAAAATTATGCCTCCCCTTGGTCCACGCAAGCTTTTATGAGTTGTTGAGGTAACAATATCACAGTAATCAAAAGGATTGACACATTCCTGAATGAAACACACAACATAGTGAGTGGCATAGCACAGCCTCTTCAAGCAATCAATTCCAAACCACATTCATGACAAAATCTTTCCATGCAGTGTGTGTTCTCATCTAACCAAAATGAATGAATTACTTTGCTAGCAAAATTGGATCACAAACAGTAACTAACAAAAGAAGAAAGACAACACTCAAGCAATTGCAGAGAATCATAATTCACACCTTACTCGCAACAAGGCCGCTAATTTGAGCCATATCACACAAAAGAACAGCACCACACTTATCCGCAATCTGCCTGAACCTCGCATAATCCCACTCCCTGGGGTACGAGCTTCCACCACATATGAGAATCTTGGGCCTGAAATCAAGCGCCCTTTCTTCCAGCTTATCGAAATCAACGTAACCAGTTTGTGGGTTCACCTTATACGACAAACTCTCGAAGAAAATGGAGGCACCAGACACTTTCCTACCACTCGGCATATAACAACCATGGCTAGTATTACCTCCAGAAGGGGTGTCCAGACCCATGATTCTGTCTCCAGGCAACAACAACCCTGTATACACAGCGAAATTAGCCGAAGTACAAGAGTATGGCTGGACATTAACACCCCAATTCTCCGAATCCAACCCGAAAGCATCCAGCGCCCGCTTGCAACACAGGGTTTCAATCTCGTCAATGTACTGATTCCCACCATAGTAACGCGCCCCCGGCATCCCTTCCGAATACTTGTTGGTCAGATGACTCCCGAGCGCTTCCATCACAGCTCTACACACGAAATTCTCCGAAGCGATCAGCTCAATCCCTTTGAACTGCCTCTCTTTCTCCTTGCCCATAATCTCAAACAGCTCCGGATCTGCCTCGCTAATCGACTGGTTCCCCCAAGCCTTCACCGAGTTCCGCCGCTCCTTAACATCCGTCTCGCTCGCCGCTGCCACCACGGCTGCCCTCTTTCCAGGACTGCACTGGATTTCGGAATCGGAGCGGCGCCGCTTGAAGCACATCGAATGACCTAGAATTCGAAACTCCCTCTCGTCCTCCTCGTCCCCCGGGTCGCGATTCAGCTCCACGGCGGAACCGTTCTGGTGGAGGAGACCACCGCCGCGGGGGTAATTCTCGTTGATGGACTCCAGCAGCCGGAGCGGGAGCGACGACGTGGACGACGGATGGACGGAGACGGCCGAAGAGGCGGAAGAGGTCTCACGGAGCGAGATGGAATCGTCGGAAATCTGGGAGCGGTGGGTAGCAGCAGGGGAGACGCTGGGGACCAAGCCCAGAGACAAGTTGGATTCCATCATCAACAGCAACAGCAGCAGCAGCGGGTGTCAAAACAGGAGCAGGAGGAGGGAGAGAGATCGAGAGATGCGAAGCAGCAGAGAGGTGGAGAGGATAGTGGCATAGAAGATGGTCGGACCGGCGACTGAAGAAAAGGAACGGCGAGAAGTCCGACCAAAGAGCAGAGTAGGAAGAGGGGAATTGGGGTTTGGGGTGGAATGGTATTGCGAGGCTTAGCGTAGGAGATGGTTGACGGAGAATCCAGGAAGGAGAAGGGGTGCGTTGGAATGAATTCAGTGAACCTGGACGAAATTCAGGATATTTTTCCATTTTTGGCTTCATTTTATTTTTATTTTTCGGTTGGGCCTTGGTTGGATTATATTTTTGGGCTTTCCTGGATGGTTGGACAATCGCTTGGGCTGGCTGTCAAGTTTGTTACTTGGATCCTAAGATTACTTCGTTATTGGGCTGAATAGCTCTCTATCTTTCAAGAAGAGCAATTAGGGATAAGGAAAATGTGAGCTTTGGTTGGAGTTTAGCTTAGGATTTGTTCATTCCACTACTCATGGATGGGAAAAGGATACATGAGTAAGCCTAAAATGGTTAAGTTGGTATGATTGGTCATATTTATTTCTTAAAATAGGGAAGAGAGGCAAAGATGGGGAAGGGTTGGGGGATGACGACATGTTTCGTAATGATTTATCGGTGACGAAGATGAGAAAAAATTGAAGGTAAAACTTGTTGTTGTCATTGTGTTTGCTATTTATTATTGCCGAAGATCAGTTGAGTTGATGGGATAAGAAAGCGGAAAAAGTTTGGAAGGTAGTTTGGTCGCTCGAGGAGTTTAGAGAAATTCATAAATGAGGGCAAATTAAGATTAAATAACACTCATGATAGTCTGGTCGCTCGACATGTTTCAAATATACGTTCCCCATGAATCGGGTACCTCCATCTCTTTCGTACCAAACACTGAATTTGGGACGAATCCCACTCAAATAGGATTTGATAAGGTTAAGTCCCTAACCCAAACTCCACCATCAAAATTACTCTTTCAGTTGTAAAGAACCCAATGGTGAATAAATACTTGGATTAATAGCTTATAATTACACAATTCATTCCTCGTAATTCGTCATCAACGACCTGTATCATTTTAGCGTAGTTAATTAATCAAGCATCTTTCGAGAGGATCTGTAAATATAATTTATTTATTTGTTGCAGCCGAAAGGATCTGCTAATGAGGTCATGAGAGCAAAGTGAACACAGATTACTATAATCAAGTTCCCCATTTGTCCAACGCATTATTAATTAGAGAAGTCTAATTAGTAATTAGCCAAACATCCACCCGCTTAACCGCCAGGCCGCCTGTATTTGATTGATCCCCGTTCCTCATGTCGCCATTCTCATATCAAAAGACAAAACCTTGGTATTATTCCCAAATCCCAACTTATTGGAGAACAAATATTAACGCAAGAGTCAAACCGGCACACACACACATGCAAAACATCGCCTCTTCCTGTCAACGGTGGAATCTACCCTTGTCTCATTAGATTCCCCTACGCCATTCAAATACAGTACTTTCCCAACAACAATTACAATCCCAAAAAACAGAAAGAGAAAAAAAAATTTAACACAAAGAATGAGCAGCTCGAACCCACTTCCATGGCTGAGCCTGGTGGCCGTGATCTGGCTCCAGGCCGTGATCGGAACCAACACCAACTTCGCCGCCTACTCCTCCCAGCTCAAGCAGTACCTCTCCCTCTCCCAGCTCCAGCTCAACTCCCTCGCCTTCGCCTCCGACGCCGGCAAGCTCTTCGGCTGGGTCTCCGGCCTAGCCGCGGCTCACATCCCGCTCTGGCTCGTCCTCGTCATCGGCTCCACCCTCGGCTTCGTCAGCTACGGCTTGCAGTTCCTCTCCATCACCACCACATCCGAAACGTCGTCGTTTCTCCGCTCCTACCCGGTCATGTTCCTCCTCAACACCGTGGCCGGGAACAGCATCTGCTGGGTCAACACCGTCTGCTATATCGTCGTCACCCGCAACTTCCCACTTGACCAGCAGGTAGTCAAAGTCGCAGAACTCACGTTTTTACGTTTCTAATTCACCGAATCGCTTCTACGTGGAAAAAACGCAGTTTTTATAGCTAATGTAGTTAAAAATACGCTAAAAAATTTACGATTTTACGCTTCTAGATTTCTACGTAGATCGCCTTTGAACTACATTAGCAGGTCGTCTTGAGAATGAATAGTTTTGAAAAACTATTTTGACTTAATTTTCCATTATCTTTTCTTCCAAATATGAAAAATATGAAGTACTACTAGTCTACTCTAACCTAATTTTTTCTGTTCGTTTTCTAACACAGGTCGCTGTGGGTATCACCACCAGCTACCAGGGTCTGACCATGAAGATCTACGCCGTGGTAGTCGACGAGCTCTTCGCCTCGTGGTCCTCCGCCGCCGACAGGTCGTACCTCCTCCTCGACGCCCTCTTCCCTCTCCTCGTCTCCGCGCTGTCGCTCGTCCTCATGGCGAGCGACTTCTCCTCCTCTTCCCCGCCCTCGGCGGGGAAGGGGAGCGGAGGCGGCGGCGAGGTGGTACTGCAACGGTGTCGTCGCAACGGGTTCCTGATGCTGTTCATTATCACGACGGTGACCGGAGTGTACGCGGTGATGAGCAGCGTGAGCGCCAGGCTGTGGAGCCTGTTCAGGTACAGCGGGATGGTGTTCACGTTCGGGCTCCTGCTGGCACCGCTCGCGGTGCCAGCGACGGTTTACTTGAAAGGTAAGTTCGTGGCTTGGTTTCTGTCGTCGGGTGGTTACGAGGTGGATCTGGAGGAGGTGAAGATGAACGGCGGCGGAGAGAGTGGTTGTGTTGTGTCGTCGTCGTCGGCGAAGGTGGAGGGGAAAGGAGTGGAGGATGAAGGAGTTGAAGTAGGGCCGTTGTTGCTTGTGAAGGAGGAGGTTGGGGTGAAGGAGATGGTGCAGAGGACGGAGTTCTGGTTGTACGTTTTCGTGTATTTCTTGGGGCCGACGATTGGGATTGTTTATCTTAATAACTTGGGGCAGATCGCCGAGTCGAGGAGGTGTTATCAGACGGCTAGCTTGGTTTCGTTGTCGTCGTCGTTCACGTTCTTCGGCCGCCTGCTTCCTTCTTTGCTCGACTACTTCTTCTCCAGGTAAACGAATTCGATAACGTACGCCGCCGCCATTGATATTCCTCTGCGTAGTTCGTTGGCAAAACAACAAGATTTGGCATGCATGCAAGTTGACCCTAATTTTGACTGCTACTCCTATCATATACATCCAAGTCCTGTCGTTTGTCCTATTTTTTGGGGAAACGGAAACGGTCTGATCGGATTCAAATCGAACCATACATATGTTTTATGATCCATATCGAGAAGTTTGAGCGTAGATTAGAGACCAGACTTAATATTATACGGTTTAGACCACGTCTATGTGGTCTTATACGGTGCATTCTAGCCCATGCATATATATATCATAGTAAGCGAAAAATGAAACATTTGTTTAGTTGACTATATGAAAAATTAAACCAATAATCGAGGAGAAACTTTGCTTTTCCCATATAACATAAATTTCAAACATGCATTTATAATTCTGATACCATGTATTCAAGTATATAACAAAGATATAAAGTCGGAGCAACCCAACCTGCACAATAACGTGATAAACATTAATTAGTATAATATGATACGAAAACATAATCATTTCTACTCCGTTCGGAATGTGGTTTATGAACGATGGAGTGTACCACATATGCAAAATTGGGATTGAGACTTGGAACTCAATTCAGGAGTTGGAAAGAGTGATTGAGCAGGGCTCCTAACACGAATTAAGATAGTGGTTTTTGGTATATGTTAAACGTCCGCAGTACGTATGGATCAGACCGGGCCAAGAAATCTGTACATCTTATTATAATACAGACAATAAACCATACCATACCAGATCATACCGCGCGTTTTTAATGATTTACGATCCGAACTAAACTGTACCGTCCGCTTTTGGTTCAACTGATTTTCAAACAGTGTGATTATTTTCCTTTATGAAAGAATGGTTTTTTTGTGGTGTTGATCAAATCTGCAGGAGCAAGTACCTGCCGCCGCGGCCAGCCCTGCTCCTCCTCCTCACGGCGCCGATCACCGCCGCCCTCTTCCTCCTCCTCAACTCATCCCACGCCGCGCTCTACACCAGCACGGCGGTGATCGGGATCTGCACGGGGGCCATCACCTCCATCGCCGTCTCCATCACGTCGGAGCTCTTCGGGTCCCGGAACTTCGCCGTCAACCACAACGTCGTCGTCGCCAACATCCCCGTGGGATCCTTCTGCTTCGGCTACCTGGCGGCGCAGGTCTACGAGAGCGAGACCCTCGCCGGCGAGTCGAAGTGCATGGGGATGAGCTGCTACCGCCGCACTTTCCTCGTGTGGGGCCAGCTGTCGTGCTTCGGCGTCGTGCTGGCGTTCCTGCTGTATAATCGGACCAGGGTGTTCTACGGCAAGAGGTTGAAGGCGCTCAACAGTTTTTTGAACCATTGATTTATTGATTGAATTGAGCTGTGAAATGAGATGATTATTTTCCAATATTGTTTGGCCGGGAGATGGATATGGATGTAAAATACAAAGAACGCGGAAGCAATAAACGATCACAACACCAAGATTTACGTGGTATCCCCGTACAAATCGTACGGGACTAATCCACGGAGAGGGTGACCTCTCGGCTGAAGTTTACTAGAGCAGGGAATTCCCTTGTAGTTCTTTCTCTTAGGTTTACAGAAGCTAAAACTAAGACTTAAATAGTCTCTCCCCTTCACAAAGCAACGTGGGGAATTAGATGGCAAAATAACAAAGTAGTCCCTCAAGTAGGGCAAAGTAACAAATCTCAACACTCCCCCTCAAGCGCAGGAGTGAATGTCAAGAAGGCCAAGCTTGCCAATCAGATGCTGAAACTGTTCGACGCTCAAGCCTTTCGTGAACAAGTCCGCGGGCTGATCAGCAGTAGCAATCTTCCGTGGAGCAATGTCCTGCGACTGAACACGTTCGCGAACAAAATAGCAATCCATCTCGACGTGTTTGGTCCTTTCATGAAAGACCGGATTGGCTGCAATGTGGAGAGCCGCCTGGTTGTCACAGAACAAGGAAGTCGGGCCTGTGCTAGGAACCCCTAAGTCACGAAGTAGCCATCGTAACCAAACAATCTCACTAACAGTGTTAGCCATAGCACGATACTCCGCTTCAGCCGAGGAACGCGCAACGACCGTTTGTTTCTTCGTGCGCCAAGAAATGGGAGAGGCACCGAGAGTAATAAAGTAGCCGGTGGTAGACCGTCGAGTGAGAGGACAGCCACCCCAGTCTGCATCACAAAATGCTGTGAGAGTAAGAGGGTTAGATGCAGGAAAGAACAGACCTCGACCAGGAGTGGACTTCAAATAACGTAAGACACGAACGGCTGCATCCTCATGCGCCTTCGTGGGAGCCTGCATGGCCTGACTGAGCACGTTAACCGCATAGGTGATGTCGGGGCGCGTAACCGTGAGGTAAAGAAGGCGCCCAACAAGTCGGCGGTAGGCACTGGCATCCGCCGCAGGAGGAGAATCAGAACGACCAATGTGATGTTGCTGCTCAATAGGAGTAAGAGCGGGACGAGCAGCCTCAAGTCCCGTATCAGCCAAAATATCGAGAACATATTTCCGCTGATTTAAAACAATGCCTCTCGGGGATCTGGCAACTTCAATACCCAGAAAATACTTTAGTGGCCCGAGATCCTTGATAGTAAACTTCTCATGCAAGAATTCCTTGACATGAGTAATGAAAGCTAAGTTAGTGCCAGCCAGAATCACATCATCAACATAAATGAGAGCTGCAACGTAAGTAGACGCTCGCCGATAAATAAAAAGAGCATGATCGGCCTTGCTCTGGATGAAACCCAGAGAAAGAAGAGCCTGAGTGAACTTCTGGTACCAATTACGCGATGCCTGGCGTAATCCGTAGATAGACTTGTGCAGACGACAAACTCTAGTATCACCAGGCTGAGCAAATCCCTGTGGGATAGACATATAAACTTCTTCATCAAGATCACCGTGGAGAAAAGCATTATTCACATCTAACTGGTGAATGTGCCATTCTCGAGTAACAGCAACCGCAAGAAGGCACCGAACAGTGACAAGTTTGGCAACAGGTGCAAACGTGTCATGATAATCAATTCCTTCGATTTGCGTATAGCCCTTGGCCACGAGACGTGCCTTATAACGCTCGACAGTGCCATCGGGGTTGAATTTCACCTTGAACACCCACTTACACAAGATACGACGCTTGCCCGGAGGAAGCTGAACAAGGGACCAAGTGCCATTGGCGATCAGAGCATCAATCTCTCGTTGCATGGCCTCTCGCCAATGCTTGTGCCGTACAGCCTGAAGAAAGGTAGTGGGCTCTTCAACAGTAGTAACAGCCGCAACAAAAGCTCGATGTGCGGGTGAAAGGCGTCGATAAGTAAGTGAATCCTCGATAGGATACTGAGCTGAAGCTGAGTGGGCATGGCCAGGCAGCTGAACGTCATAACCGCGAAGGCGGGTAGAAACAGTCCGAACTCGATCACTTTTGCGTGGAGGAGGATCAGCTATGCCAACAGGAGGAGAAGTAACCATCGGACTCTCAATAGGAGTCACCATATTAGGAGAGACATCAGCTGACCTCTCGCTGTCCACAGCAGGTGATTCGGTCTCATTAATGGCCGATCGCTGGGACGAGGGCGAATGAGGAGGCTCGGCCGAAATGGGAGTCACAACAGCGGGCGATGGAGGCGAGGAAGGGCGATGCTCCGGAACCAACAAAGGGGCAGCAGTGTCATCGTCCAAAAACTGAGGAGTAGAGCCAAAGTGAGGCCGTGACACAACCTCAGGAGTGAGAGCACCAACCTGTGCAATATCCCTGTATGGGAACACATCTTCCAAAAAACGAACGTCCCGAGAAGTGTAAATTTGCTGCTTCTCGATGTCGTAAACACGATACCCCCGTTGATTCGAAGGATAGCCAATAAATATGCCGGCGCGGCCACGATCCGCGAATTTGGACAGTCCATGATGAGTGTCACGTGCATACACAAGACAGCCAAAACTGCGAAGATGACTGTATGAAGGATCAGCCGAAAACAAGAGCTGATAGGGCGACTTATTCCCAATGCTGACAAGGGGCATCCGATTAATCAGATAGGCTGCAGTAAGAACACACTCGCCCCAGAATTTAATCGGTAAATTAGCATGAAACCGCAAGGCTCTAGCCGTGTCAAGAAGATGACGATGCTTTCTTTCTACGACACCGTTTTGCTGCGGAGTATCAGTGCAGGATGTCTGCAAAACAATACCGTTCTCTTCATAATATGCAGTCAATGCCGTGGTCGAGAATTCCGGACCATTGTCTGCCTGAATGCGACGCACCTGTTTGTCAAACTGGGTGCGAACAAGATTGCAGAAGTATAACAAGTAGCGACCAACATCAGACTTATGGCGCATCAAAAACACCCACACTGCACGACTGTAATCATCCACTATGGTTAAGAAAAAATGTGCACCAGAAGTAGATGCCGTTTTATAGCTTCCCCAAATGTCAATGTGAATAAGTTCAAAAACCGACTTGGTCTTAATCATACTGGAATCAAAGGAAATCCGAGTCTGCTTAGCCCGCAAACAAGATCGACAAGGCTCACGAGACTGAATAAAAGAACAATCAACAAGTTTCTCCAATATATTAAGCTTCGCTGATGATGGATGTCCTAGCCGCGCATGCCACAGCTCGGCGTCACTCACAGCCCGACGAACCGAATGTGCAACTGGATGTGTCCCATCAAGCAATCGAAGATAATAGAGTCCATCGACATGCTTACCCATCCCAATCAGCCTCTTGGAGGGTAAGTCCTGGATCAAACATAAATTACTCAAGAAGATTAATGCAACTGGCAAGTCCGCTGTAAGTCTACTGACGGATAATAAGTTGCACTGAAAATCGGGCACGTGAAGCACCCGACCCAAGGGTAATTCGTTAGATAATTTGCTGGTCCCAATATGATGTACTTTGACCCCTGTGCCATTAGGGATCTTAACCTGTAACGTGGGTGACGAGTCCAACTCGGCATCCAAAAGAGAATAATCATTCACAATATGTTCTGTACAACCAGAATCAATTACCCATGTAGAAGAAGAGCCAGAAAATTTACCCGCCATATGAGAGGAAGGATCAAGTGCCGAAGGAGATGCCTGCTTCAAGTCATTGAGGAGCAAGGTTCGCAGCTGGGAGAACTGTGCCGCTGAAAGACCGGGAAGTGGGCTGCTGTCCGCATCAACTTGCGAGGCTTGCGGAGCTGATCGGGGAGCTTTGTCATTACGACGTTTAGTTGGCTCCCCCTTTTCACCATTCTTTGGAGGGAAACCTATGAGTCTGTAACAAGACTCTTTTAGGTGACCAGTACGCAAGCAGTGGGTACAGCGAGGCTTACCCTCCGAGTCACGATCGCTGCGTTCCCGTTCCACAGAGGTGGCTGACCGATCACGGCGCTCCCCCTGAGCTTGGAAAACTGCCGCTTCCGAGCGCGGCTTTCGATTGTGGGCGATCTGCCGCTGTTGTGCGTCATTAATGACGAGTTGATAAGCCTCACCAAGAGATGGAACAGGTTTCATGGCGAGGATCTGGGACTTGACGGTACTGAAGGCGTCATCTAAGCCCATCAAGAAGTCAAACAGGCGCTCTCCTTCCTTGACCTCGCGCTGTCTCCGCTTGACGTCACAAACACAGCCGCCACAGGTACACTCCAACGAGGGCTGAATGGATTGTATTTCATCCCAGAGTCCCCGTAATTTGGTGTAGAAGGCCGACACGGACATCTTTTCTTGTTGGAGACTGACGATGGTCCGCTTCAGCTCATAATGGCGCGAGGCGCTGCCTTGCCCGAAACGAGATTGCAGGTCGAGCCATATCTCACGAGCAGTGTGCGCAAACCGCACGCTGTTACGTACCTCCTTTGACATAGAGGTTTTGAGCCAACCCTTAACCATGGCATTACATCGCCGCAAAGCATCAATCTCGGCAGGTGTTTCAGCCGCTGGAAGGGTTCCATCAACGAAACAGATTTTGTTCTTGGCAATGAGAGAATCGGTGATATCAACAACCCACTCACCGTAATTGACGTCAGTAAGAAGCTCCCCAACAAATAAATTGTTAGGGCTTTCAGATTGATGAAGTTGAAGATGAGACGGGAGATTGATAGGGTCTCCCATAGCAGCCTTTGAAGTAGAAGTATTGACGGTCGATTTCGACTTTCCGGAGGAATCCTCATCCGAATCCACCATGATAGAAGCCGTGGATCAATTCACAGCTCTGATACCATGTAAAATACAAAGAACGCGGAAGCAATAAACGATCACAACACCAAGATTTACGTGGTATCCCCGTACAAATCGTACGGGACTAATCCACGGAGAGGGTGACCTCTCGGCTGAAGTTTACTAGAGCAGGGAATTCCCTTGTAGTTCTTTCTCTTAGGTTTACAGAAGCTAAAACTAAGACTTAAATAGTCTCTCCCCTTCACAAAGCAACGTGGGGAATTAGATGGCAAAATAACAAAGTAGTCCCTCAAGTAGGGCAAAGTAACAAATCTCAACAATGGAAACGTGTGATATATATATGCTTATATATCAACCATACGTTTGTATATATGTGTCGATGGTTATGTTAACATGTGTGTAATTCTTTTGTCCTTGTAATAATACCAAAATTTTAAATTGTCAAGACTTGAATAGTAAGAGCTAGCTGAGAATGAATGAGGTATAAAAAAGCATTATCAACTAGTCTCATTTTTCAAATTTATTGTAATTTCTGGTATTGTTATTACTTTCGCTCTGCCGCTGCATCGTTCTTCATTAGTTCTATATTGATTTGTCTCGATATCTGTTTTTATTTTTCCTATTTGACTTATCTTGACTCATATTTTTATGAATGGATTAAATAAGTAGTGCGATATTTTTTCTATAATAAGAGTGATATAGTCACAGATTTGTTTTTTATGATTAGGTACTATTTTAAAGATTTGAACATGTGAGCTACAGGCTCAAAACTAGTGGGATTACCACTATAACAAGCCCCTTGTTCGTTAAGTAAGTGCAATATCTCATCTTTCAACTAATTGGACTCAATTAGCCTACCTATTATCTCTGTTTTTCATTTATGAAGCATTTTTCATTTGTTTTATCGTTGAAAATAAACTTTTTCTTCAAGTAATATCTATGAATGGACTGGCCTGTCCTGACCGGTACGTATCCTCGTATCATATATGAATCGTGTTTTGGTGCGAAACGAGTATGGATATTGAGGTACCCGCCTAACCCAGCTCCCTCTTCATTGCCATCACTATATAACCCGGCTCCGCCACAAACCAAAAAAATATCTCATCTCATGAGTTAGGTTATGATCAATGGCGAATCGGTTAAGTCACTATTCTCTTTTTGCATATATAGAAAGAGCGCGGAATTGATCTATATTGAACTATCATGTAATTTTAACACTTTTCTCTCTCTAATTCTCAGAAGACTTCCTAAGAATTAGGCATGCCAGAACATTCCATCTTTTAGTCGGGTACAATGCAAAGTAGCAGTTACAAGTTTAAAACTTGCAAGGAACAACATACAACATAGAACCGCAATATGATAATGTACACACATTGCTTCTAGCTGCTATAGCTTGCAAACTGATGATGATCAAAAGTCGTCAACAACACCCAACCTAGCTAGCGCCCTAGACCAACCCTGCTGCTCTCTCTTGATCATATCGATGATCTCAAGTAGCTAGCGTGCTCTTCTTCATCACCACTTTGCTTCCCTTTCATCCCAATGATATCCAGTCCATCCATGGCCAACTAAATTTAATTCCTTAATCCACACTCATCATCACAAACACCAGATGCCGTAACTCAACTCCCACAAGCAATACATCAAACCCCCGCGTTTCCTCAACTCTGTGTACATATAATATAGATGCTCAACCTTCATTATCTCAAGCTGCAGATATAGCTTAATTATACAGGACTTGATCGTTTCATCATGTCTCCGGCGGCCCGCGGCAGGGGCGGCGGCGGCTCCTCTAGCTACAACCTGAGAGGTTTTGTTGAGTTGTTGCGAGACCGCTACTTCTATTCCTGGAGGAGAAGCAATAACGTAGTGAGCATTTCGTCAGCTGCTAATTCATCATCAATTTCATACAATAGCAAGCCGCCTTCGTCTTCAGGGGATGATCATAGCAGCAGACGTGCTTCTGCTGATGTATCGAAAACAACCCAGAAAGGATTGCAGTTGATCAATTGCAAGAACTGGGCAGAGCGCCTGTTTCTTGGCCCACCAGCGTCATCACTGCCGCCTCCATCACCGCCACCTCCGAGTCCCAGATATGGCTTCTCTGGTTGGGCGAAATGGCTGCTTGGCACAATCCTAACTGTCGTCCTGCCTTTCTGGAAGCAAAAATGGGAGAGGTTGAAGACAATTGAAGGTACTAATTATGATTCGACTTAAATTAATTTGTCTGAAATTTAAGTAATGGCGTGCTGAGAAATGGGTAGCTACTTTTTGGGTGAAACAGGGGAGGCGGAGATAGTGGCAGAGGAGGTGGAGAGCGTGGCGGAGATTGTGGAGCAGGTGGCGACGGTGGCGGAGAATATATCGGCGGAGGTGGCGGAGAGCATTCCTGGTTCCGGGGGGAAGCTAAAGGAGGCAGCTTTGATGGTGGAGAGGGTGTCGAAAGTAACTGCTCATGAAGCTCATATAGCCAGAGAGTTCTTGCACAAGGTTGATAAGTTAAAGGATGATCTTGATGAATTGGAGAAGATGGTGGAACCAAAGCCAAGACCTCCTTCATCACCTCCTCGTCAATACAATAATGCTCAAGGAAGATTGTAAGCTTCTGTACATGTAAATCCCAAATAAATCAAGGCCATAATCTTTGCATTCAATCAAACAATTTGTTTCTCCTATGGTGGAGGAGACAACATGACTCCAAGGGCAGAGTCGAAATTGGTCGTTGAGATCGATGAAATCGTAGATAAGTTATGTCAGACTCGGCTTAGTACCGAAATTGACAGTACAGATACATGAACGATATGACAACTCCAGGCGTCATCCCAGTAGTAGATCGATCGACATTTCGCATCAAGAACCGAAGGAATAGCAGAGGAAGGAGAACACTGACGACGAACAGATCACCAATCTGACATTAATAAAACACTACTGTCTACATAACTCTTCCCTTCAATCTATAGACACACCAACGAAAGCAGAGCAAGAGCACATAGCTGAAACTTACACCAAGGAGGCCAATCACAGGGTCATCGCCGGCCTGACACACACTTGAGACTACTTATATACACAGCGCACTGAATTTATTCTTCCTACTTCTTTCTTCTTATTTCACATCCCAACTTACTTCGAAGTCGAACAAAGCAACAAACAAATCACATGTCTGCATAAATCACACACTGTTGAGGAGAGTCGCATACCAAGGCCCATGGACTGTTACTGAGATGCCAGCCGCCACCACCAACACTTCAGCAGCCTCCACCACCCTCCCAGCGAGAACGGCGGCACCAACCTGCCGGAGAGCGGTTTCAGCTAGTTTCCTCCCTTTGAGACCGCTTCCTGCTAATACGACACCTCTGGCAGCTGAATAAACAGCTCGGGAGACCTTCGAGAAAACGGGGTCTCCTGCCTGCAAGCTCCTTGCCAACATCCTACCCATAACTTCCTTCCTCGACTGAAGCTTCCGACTGTTTTCATCTTCAGAAACTGACGAAGACGAATCCTGGGAGGAAAAGCTGCTTATTATTCCGACGATTTCAGCAATCCCAGCATCGTCACCACCACGGTCCAAGAGTTGCAACAGTTGTTCGCTGCATTTCGATACAATGTTTTCCATCTCAGCACTGCTGACTGCACCTCGCTCCATCAAGAGAGTCTGTCGGCAAACCAAGACACTGCAGTTCGCATGATGAGAAGATCAGTTCAGGAAAAGAAATATACCAAGAGCAATCAAATAGTTGGGATGAGCTAGTCGAGGAGATGATACAAAGTAGACAACACTTTTACCTGGTCGTAACCACTAAAAGTTTCTGGATTTCAGCTTGGACACCTCGCAATCTGGAGAGGTTGAGAGTGAAGGTCTCAGGAAGAGTTTCCAGCGTTATACTGGAAACCTCGGTGACCATTTTCAGCAATCCAAGCCTAACCAAGAGATCAACCCTGTCACCAGAACATTCAGGCACCACCGCTGATTGTTCATTGCTTGAACCAGCATCTGGCGCAGTACGTTGCTTCACCTGAAAGCTCCCACCGGTTCGGAGTGCAGTTGAGGGTAGGAACACCTGAGACGGATTCTCATGGCTGGCCAAAGCTGAGAGAGAATTACTATTGTGTTCTTCCCATTCCTGATCACTGCAACTTCTCAAGGAAGAAAGCCACTGCTTTGTCAATGGTAGGGACAAACAAGCATCCAACGGGGAGCCATGCCGATTCGCAAAAGCTTTCCCAAGGTATTCCAATCCAGCAGGACCTTTCAACAATGGCTCCATTAGTTTTATACGAGCTTTGCTGATCTCGCTCTTAACCGTCTAGAAAAACAGTAGAGAAGCTAGGGTGAATATCAAACTAATATAAATTATTTGCAACCCAAGACGAAACCAATACACCTCAGCCTATACACCTCAAATTGATAAATTGCCAAAAGGAGTTCGCAAAACAGTCTAGTATCTCATGTGTTACTGTTACCAGCAAACTCAGTTGAGGCTAGGTTCCTCCTATGTCTTATAACCTAGTTCCAACTTCCAACTAAATAATTTCTCACTTCCTCAACCATCAACGGATAGTCGGATACTGAGAGGAATAAAAAGAAAAACACAACGCACAAACCTGTATCTGCTCTAGAACAAAGCGGAGACCTCTGATCATTGCCACAGCAGGAGAACTCTTTGCATTACCATCTCGACTTTGACATGCCTCAGTCAGTTCTTGGAGTAATTTTTGATACTTGACTTTCATTTCATCCTCATAGGCAGGGGAAGAGAGCTTTTGCAACGTAGCCAGCGCAAACTCTAAGATCTTTCCCAGGTAAGCAATGTCCAAGTTTCCCGACTTCAGCACCTGATAGAGATAGACAAAGAGCACACACGAATGAACACAAAACTATATATCGCCAGCATGTTATCTGGAAAAAGCAGAATGATCAAGATAGGTTACAGACCTGAGAAAGAACTTCAAGATCAAGAGCTTCCATGATGGTTGATCTCCAGCTCTCAGGAGCCATCTCACTAATTTCATCCCTCACCTCCCTCACAAGGTTTATGACTCTGCCATAGTCTGGTCCCTCTTCTTCTACAGAATTCATCACTCCATCCCAGAAAGCCTTCTCCATTGCCTCTTTAACCTTTGCCTGCATGAAACAAAAAATAAAAGAGCAAATAAGGTCAGGCATCTCAACCCATTTGGCAGTCATGACTCTCAAGTCACAGAAAGGAAGAGCAAATCTGATACATGAATAACACTCATTTTGGGCTCAGTATCTCCTTCAGTCACTTTGACAGTTAAGTGGCTCAATGTATAAGTGAATCTGCTAACCTTGAGGCTCACTTCATCTTTTTGGGCAGTGTCTAATCTATCAACCAGAGCCCTACGCTTTTCATGAAGAAGCTCATTAACAATAACTTCATTCTCTGTGATCAACTTATTAACAGAACCACCCAGTTGACCAGCGGACGAGTTTGCAGCAGTGACAGAGGAACTTGATGATTTGGATGGGATAGCAGCAGCCGAGGAACTTGCTTGTTCGGATGAGTCAATGTTCTCATCCTTGAATAAAGAACGTACTACTCGACCCGATGTCTCAACCCTTGCATCACTCGTAGTTGTAGGAGTGGCAGCACCATCGACGAAACTAGGCATGCCAGGAGATGACACACTCATTATTGGTGAACCAATAGGAGAACCATTTTCCTTATATTTCAGACGCATCTCGTCCAAAGCAGATTGCATTCTCTCAATCCCAGCATCCCCACTAAGATGCCGTACTTTTTCTCTCAGCAATTTATGGTCGTCTGTTACCTGCAAGAAAATGAGATGAACAATATAACATCGGCAAACGAACACTGAAAAAAAGAAGCATTGTGGAGTCAAAAAAGACAAGAAAGGGATCACACTAGCTACAAAAAAGAGCTACTATGAATCTCAATTGGGCATGAGTAAAAAGAAACCTGTTTCTGAATAGCCTTCATATCATGAGAAAGATCACTGCTATTCACTCCAGAAGACATCTTGCATTTTTGAATCATTGATAGTTCAAGCTGACAAGCTGCTCTCACTAAGTCCTCCTCCAATGACACAGCATCCTTAACCTTCCACATCACAAAGCAATTCAAGAATGTGCACCACGCTGTGTCAAACACCACAAGCTGGGATCTGAAGGTACGAGGCTTTGATGACATGGAGTCTGACTCATCATTATAGATCTGAAGTGGTCCCTCCAGAATGATCCTAATTAACAGCTCAAACTCATGGATAAAATCCTTTGCAGACTTGGCCAAGGCAGTTTCCCTCTCTCCTTGACCACTCAGAACAGCATCCGGATGGCCCAGAATCATGTAAGCAGAGAGAACTACTCTCACTGAATACCTGGATAGCTTAGCTGGACTTCTAGTTGATTCCCTTGTAGCACCTGTATGCTTCGCATCTCTGCTCCTCATAGATGTCCTGGGTGTAGGTTTTCTCTTAGGAGTAGTCACTCTTTTCAGCAAGTGGTCGATGTTGTCCAATGTAGAAGAATAGCTGGCAGCAGCCACTGCCCTACAAACTTTATATCGGCTCTCCAGCCGATCTAGTAGAGCTTTTACTGTCCGGAGGGTAGCAGGTGATCCAATTGCAAACGCAAGCTGTTCAAATGGCATGGTTTTTACAGAGTTCTCATTTATCTTCAAGGTGCCATAATCTTTTACAAGCTCTAAGGTCGTTCTTCTTGATGAAAGAAACATCCTCCAGCACCTATAAGAACGAAACCGGAGGACCCAAATTCAATCAGAAATTTCTACTGAGCATACAGGAGCGAAGCAGAACAGTGGAAGGAAACAGCAAAGTCTGCATATTTGTTTTCAATCACATATTTCCTCTTCAAACGCCAGAAAGATGAGAGAACATATACCAGTACACTTGTAAAATGATCTGCAAGTCTGTAAAGAACTACAAGAATAAAATATATATACCGGGCCAATTTCCTTGAAAGAACATCAGCCTGCTTTTCCATCCTCTTCAGATTCATCTGGACAGGGCTACGCTGTCTGCTCCTCAGCTTCAAGTATTCTGCTCTCTGTCGTTTCGCCTGATTAAATAGCCTACGTCATAAATAGAAAGACGAGAAACAACCAAAAAGGAGAAACATTTTTAAGAAGAGTCGGAGAACACAAGTTTCAGAAATCAATCCCTACCCTCTGCAATCGATCCTCAAGTTGTTCCATCATTCTCCTCCTCTCAATCTCGCGTTTATAAGAGACAGACTTAGCTGCTTGCTGCACTTGCAAAATCCTGTCACATGCCTTCTTCTTCTCCGCCTCCAGCAGCCCGAGTCTTTTCTTCTCGGCAGCAGCACGCTTTTGGTTAATTGCTGCACACACACGCTCCTTGTATTTGTTCTCCTTGGCAATTCTTTGCATTAATGACTGTGAACTCCTCTCCTTCACAGAAGCATGGCGCTGCTTATAAGCTTTCAAGAGAAGCATTCTATTTTCCTCAGCCTGTTGAACACGCGATTCTACTTTAGTGCCGAGCCTCTGCCTTTCCCTCTCAAAACGCCTTTCCACCCCAGCTTTCACCTCCTGGCGTAACTCATCCAGCTTAGCTAGGCGCATTTGAGCATTGGTCAGCATACCCAACCTGGTAGACCAACAACAATGGCAGATAAGATGGATGATAACTTGGTACTTCAAAAACAATAAATGAAAACAAAGAATTCACCTTTTCCGCTCTGCAGCTAAAAGTTTGGCTTCAAGTCGTTGACCAAGATCTTCATCCTGAGAGGAAGACCGTGAAGGGCTTCGCGGCTTTGGCCTCGCCTTAATTGACAACATGTCATGGAATTGCTGCACTTAAACCAAAGGCAAAAACGGCATACAACACATTTAGATTGGACTAACTACACAAAAGATAACAGTTACAGCAGAGGTTGCAAACATTTCCTTCTCATCATATCCAGTCCAGGAGTAAAATAATTCATCCCCAGCTAACCAAACGAACCTAATCTATTCTACTGAACCTAACCAAGCACACCAACTCTGAGAACTCAGAATTCACATGGACCAGAAAAAAGTGGCATAAAAGACGGAAGATATAGAGTAAAAAAGAAGCATGATGAAGAATGAAGAAACATGAGACAGAGCCATGAGGAAACTTGAAAAGTGAGGAAAAACAGATTCGAACACAAGGATAACTCAACCCCTTTTACCTAACACGAAGAAGAATGAACCTTCTGGACGAAGGTATCAAAAATTACACCACTGTGGGGATAGAAGGAGAAGCACAAAACCCCCAAAATCGATCGGAACTTGAACCCCAATTTCATCTACGGGGAACCGTCACCGGAATCAAAGCAATATCATGCCTGACATCGGATGATCAAGCCACCAAACTTAAACAATTCACTACAGATTGTTTAAATTCTCCGACGAAAGCAAGAAATGAAAACAAAGCACAAGAGAAAGTACGTACACACACCACCCACCACCAAAATCCCTAAATGTTTTCACTTTCCCAATTGAAGAGAGAGTTGTTGAGCAGACAGCAGAAAGTGAGACTCGGAGAATCAATCAGTCGAGAACTAACCCGTCTGCGGAGATCAGCGTCGCGAAGCTTAGCTTCGATCTCTTGCACACTACTGACTGGCGAAGTTTTAGCCTCCAGCATCCGCTTCCGGAGCCGTTTGGGAATCCTCGGCGGCGAAGAGGACGAAGGAGCATCGGTCACCGGGAAATCAAGCGCGATTCCACTCGCCGCCACCTTCTTCACCGTCCCCGACGGCGGGGATGGCGACGGAGGCGACGATTCTACTCCTGTAGCCATATGTTCGATGTATCGCCGAGAAACAAGGCCCCCGGAAACAATCGAATCCGCAGGAAAAAAATGACCGGAAATTCAATTGATGGTATTGTGAGAAATGAATTGACGATTTGCAGTCCTTCCGCCGACTGTGAGGGTGAGGGGAAATGGAGCTGTACTCTTCTTCTCTAGTGCGTTTCTTTGCTTTTTCGTTCTATCTAATTTTCTCGTCTCGTCCTCTCTTTATTTGCGCTCTGTTCTGCCTGCTCTCTCTCAAAGAAATCCTTCGAGAAGGAGTTTATTTTGCTAGTTATTTATTTTTATTTATTTAACCCAAGGTTTTGAAATTTAATTAATTAATTAATTTTCCCCCTCTTTGTTTCGTCCCTTTTATTTATTTTTGTTAGCGGCTGAGAAAAATAAAATGATGAAAATAAAGAGGAAAATGGAGAGAGGAGTTAGAATAAGTTCTAATTTTATTGGATGCCCTTGAAAGACGGGGTAAGTTAAATATATGTTCATGTTAGATTGTTCGAAGTAAAGTTGTTATTGTGTAAACGATAGTGAAGAAAAACATCTCCAATGAGTGTGAGCATTAATCGAATCGTGACTATATAAGTATATGTCATATGGGATCGATCAATATATAATGTGAGAGAAATTTGTTTAAATAATTTGTAATTATTATACTAATATCAGAGATAATTATTACTAGGTTGTTATGTTTAGGTTTATTGTTAGGTTTTCAGTTCCTTTTCTATATAAGTGTTCTTTGTTATTCGTTTAGGAATCAATAAGAAAAAAATTATCAAAATATCAACCTCAACCCTATTCTATCTTTCTCTCTCATTCTTCTCTTCTTCTTCCTCAAATCTCTATCCCTAATCCCCAAATTCTTATTCTTAATCCATACGAGTTGCATTCTCAAATCTACTAAAGCCAATAGAAACATGTTTTTTTAGTTTCCCACTTCTAAAATTTGACCAGAAAAATCTTACTGAATTGATCATCCTTCCCTCTACCGGCACGATCAATAGATGATAAAACACTAATGATGCATTTATTTAGATGGAGAATGAATTTAGTGTTTTATCTAGGCTTGTCAATTGAACCCGAATTCCGGGTGCCCGACCGAACCCGCCCCGGTTGGTGGCGGTTAAAAACCGGTCAAACGGATAGTTGACGGTTTGCGGGGAATCCGTTACCCGCTACAGCCGGTTGTCGGGCGGTGATGGATTTATTAATATCCGCCCCGAGAGAACCCGAAACCCGCTTCCCCTCTGAATATCCACCCCACCCCCAGTCCCCAGTTCATTTCGCGAAAAAATCTCACCCCTTTACAAACCCTAGCGCCGCTCTGAAAAATCGAATCCCCAACCCTGTCCCTTCTTCTTCTCCTCAAATCTCGCAATATGCTCTTCGATTGTAGAGAAAAACGGCACAAAATCATTGCATTCATTGTTTCTAAGAGCAGATACCCAATCAATCAGAGCAAACCCTTCGATTTTTTCGAATCGAGCCATTCCCGATGGCGATTAGAGCGCCATCTTCCTTTTATCGACTCTTCGAGTTCGATAGGAAGTGGGAACTTCTTTTTCCCCTTCATGCATGCGCCTATAAATACCTTACTTGGGTTTTTTTTTGCTGCAGATTGCCAGATTCTCAGAGAGCAGATCACTCAGAGAGAAGTAGTAAGCTAGCAGCTGTCTGCAATTGCGATTTCCAGTCACTGGCTCACTGCAACTGCAAGGTGAAGGAAGCACAACCGTAAGTGTTCTACTGTTCTTCTTAGCCTTGACCTCTGGGGTTTGCAAGATTATTTTCAACAACTTGTCTAATACCTCGGGACTTTGTTGATTGATGTTAGGGTTTCTGGTGGCGGGGTTGTCATTGATCAGTAACGAAGCTTAGAAAGGTAATACTACTTGATTCTCCTAGTTCTTTCAGGTTTCAAGGAATTTAGCAGCGACTGATTTGTTTCATTGGTTTGTTTTCTCGGGTGATTGCAGGTAATTAATGGAAGGAGTTCAATTATCTCCCGCCCCCAATTCTCAATCCCCACTCCCACCCCCCAATCCTCAGCCCCTGCCTGAAGGCCCTGAACCACAGCAGCATCAATCAGCGATTGCTGTTGATGCACCAGCAGCTGTGAATGGCAATGCTGATACTAGTGCTGCTGCTGGTGGTGAGTCAGAGCCCTCTCCCCTGCCTTTTGGGGCCAAACGTCCACTGAAAAGTGATGTTTGGCCTCACTTTACAAGGTTTGTGGATAAAGATGGTGTAATGAAAGCACGATGCAAATACTGTCGAAAGGTTCTTGGTGGTGACACCAGCAATGGTACCTCTCATTTGAGGAACCATAAAAAGGTGTGTGTTCAGAAACAAATTCACGATGGTAATCAGAAAAACATTGCCACTAATTTCCTCCCTAATGGTTTGATTGGAAAGAAAGAACTGTGTACTGGTCAGTTCAATGCTGAGGTTTCAAGGAGGGAACTTGCCACTATGGTTTTGATGCACGAGTATCCACTTGGTATGGTGGATCACTTGTATTTCAAAATTTTTTGCAATTCTCTGCAGCCCTTGTTCAAAGTTCCCTGTAGGAACACTTGCAAGAGTGATATTCTTGCCTTGTATGCGATTGAGAGGAAAAAGATTCAAAAAATCATTGATGGTAACAAAGGTAGAATTGCTGTCACAACTGACATGTGGACAGCAAGTAATCAGAAGAGGGCTTACATGGCTGTAACCTCTCATTATGTTGACAACAATTGGAACCTTAGGAGCCACTTGTTAAGGTAATTTGCTTATTCAATTTGTTCTTTCTTTGATGTTTATTTGTTTAACACTTAAACTGACTTCGAGCTTCATTTGATGTTTGTGTGAGTGTATGACAGGTTTCTCTATGTTCCTGCCCCCCATACTAGTGAGAAACTTGCAAGTGTGCTCCGAGAGGCTCTAATGTCATGGAATGTGGACTGTAAGTTATCCACTATCACTCTTGACAACTGTTCTACAAATGATGCCATGATTGAAAAGATTAAAAGGAAGATGGTTATGTCCGACTTTCTATTGAATGGTTCCTTCCTCCAAATGAGATGTTCGGCTCACATTCTTAACTTAATTGTTAAAGATGGGCTTGAAATTATAAAAGATGGGATTGAAAAGATAAGGGAAAGTGTGGTGTATTGGACTGCAACTCCTAGGAGACTTGAGTTCTTTGAAGAGACTGCTAGGCAAAAGAATGTTTGTATTGGAAAGAAACTTGCACTTGACTGTCCTACTAGGTGGAATTCCACCTTGCATATGCTTGAATCTGCAATTCCATACAAGGAAGTGTTCACTCGTTTGAATCAGAGAGAACCTAACTATACTTCCTTGCCTAGCAGTGATGATTGGATGTTTGCTACTGTTATTAGCAAAAAGCTTGAGATTTTCAGAAATATTTCTGAGCTTCTTTCTGGAAGCAATTATCCTACTGCTAATATATTCTTTCGAAGGATCTGTGACTTGAAATTGAATCTGCTTGAGTGGATGACTGATCCTGATAGCATCATTTGTGAAATGGCCGAAAAAATGTGGGCCAAGTTTAGCAAATACTGGACTGATATCCATGTATTGCTCACTGTGGCTGTTGTTCTTGATCCTGCATACAAACTTGAGCTGATTCAGTACTATTATGATAAGAGCAATGGCTCTGATCATACTCTTGATCCTGTGACTGTTAAGGCCACTGTTTATGATGTTGTCCGTGAGTATCAGTTGAAACAAAAGGACAGAGATGACCATTCTGCCTCCTCTGCTTCTGTTAATGGTGTTAAGGCCAATTCTGGTGACCTTGACTTCGAGCTTTATTTAAGCCGAAGGAAAAGGTCCAAAACAGTTTCACTATGCTCTGAATTGGATCATTATCTCTGTGAGGATGTTAGTCCTCGAAGTTCAAATGTTGGGGTTTTGGATTGGTGGAGGGTGAATGCTGGAAAATACCCACTTTTGCAAGAGGTAGCAAGAGATTTGCTTGCTGTACCAGTGACCTCTGTGGCCTCTGAGTCAGCCTTCAGCTCTGGTGGTAGGCTGCTAGATCCTCACCGAAGTAGGCTGCACTTTGATACTGTCGAGGCACTCATGTGCACCCGTAGCTGGATTCAGAGTGACATTTGCAAAGGTAAGAGCTCTTATTTTTGTTATTTCCCGGTCTGTTTTAATTTCAAGTATTCGAAAGTTTTGTTAACTATACTCTACTTGAATATGCAGATGCTGGAAAGGCTGACATTCAAGGTTTGGAGACTTGCTTCTCTGCAATGACAATGGAGGATCCAAGTTGTGAAGAGTTTACGAAAGAAGGTACTTGTGCTCTGTTTTATTAGTATACACTATTATCTTAAGTTAGTAGTTAAGTTAGTAGTTAACAAGTACCTTAAATTGCCACAGATTTTCAAGGTAGCCAGAGTCGTACACTCTTGGACATTGAAGATTGAAGTGTGCTGCTGGTGAATGGTGATTGTTGTGCTGGGCTGCTGGATTTTGTTTGCTGATTGCTTGATGATGGTGCTGCTCGATAAGACTGAAATTGAAGGGTGAAGAGAACTAATGCAACTGCTGCTCTTTTTTGTTGTTTGGTTCAATTTGGAACTTTTTTTTTTCGTTTGGTTTATGGCTATATGCCTTTATGGATGTTGGAATCCAATTTCGAACATGTTTGGATGATGAATTATTGATGTCTGGTTGCTGGATTTTGCAAGTTGATGGATTTCATCTGCAATTTATGCAGTTTTTCAGTTTTAATTTGACTGTAATGTCTCTACTTTTTTGTTGGATTCAGCAAATTTAAGTTTGTCGGGTAAACCCGCTATAACGGGTTCTGACCCGTTACCCGTTGGTTTCGGGGGTGGGCATAAAAAAAAGCCCGTTATTGCTAACGGGGCGGATTCGGGGAAAACCCGTTATAATTTCGGGCGGGTGACGGATGGGCCTGCCCCGGCCCCGATCCGCCCCGTTGCCAAGCCTAGTTTTATCTTCGTTTATCGAGGGATCCCACCTAATTTGCTTGTTCAGTAGCATCCTTAATTCAAAAATACAATGTTGACATGATACCAAATCAACCAAGCGACCTTATCATACTAGCTATCGATTTCAAATTTTCATCATCCAAATGTTTCATAAATTGTTTTCCTTCTCGTCAAACTATAAACTACAAAGAGCAATCACTCCCTCGAATTATGTGTCACATTTCATCATCACCATCTCACCGAATGTGAGTAGAAATTCCGATGAAGTACTCTATGCTTGTTTTCTCCTTTCATTTTATCATCGTGATCAACAACCAATATATCAGGAAAAATGGTTAAATGGACGATCTCGTCATCCTTGCATCATGGAGTTGAAAAGAACTCATATCTTACTTGACTTTGGTTATGTAAAACACAGTTTGATTCCACGATTCATTTACAGACAAAAGCTAGCTTAGGGTTTGGACACCACTAGAAAGTGAATACACAAAATCATTGATTTTCAAGATGGATCCAACAAATTTTGAACCAAGATCCCTCTTCGCGAAATAACATCTTTACAGTTGAAATACATGAAACATTTGCTTATCATTGAAACCCAATAAGCTATTTTTCGGGAGTACGTCAATGGATTCATCGCATTAAATATGAGCACGATGTGAATTTATAGTCTCACTTACCCATAACAGGCACGGTTTAGGTCAATAATCAGGCATGGTGAGATTGAAATGCATGTTCCTTTCTCCAATTCTCATCATCATATTCTGTAACCCAATAGTAAAACTCAATTATTACATATCTAATGTACACTGTATTTCTCACACTTGTCCGTCCCTGACCACCGAACTGAATTCTCGCCATTTAAATTGGGCTTTGAATTTTGTGGACCCAGGCGGGCCCAACAAAGTTGAAGACAAAAAGTTCGGCCTCTCCCGTTTGGACAGCCGGGCCTTTGGTCCCCCAATTTTGCGAAGTCTACTTTGTACGGAATTGCTGGCCACGCAATGACATAAAGCATCACTTGAGGTAAGTTGGAGAATGGAGACCCGTTGATACCATTCAACTATGTTCTTGTTGCAGCCTAGCCACTTGTATTGTTGGCTTCGTGAGATTATCCGTAGCAAGCGATTCATCCAGCGATCATAGACGCAGGCAGTCATATATTTCGGTAGGTTCAAAGTTCGATCAAACGCAACGTGTGCTCCAGTGTCAAAAACTTCTGCCAAAAGAGGTCTATGATCCGAAATTTGCCTTCTCCCCTTTGCAAAATGTGTACTTATTATGGTATGTTGTTCACATCCATGATCCGACCATGTACCTCCATCAAATGTTACCGATGAATATCCTTGTAATACGAAAGAAAAACACTATATGTGCTATTATCCGAGGCAAGACGTGTATCGATAGCTCCATCAATGTTACCTTATATCACAGACAGTAGCTGAACTGCTGTAATCTCCACAATAGATGGCTACCATAACAAGCAACCCTTAGCAAAGGATAAATGAGGTTACATAAAAATGAATACCTAAAGATCTTGGCCTAGCAGGAACATAAAAATTTATAAGGATTTACCAACTCTGCAAACTTAAGCCAACTTTTCCAGTAGAAATTCTACAACATTATGAGCCTACAAAGGGATCTGACTGGTTTCATGAAGCAAAGATTTGAACTTCATGCATTAAACAGAGGATAAGATGATCACGAACCCGAGCAAAAACAAGAATCTACCACGAGATGATAAAACATCTATAAGATGAGATACAAGGTTAGAATTTTTTTACTTCCACTGCTTCTTCTTCTTGGTGTTTAGTTGTGAAGGTAGAGCAGGGGGCAAACCTCTCTTCTTCACAAATGCACCAGTTCTGCTTTCTGGTTCTCCATCACTGTCATCGCTTTCCTCACCTCCAGTCTCGCTAGCTATTTTAGCAGATCTTTTCTTCGCAGCTTCCAACTTGTTGTGCAATCTTCTCGCCGCTGGATCATTTGTAGGTGGAAGATTGGACCGTGGAGCAGCCCTAGCTCCAAGTCCAAGCCTGAACACAAAAACTGTCTGTGTGAGAGGTTTTTTGGGGCTATCTATATGCAATGACATCAAAGCAAAAGGCAAGCCATGCTGAACACAAATAGAAGATAGTTGAATGCAGTAGTATTACAGACTTTAGAGGCCGACCCTGCTGTTCCGCCTCTTCTGGTTCATCGTCTGTACTTTTGCTCATTCTATTTACCCACTGTTCAGCCTGGAAAATGATTGCGACAAAAATAAATGTTGTTCAGACGTGGGTTCCAACTAAACGGATTCGAGTTCCAATTCTATGATGGTTTTCCAGAGGCGAGTGGGATTTATATGTGAAGAGAGGAAGGGGAAAGTTCAGTCATTTACCAATTTGAAGGCATGGTCCAATGTAACAATCTGGGGGGGTTTGGTCTTGGCCGCAGGCGCCTCCGAACTCATCGTCCTCACTGGCTCTACGCTCTATGAAGGGGGGAAAAACACAACTTTCAGTGGGGCAATTCCTCAAACACATAGCGTGCAAGTTCGCCAAGGCAGGCATACACGACATTTCGATTATCAATTCAAACAAATAGTTCGAACAGTAACACGACGGGAAGACGTAAAGTCAGCTAACTAACAAGCGTGTAAGATCCGAAAGAACAATTTCAACTCCAAGTTACAGAACAGGCCTTACGCTATCAACAACAGTAATTGTACCTTCTAAGTTCAAAGCAAGAGTTCCGAAGCTCAGAGTTGGTGAGGTGTAGACCTGGTTCAGCTTCAGCCTGTTCGAAATGCCCTCCTTCCGGAGAGAGCCGGTGCGGCCAAAGGACAGGAAACGGAACCCTCGGGATGAGAAGGCAAGAAACGACGGCAGGGAAGGAGAGAAGAGGCCGAGCGCGTCGGAAGGAGAGGCGAGGGTGGTCAGTTGGAAGTTGGAACACACGGTATAAGGAAATAGAACAGCGGCGATTCGGCGATGGAGACTGGGAGAGAGACAAACCACGGCGGTCGGAGAGATGAAGGGCAAGAGAGAGGACAGAGGAGAGCCGGAAAGAGGGAGAAGCACTGAATTATTCTGCTGCTCTCCGTTTTCTGTTCTCTCCCACTGCTCCTGGCAATTTACCAATCAGTACACGAAAATTGTCTGTCTATTAATGTGGCCACCCGAGAAAAAAATAATAACGAAACCGCTCCTGGAATTGAAGAAATATCAAACATTTATGTTTTCACCTTCCGGTGAGTTAAAGAGAAACAGTCAACTGTACCTTCACAGCGCTAGTTTGTTTACCAGTAGCCTTTGCAAGAGCACAGTCCATTCTTGAAATGATGGAAACGGCTGGAGTCTCTCAAAATGATCTCATTTTCAATGATCTTGGATATGTAGGTAAAGGCACTATGGCAATCCCCACAAACACGCAGGTTCTTGGTGATTCTAATGGCTGCACCAGGAATAGAAGTTAAGATTCCATAGGCAAGGGCTAACTTCTCACTATGCTCAGAAAGAAGGTCCCCTTTCTCTTCATCATCCACATCATGAAGCGCAAAGCTAGTCTCCGGAACGTATCCAAGAACTTTAATCCTCTGAATCAACCCTGCAAGGATTCCATATATCTCCTTCGACCGTGGATGAGCCCTATCCCCAGCAAAGAATGTTACATTGCCGGTTTTGACTTGCACCCAACTACAACCTGGTCTCTTCCTTATTCCTGAACTTCTCATCAAAGATCTGACTTTGGCTACATCTTTCCAACGTCTGGCACTAGCATATATGTTTGAGAGAAGGGTATAAGATCCATCATTTTCTGATTCCAACTCTAGAAGCTTATCTGTGGCATACTCAGCAAGTTCCACATTAGCATGTTTCCTGCACCCACTCAGCAAAGCGACCCAAACTATTGAGCTAGGTTCCATAGGCATGGCTTTGATAAGCTTCATAGCTTGATCGAAGCGACCAGCACGGCCCAATAGGTCAACCATACAAGCATAGTGCTCTTCACCAGGAAGAATTCCAAACTCTTCACTCATGCTGTTGAAGTACTCCATTCCCTTACCAGCCATTCCTGAATGACTGCAAGCGTATAGTACAACAAGGAATGTTACACTATCCAGAGCATGGCCTAGTTTCTTCATCTCATCAAAAACCAAGAGAGCATCTTCACCACGGCCATGCATGCCATAGCCGGTTATCAGGGTTGTAAAAGAAACAGCATTCTTGTGCTTCATGCTATTGAAGACCACTCTAGCAACATCAATATCTCCAGTTTTTGAATACATATCTAACAGGCAATTAGGTACGTATAACACAGAAAGATCATAGTAATTACGGATTATGTAAGTATGAATTTGCCTTCCAAAACTCAATGCATTCGAACGAGCACATGCCATCAATGCACAAGAAATGGTGAATGCATTAGGCTTCAGAAACTTATTCTCTTTGATCATTCTGGCAAACAATTCCAATGCATCATTGGCATCTCCATGTTGTGCATAGCCTCCAATCAAAGTGGTCCAAGTCACGACATCCCTCTCCTCTGGTGCAAGCAACTGAAACAACGCATGAGCTTGGTTGAAACTTTTACACTTAGCATACATGTCAACGAGGGAATTGATCACAGAAACTTCGAAACCTGGATCACTCCGAATGCTACGCAGAATACATTTTATTGCAAAACCATGAGTCTCTTTCCCCTGGAGCAATGCTCCTACTGAAGCACACCCTGAAAGTACTGACAATAGGGTGACCTCATTTGGCTTCACACCACAAAGAATCATTTGTCTAAATATATCCAAGGCTTCACAGCCAAGTTCCTTTTGTGCATAACCCGCAATAACAGCACTCCAAGACACTACGTCCAACTCGATATCATCTTTCCTCATCTTCTCAAACAAAGAAAGAGCAGACTCAAATTGACCAGTCTGAGCATACCCTGTAACCATCGCATTCCAAGAAACCACATCTTTCTCTTGCATCCTTTCAAAAACCTTGTTCGCTTCATTCATCATAGCACATTTTGCATAAAGATCAACCAGCGAATTACCAACAAAAACATCATCAAACAATCCACTCCTGATAGCAAAACCATGCACCTGCTTCCCATGCAACCGTAACCCCATAGATGCACAAGCAGGCAACACATTCACAATACTGATCGGATCAGGTAGAATCGCAACATCACTCATTCTGGTCATCCTACCAAACAAAAAAAGGGCACCCTTAAAATCCGAATTCTGCAAATAAGCTGCTATAATCGAATTCCACGACACCAAATCAAATACCCCACTGTGGCACATTTCCTCAAACACCTGGCGGGCAGAAGCCAGCTCCCCACAACGGCCGTACATGGAGACCACAGCGTTACAGACAAATACATTCGACTCAACCCCATCTTTGCAAACAACACAGTGAAGTGAAGCCCCGCGAGATAAGGAAGCTAGCTCCCCGCAAGCTTTGAGGACGAAGGGGAAAGTGTAGTGATCAGGGGACCAGCCGAGGTTTCTCAAGTCACGGAACAGAGAGAAGGAATGCTCCAGATGGCCAAAGTGGAGAGCTCGGCGGATGAGGGCGTTCCACCAGAAGACGAGAGCGGGACATGGGTTAATGGACCGAAGGAGGGAGAGAGCAAAGGAAGGGGAATCGAGGGCAATGTAGGTGGAAAGAAGGGAAATTGAGAAGTGAGCGTTTAAGCCTTGGATTAGAGATTGCTGGTGGATGACATTTGCTTGCCTTAACGATTTGCAGTATCTAAGAAGAGTAGGAGAGACCGGGGGAGCCGCCGCGACGGCGGTGCCGGCGAAGCCACGGGAAAGGAAGGCTCTTCGTCGTCGTTGTATTCGTGATAATGGTTTCCAAGCTCGATGAAGCATCAGAATTATCACGCTGCAGCGGCAGAAAGGGGAAGGACTTTTTTTTCCTTGATTCGAAGCAAGACTGCAAGAGTTCCGAAGCTCAGAATTGGTGTCTGGTGATGTAGAGACCTAGTTCAGCACTTCAGCTTCAGAGAGCTGGCGCGCCAAAAAGACAGGAAAACGGAACCCTCTGGACGGGGAGCCAAGAAACAGGTAAATTACATAGCAGTACATAAAAATTGTCTGTTTAACTATATAGCCATCCGAGAAAAAAATAATAACTGAACCGGTCACCCATTTATTATGTTTTCACATTTCACCCAACTCGTGAGTTTGTTCGAGCTGACGGTCATTAACATATATTAACTACTAATTTTTTATAATTAAGAATGTAATAATAAAAAACAACAGACATATATTTTCCTTTAAAAATCAATCCATTTCATTAAAAAATAGATGGAATAATTATTTATTTAATCGCTGTAAATTAACACAATAATGTCGTAAAAAAATCAGAGCTCAAGTGACGGTTCTGCTAGTGACGTAAGCAACAACCATAGGTTTCCCAGTATCGCGTCATCACGGCGTAACGACAAGCTGTCGATCATCCATTAGCCAGCTATTGCTCGTTAGTAAGGAAAGCCTTTTTACGTTACGTCCGAACCACCTTGCTGGCCGGCGTTACCCAAGAAGGCAACACTCTTCCTCCACTATTCTTCTGATCAACCGCCGGCGTTGTGGCTCCAGCAACGGCCGCTTCAAACTCGCCACTCGAATCGTAGAAAACTAGATCCTCATCGTCCAAGAATTCCTCGGGAGGAAGTGTGTATCCATTCCGGTTATTATTACAAACATCACCATCACCGCCATTGTTGCACTGCTGCTGCTTCCTTGCCAGCCTCTTCTTCGACCGACCTGTGCTTTTCACGATGAAGTCATCCTCCTCGTCGTCGTCGTCATCCATGCCACAGCCATCGCCATTGTTAGCAGCGGCAGCACCATTTCTCCTCCTCTTTCCCGAATCAGTGCTGTTGCTGCTGCTCCCACTTCCATCCTTGCTGTAGAAGTCTCTGATTGTGGCTTCTACGGTTTCCAGCACCCGATCGCCGTACTTGGTTAGCTTAATGCTGGATTCATCGTGTAAAATGGAAGTGTTATAAGTTGTATTGTAGTCGTCAAATGCATGCTCAACTACAGAAAGATGACTTCACTCACTTTCCAATTCCATTGACCTCCAGGAGTTCTTCCTTTGTTCTGGGCATCCTTCTGCTGATTCGATGCAGAATGGCATTCCTAAACAAAGATAAGAAAAAAGGTAAATAAATGGTCATAACTGAAAATTTCAGACGACTCAGCTAAGATGAGTGAATTAGAAACTGACTTAATGTTGATAATAATAATAAGAAAATGGGAGGTAAATATGATGAATAAGCGGTTTTCGAGCTCACGCAAATATATGGTATGCCATACACCCCTCGCCAGCCTCTTTAACAAGATTAGTTCGAAGCATTCGTAGAGCATTGTATATGTGGTCGGCTAGGTCCTGCGAGGAGCAAACAGAAGTTCATTATTTTGGGGGAAATTAAGGAAATCAATGAACCACAGGATCGATCAGAGATGGAGAAACGCAAGTTTCGAGATACCTTATTGACTTTAGGTACAGCGGATGCTGTAGTGTCAGCTGATGGAGGACTTAGCTTGTCAGGCTGCAATGTTCCTTTTGCTGGAGGGGCATCAGCTTTGGATACCTTAGAGGCTTTTGCAGATGATATGAACCTGCAACGTGAAGAGTTGTCAGAATCACTACGTCTTATTGCACACTTGAGGATTCCCAGAAGAAGGCTGAAATTAGAGCCTCCGTAAATTGAAGCTGAACGAACCTTAGCAGGATCTGCTTGCCAGTGTATAGATCTGAAGTTTTGTGTGCATTCACCTGAAATATGAAGGTTAAAAAGATCATATACCTTGGAATAATATAAGGGCCAAACTGAGCTGGTCGTCACCCATAGGCCAAGAAGTCTAAAGGGTGTTACAGCGATCAGCATATCCCCCTGCCTACTCCACTACTTCCAATGAACAGAACCGCCATTTCCTCATCGTATCACAGCTTGATTCCAGCAGCTTTCTGGGGCGCATGCTCATGTCAAGGGAAGCACTCAATGAAACAGGCTATGCCCCAAAACCTACTATCCATTGGTTGCATCATCTCCCACTCTACACTTAAGTAGAGTCAACATTTTGTGAAAACAAACCTAAAAGAGCTGACTAAGAGTTTCCAGACATGTTTTTGTGGGTCGTGGACATGATGTAAAATTTCTGACATTCATGTCGGCGTGCAGTAAAATTGCAAGGCCAGGAATTTCTTTTCATAGACATCACTTTTCTTAACTTCCTCCGTAAGATAGTGAAAGGGTGAAGATGGAAACAGTGGTTACCTTTAGCACTGATGAAACAGATCCATAGACATCACTTTTCTTAACTTCCTCCGTAAGATAGTCCTCGACAACAAGATGGCGCATTATACGAGAAGCCTCTTCTTTCGCAAGATGTTTTCCAGCTCCATGCAGACTCACAGACTCATGTCTATGTTTCTTTACCTGCAGTAATTAGTAACAATTAAACACCAATAATTAGAAAGCATATCAAAAGAAAAGGTGAGAAGTTTTCATATCCATTTCTACCCAAAAAAAGAAGTTTTCATGTCCTAACATACCAATTGGCTCATGGAACCCCTGTAGACTTCCAGAATATGAGAAGATGAATATTTTTGTCCAGTCATTTTTACCAGCTCCACCTAACCAAAACAAATAAACATTTAGGTGAAAAGCAGTTACAAATTCAAAAACGTTACTGACTGCAACATGGATAAAAGTATAAGAGAATAGTCTTCTAACCAATTGCTTTGCTATCAAGGTGACATCCTTCTCCACCAAGGTTTTGGTCTTTGTACAGTTATCACATGTTTTCCGGCAGTTCCCAGAATCAAACTTCTCCCCAAAATGCACAAGCTGTAGGAAACGCCTACAATCGACGTTGTTTTCACAATAGCTCACCTGAAACAGTTGAATCGATATTGCATTACATTACTAGATATGACTAGCAGAAACAACTAGTCGATCTAATCATCAAGAAAAGAAACCCCAATTATTCTAGGTACCATTCGGAGCAGATTTTCAGTATTTTTCTCAAATATCCCATCTGAATTTGATGTGTTTCCACGATTATATCCAGATGTCCAGGAACTTTGCTCTCCCTGTCCTTGTACAAGCATATGCTTAACCCGTATCTAGATAGATTAGATGAGATTCAAATACAGGACAAGTTAGTACAACATGGCGAAACAAATGAAAGACAAATAGACAACTCATCATCCTGAAAGAACATAAAACCAACAGAGCCTTGTAGGTGAACTGACATAGTCACTGTAGCTGTAGTACAACACACAAGATGAGCGGGCACCATCTCGACCAGCACGTCCACATTCCTGAAAATTTTGCACCATTCCAACAGGCCAAAACAGTCAACATTATGATGTTTAGTAGTCAAACTCTTCCACATAGTTCTATGATCAACTGGTAATATTGGCAATTTTACTTGTGAACAGTGTCCATATTACCTGATGGTAACCTTCAATGGATTTTGGGAGAGAATGATGAATCACAAAGCGAACATCAGGTTTGTTGATACCTGGAACACAAATATTAGCACAACCATACTAATCTGTTTCAGATTATGTGGGTATCAGACATATTAAATGATACCCATTCCAAATGCCACTGTGGCACAGATTATATTAACTTCATCTTTGCTCCACTGTCTCTGGACAAAAGCACGTTGAGTAGTCTCCATGTTACCATGATAAAATGCTGCTTTATGTCCACATTGCTGATGGGGGGAAAATAATCAAATATCAAGCATATATGGATGTTAAAAGTCAAACAAACATAAATATCAAATCCAATCATAAGGAATCTCCAAGAACTAAGCGAAATATTCTAATCAAGAACTTTAGGCAGGAAGAGTGAAACGTAAACAACCTGCCATAGTAAGCCAATCAATCAGGAACTAAGTTCTTAAAAATAGAAAATTTGAAAATAAGAAAGATGATATACAATCACAAAACTTTGACCTTTATATTCACAAAATCTTAACGAATGCCCACGACTGAAGCTCTCCTAGTTTCTAGATATGCATAATTACGTGCCCCCAACCAAACCAAGATGCAAGAGTATCAACCTAGCTTAAATTTAACGTGCATCTGCAGACTATTGTTTCAATTGGTAGCGACTCCAGAGAGTGTTATAGATAATCAGTATAAGGAGCAAAACTTATCATCGACTTCCGTTCTCCACCTTAACAATAATGGCAGATCCAAAGCATCCTTTCGCACTTATTAAAGAGCGAATTAAGCACTCCATAAAAGAAACAAAGTGAATTAGTGCTACACCAACCTGCAACTTTTCAGCTACTTTTTCACAGTCCATCCTTGAAAGACAGTAAATAATTCCACATTCATCATAATGGTTTTCCTTAATGAACGTGTCGATGTCATCCAAACACTTCTTTGTCTTTGGGATCACCGCATACCTGATACGTCCACAAAACTGTTGTCTGAAAATTGAGGTGGGGGGAGGGGGAGGAAATGTATCAGCAACAACTTGTAACATACCATAGATTTGGCCTATTGAAACTCTGTCTGAAAATAATGCAATCAACAAGACCAAGCGCTTGCACTACATCTTCTTTCACGCTAGCTGTTGCAGTAGCGGTTAAAGCTAAAACTGGAGTTTTCTCAAACTTCTTTTTTAGGATTCCAAGTTCCTGGATATATTACAAGGTCATCCCGAATCAGACACAATGTTATATGGCTGTAACAGAACATACTATAGGGTTCAAGTGTCACAACCTTGTAATCTGGTCTAAAGTCATGTCCCCACTGACTCACACAATGAGCTTCATCAATTACAATCCTGGCAAGCATTCCACGAGTATTTAAGCTCTCCAGGTTGCGTAAAAGAGCATCACTTCTGCAAGTGAAAAAAGAGGGAAAAGAAAGTACCAAAATATTAGCTACCACACAACCTCACAAAATTCATACATTTACAATTTGTTATAATAACTAGCTTCAGAAAAGAACATCGCATCACGTCTTATATTCTACAATGCATTAATTTTCAATATGTTCAATACACTTCCAGAACCTGATTCATGTTGCGAGAGCTTATAATCCCATAGGAGTACTTAGAAGCTTCAGCCATTTCTACCGTGGAAGATACATTTCAGCTTAAAGGGCCTATTGTAAGTACACTCCGCTAAATCTGACACTTACTTTGCAACTTTTTCTGGTGTGACATATAACAGCTTGTATCTACAATAATCAGAGCAAAGTTCTCTCATGATCTCCTGCTGTTCAGACCAGTCCATATTGGCACTCAAATAAGCGGCAGGTATGTTTGCCTGCAGCACAAAAGGGCCTCAATAAAGTCTTAGCGAATACGTCAACATGTACAGGTAATTGTATACAAATGCTAAAAAGGACAAACTGACAGGATCAGTACCTGCAAAAGATGCATTATCTGATCTTGGATAAGTGATACGAGTGGAGAAATTACTAATGTGATCCCTGGACAGATCAAAGCAGGAAGCTGCATAGGGGGGAAGAAATTACTAATGTAAGTATGGGCACTTACTTCAAATTCAGGAGTGACATAGCATATTTGAGATGCGAAATAAAGTCATTTCAATTAGGAAGCCAAGTCTAAATTGAAGCAATTATCTGTTCGTTTGAGGCTATTTTCTTGTATTAATAACCAAATTTTGGCAGTCCCAACGAAACATACAGAAAACAGATAGAATGTCTGACCAGCTAACTGATGTAAAGCTCGTACAGTCTCTAAACAGAAAGAAAGGCAAGAATATTATGACAGACTGAGAAAGAATTTGTTACCTGATATGTCAAACTCTTTCCTCCTCCAGTAGGCATTAGAACAAAGACATCATAGCCACTCATTGTGGCATTAATCACCTCCCTTTGATTGGGGCGAAAAGAATGATTCCCAAAAATTTTCTTGTTATTCTCCTAAAAACAGAACCAGGTCAGCGAATTGGTAATAATCAAAGTCGGTAACTTAAAGGGTCCAATATAGACAACCACCTCAAGTTGTTTTGCCCATGAGAAATTTAAACTGCTCCACTTAGGGTCATTTGAGCCTTCACTGTAGTTCACCTCAGCAAACTTTGGTACATAAGGCTCCCTCTCCACAGGAGTATATGAACCCCCAAATCCATCCACGGGAGTGAATTGAAGAGATGAAGAGTTCCATTTTTCATACCCTCTTGCACCTGATTCGTTCTGTACATAATCATTTGGCTGCATTTTGAATGCTGCCATCTGAGGTGTTCCATATTGGAGGTTGACTGTTGTAGTGGATGCATAAAGATTTGACTTTTGCCTCTCCTGATTACTAACATAGCCCTCAAGTTGCTGGAGCTGTCTATTCAGTTTCAACCTAATGGTGCCAACGCATGGATATCAACACGTAAGGAAACAGATCAAACAGTTTGTTTTACTTTCATGAGAAATACAGATTGGTTGATCATCACAACATTCAGATTTAACATCTAAGAGATGGCAAAAGTTTCAAGTACCTTAGGTTCTATCTAAGTTCACATTGTAACTCTTGACTACAATCAACTAGTCGTGCGATCACTGGTATTACTTTTTCATTTGTTTCCGTCAATGTCAAATTAGAAGGAACTGAAGTACAGACTAGAGTCGGAAAAGCTACTGTACCTATCTTGACGAAGCTTCTCCATCTCTGCAGGATGAAGGTTGGCATTATCAAGTAATTCGTTTGAAATGTTGAGTAACATGTCCTTTATCTCCTGCATATGAGCAGTTCCATGTGGACAGAGCCCTAGCTGCATGAAAAATGAATAGTCCATCAGAATGTCAGGACGAGTTAGAGCGCAAAAATTATTAGAAGACTGCAGTGAGTGCTTACCTGAAGTCCATGACTGCAGTTTGATGATAACTCAGGTGGTATAAATGGGTCTTCTCGGCTAGTGAAGTTATCTTTATTCACAGAGGGACTTATTACTTGAGACTTAGAAACTGAAGGTTGAGGTGTGCAACCAGAATGGTAGTGTTCCAAAGCTATTTGATCAACGTCTATGCTCTGAAGTCATGTCAATGCAGAAAAGAGAAATTAATATGAAAATGGTAAATGAGCATCCATTGAAGAAGGAAATACAGTCTCGCGAAAGCTTCGATAAACATGTAGATGAAATTTAGCAACAGATTTGTCACTTAGCCAAATAAGAAATATCCAACAGACAAACAATTGATGAATTAATTGGACAACTAGCTATTTGAAATAGCTTGTGAAAACCGAATCCAACCAAGCTACAGTCCAATTCATAGCTTATACATAACAAGCACTAACATGAGTTACCTGGAAAAAATCGTCTTCATCCATATAGTCAGTTGGCCCTTCTGCAATATTCATACTATGATTGCTGGAGGGACCAGAATGAGCTGCAGGCATGGTACCACTAGCCCAAGAGGCTTTTCCAACAGCTTTTGACACTTCATAATAACTGGATCTTGTATGCTCTGTACTTTCACCATTCGGAACACTGGGTCGATGGATGTTATGTGCAACCACACCTTCATTATATATAGGAACAGTAGATGAGCTCTGTGAAACAGCTGCATGTCCCTGTCTACTTTGCACATTCTTTAGTGCACCAGTTTTCCCAGGTCGACTGTAGCTCCGGCTAGATACTTGAAGTTTAGAAAGAGCGAGCCAAGCCTGCCAAAAGTGTTCCACAAAAACGTATGTAAATTCCCAGAGCTCCTTACGCAGTTTACTACTTCCCATAACATAACATTTATAAGTAAACATCACCTTTTCAACTTGTGGACTGAGCTGTTTCTGCACAGTTTGAACTTGACAAGAGGCTAGCCTAGAAAACAGAAAATAATTCTTCACAAGGAGATACCGAAAAATAAAGTTGTCACAATATCAACAATGATTAATGAAGGCATGTAATGGAAAAATACACTTAAAGATGTTCTCCACCGTTAACTAAGAATAAACCTCAGCAGAAAATGTTCAGTAGAATCTGATCGCCACCACTCTAGTTGCTCGCGTTCTAGTTATACTACTTGCGTTAAGATTCACGACAGTGAGAATGGGAGAGAGTGTAAATGACTACCTTCTCGCCATTTCTACTTCAACTTGAGGTTTCTGAGATTCTAGAGAATACAGGAAACTCGAGCTCAAAACTTCCCTTTGCGCTGATGATTTGTTGTATACCTTTGCATGCTGGGACCAATTCACTCTAGGCTGCTGATTCTCCTTCCCCCTTGAACCTTTACCTGAATTGCTTAGACTGCAGGTAACCAACCCAAGATTGAATGAGTCAATATATTACAAACTCAAGAAATGAAAGATAAGAGAGACATGTAGGGAAAATTGAAACTACTTCAGATTCATATGTCTCTCACTGCTCATCAGGAACTTATCAGCAACTCTCGATGGCTAGCCTTCCTGCTAAAGCTCCATACTATACTCTGAAAAGACGCAGCAAGTAGAATGGAACGTAAGAAAAAAAACCCAAAACCACAGACGAGCATCAAATCAAAACAATCAGCAGCAGATCAGAAGGCAACGCCCATGGTGGAGGTTCAAAATAATTCACAATCAAGAGAGAAACAGAAACTGTAGCTTTCATTTCCCAATCAATTCAATCGCCGGAGACATTCAGTGACCAAATGAAGTTAGGTTTAACCGAAAACTGACCTTCGCCAGTGAGCGTGGTCCCTTAAGAGGTATCTGTTTCACAGAAAGCGGGAGTGACCGACGGCGAGAGCTCGGCGGTTGTGGCGGCAGAACGGGTAGGAAGAACAGAAGAAGAAGAAGTGAGAGCCTTCTTCAGAATGGAGGCAGCGATAAACGCGGACTTCAATGGCGGGACATTTCCCAGTTTTTTCCCCATTTCTTTTCAATGCTCGAAGTTCAAATTTTTAGCACCGCAATAATTTTGGCTCCTTTTTTCTTATGCCCTCAAACTTCTGGGCTACGGCCCATTTATCTGGCCCAAACAAGTACCTGGCCTATCCCAAATTCGGGCTAGGAGATTACCCGGCCTGACACCGGCTGAAGTACCCGCCCGATTCCACGCCGGCGAATTCTGCAGCGGCTATCTTCTTCTTCTTCTTCTCTGCTGTTTCCATGGCCTGCTCTGGACTGCTCTTCAATTCCTTCGTCGACAATAAGGTAAGCTCAGTTTCAGTCTTCAGGGGTGAAATTTTATGTTTTGCTCGGCGGGGATTTTGAAAGCGACGATCTTGTTTGACTTGTTTTTTTTTTTCTTTCTTTCTGAAATACAATTTGGTCTCAGTGCTTTCGACCTTGCCATCTCAAGCCTGCGGTTCCTTATCCAAGATCGCTCTCGACTTCAAGATTTTATCTGACTTCAAGTTTGAGGATTTCCATGTCAATGGAGGAAAATGGAGCTCCGACACAAGGGTTCGAAGTATCAAGGAAGAAGCTACCTCATGTGTTGACGGTGGCTGGCTCTGATTCCGGTGCCGGAGCTGGAATTCAAGCTGACCTTAAGGCCTGTGCTGCTCGTGGAGTGTATTGTTCCACTGTGATTACTGCAGTTACTGCGCAGAACACTGCCGGAGTTCAGGTCCTAATGCTTGCTAGTTGCTCGTAATACTTTCTAATCAAGTCTTTTCTGAGTCTACTCCTACCTAGTTGCTATGAAGTCGCTGAGCATCTATGAGTATCATTTTAATGGTTTTCAGGGAGTAAACATCGTGCCTGATGAATTTGTTGCTCAGCAGTTGAGGTCTGTGCTCTCTGACATGGAAGTTGATGTGGTAAGTCCCGTTCAGATATTGGGAGGATTGCTTGCAATTTCTTGGTTGACTTATGGAACCTGTTGGCGAACTTTTATCAGGTGAAAACAGGAATGTTGCCCTCTATCGAGATAGTTAAAGTTCTTCAGCGAAGTCTTAAGGAGTTTCCTGTTCGAGGTATGTTGAACTGATTAAGTTCATATCAGTGTCATCACAAACTCTAGAGGGTCTGGAATTAACCAAATAATTGAAGGCAGCTGTAGTTGTCGATCCTGTTATGGTATCTACGAGCGGAGACGTGCTAGCAGATCCTTCCATTCTGTCAAGTTTTCGGTATGTTTCACTAGTGTAAGATAAAGGATAGCTTGTGCTGAGTAGCCTATGAACTTCCTTCTATTGTCTACATTGTGCATTATGAAGTCTCTGGCTTTTTGAATGCAGGGAGGAGCTGCTTATGATGGCTGATATCTTGACCCCTAACCTTAAAGAGGCATCTAATTTACTTGGTGGAATGCGGCTAGAGACAGTTGCTGACATGCGACATGCAGCTAAGCTATTACACTCCCTGGGTCCAAGGTTCGTGAACATTGAGCAATCGAAAAATGAAGCAGATTCAATGGTCGTATCCTTAGAGTTGTTTGCTTAAGTTTACAACTAAATGTAATGATTTTCCAGGAGTGTGCTTGTCAAAGGTGGTGATCTTCCCGAGTCTTTTGATGCTGTTGATGTTTTCTTTGATGGTAAGCTGTATAGAGTGTGTTCCGTTGTTTTTCTTAGTGTTGTAATTTAATCTGTATGTCTTGCCATATTTGGAGGCCAATTTGATTCTATGATATTTTGCAGGTGAAGAGTATCATGAACTACGCTCTCCTCGTGTAAAAACTCGCAACACCCACGGAACCGGTTGCACGTTGGCTTCATGCATAGCTGCTGAGCTAGCCAAAGGGTCCTCTATGCTATCTGCTGTGAAGGTAACCCCATTGTGGTTGTGCATGTGTTTTTATTCTTATGCAGTTTGTGACTGAAGGAGTGATTGTTGAGTGAGACATTAATGAATACTTATTTTTTTGGCCTCTACCCCTAGTGGTGACTGTCATATGAGGTATCTTTTATTTTTATATAAACCAATCCAACTAAGGAAAATTAAGGTGGCAGCACTAGTTTCGTGTCTTGATTTCACCAGGTGTACATATCATCACTTTAACCTGCTATATGACTGTAATATGCTCTCTACAATCCTGTTATATATTTTTGTTCGCGTGCTTCACACTTTCCCCATCAATGATCTCAAAAGATTTGAAATTTGCAGCTAGCTAAGCGCTATGTTGAGACTGCCTTGGAGTATAGTAAAGACATTATCTTAGGAAATGGAGCTCAGGGTCCTTTTGACCACTTTTTAAGGCTCAAGCATAACTCTGGCACAGGGGTAACTTTCAGTGGGAATGACTTGTTTCTGTATGCTGTTACTGACTCTGGGATGAATGAGAAATGGGGACGGCCGATGGAAGTTGCAGTTAAAGAAGCAATCGAAGGAGGTGCCACTATAATTCAACTAAGGTTCAAATTATATGAAGCCTCTTTTACACTTTTGCTGATAAATTCCACTCTACTTTTGAAATTATTTCCTGCATCATATTTAAACTTATTTTCTGCATCATATTTGTCTATACTTTAGCTATTTTCATTTTTAACTGAGGGTGTGCATGGTCCTGTCTGGTCTGGAAGCAGGCTGAATCAACATAGGATCATATTAAAGTAAAAAAGGAAAGTGAGGATCAGAGTTAGTGAAAAATGCATTTGATCCTACTCGGTCCAGTCCAGTTCATTTCGGTCCTTTTAAAAGGACCTATGGAACCAAAACCCATTTGAATATATTCCGCTGATCCTACACTGATTAGCTCTAGTGTGGTAATTCGCAGGGAGAAAAATGCAGAAACAAGAAAGTTCATCGAAACAGCAAAAGCTTGTCTGAAGATCTGCCGTCCCTACAAGGTGCCTCTGTTGATAAATGACCGTATCGATGTAGCCCTTGCGTCTGATGCTGACGGAGTCCATCTCGGGCAATCAGACACGCCTGCCCAGGTTGCCAGGGCTCTTCTTGGACCAGAAAAGGCAATTGGTGTTTCATGCAAGACGGTGGAACAAGCTCACCAAGCATGGGTTGATGGTGCGGATTACATTGGCTGTGGTGGGGTCTATCCAACTAGCACCAAGGCAAACAACACCACAGTGGGTTTGGACGGGCTGAAAACCGTTTGCTTGGCTTCCAAGCTACCTGTGGTGGCGATTGGTGGAATCAATGCTTCAAATGCGATCCCCGTGCTGGGGATTGGTGCGCCGAATCTTAAAGGTGTTGCAGTCGTCTCGGCTGTGTTTGACAGATCGAGCGTTGCGACAGAAACGAGGAACTTGCATAGTATGCTGACGGAAGCAGTGTCCAAGGCCAACTGAAGCAGTTCCTGCTTTTGATACGTAAAGTGTGAAGATTTCAATAGCATTGTTTTCATAATGGTGGATGATAACTTTGCTTCCTTGTGTTGAGATTCAAATAAGGTGCGGTGCACATGTAGAAAATGAAAGAGTCTAGCGTCGATTTTGGAAAAGGTTGCTATATATTTGTGCAACTTAAAAATTAGATCTGTTTGCTGGAGTAAACGAACAGGCTTGTATTATCCATTAGGCCAAGATTAAAGAGGAAGATCTGTTATTTCGTACTTCTGTTGTAAACTATTTTAAGGAAATCTGAAGCTGATCTTATAAAGAATAGCATAAAGATAAACATTCTATACTGGATGGGATCCATTAGTATAATGTTATCTATTTTAAATTATGGATTATTATACGCTAGTGTCAGTCGATATGTAAGATCATTTATCACTGTCAAAGTCCGGTTATATATCATATAAATATATTATGAAAAGTTCATGTTGGTCGATTTTATTTAGATTAGCAATTCGCGATAACTTTAACCGATTTTAGCGATATATTGATATGCTATAAGTTGAAGTTGAACCATAGTTGTGCCATTAAAAATACTATTTCTCTTTCTTGTCCACCACTCCAGGTTTGATTTTACAAAACAAACGATCCTCATTCCTCTTCTGTAGAATGAACCCATAAAAAGGAAAGAACAAGAAGAAAGAAAACCTTTTCCATATAAACCTATACGGCTATACGCCTGTACCATTCAGTATTAACTATTTGACTCGTAACATTCTGTAAAAAGTCTGACAGACACCAAAAATGAACACAGCAAGCCAACAAGCAACACCAGAAGCTGTCTTGCATAATCCAGCACAAACATAAACCCTATTTCCCGTACAGCAGATCTCTCACACACTGCCTGCCTGTCTGTCTGTCTGCCAATACCCAAAAACCGCTACAATTTACAAATACAGCTTATTACCACACATGCACCAAAGGGGAGGATTCTAAATTACACAGGTCGTTTTATACAGACTCTCCATGACAATCCTATTATAGAGGTAAAACAAGAAAAAAACACATTTTAGATTTCCATACTTCCCCAAAGTGCAAACTAGATATCATATGACTTAGCTAACACGGAACTCGCCACTGGCTTGTGCCTCCTTAACCCTCTTTTCGTACTCATCTCCGCCTCCTCCTCGTCCTGCTTCTTCCTCGGTCTCAGGTTCAGGCTCTTCTTCCTTCGTGTCCTCCTCATCTTCTTCATCTTCTGCTCCCCAGCCAAAGGTCCCGATTGATCTCGATACTTTCGCAGGAACTTTGGCCTCTTCCACGATTTTCATTATCTCTTCCACGGTTTGTAGGGAGAAGGCTGGATTCTCTTTCCTGTAGTACATGGTTTGGGCTGCTTCGGTCAGTTCTCTAGGGAGATTCTTCAGAAACCAGGGGTGGCTCTTGATTTCTTTGATTGTGACCCTCTGTCAGAAAAAGAAGAGGTGGCTTTAGTGACAGTACTTTATAGCCAAAGATGTGAGCAATTTCTCTGGACTTGTAAGAACAGGTAAAACAAATGAACATACACCCAAGGGTCGATACAAAGGATGACAATGAATCAACAAAATTCCTACGTTTGTTCTTTTCATGCAAGACATTAAAGAATTTCCCAAACATACCTTGAGTGGATTTGCAACAAATATCCGGGAAATGAGGTGCCTGCAATCTTGCGATATGTGTACATAGTCTGGGATCTTGTATTGAACAGCCATTATTCTCTGCACACGGAGACAAAACTAAGCGCTCTGTAAACAGAAAATAGAACCAGTAAGTAGAAGGAATACAGAAGGGAAAACAAGGTCATACGTTGATTGTTTTTCTGAAGTTCTTTGGGTCATCCTGGTCCTCAAAAGGATATGCTCCCACCAGCATAACATAGAGTGTTACTCCACATGACCATACATCTGCCAGCTGAACCAGGAAGAAACAAAGTAAACATGATTGGCCTCTGCAGAAGTACTTTCCTTGCACAACTGGAAAGAAAGAATGAGCAAAACATTCTACAACGCAATCCCGCCGCAGGATTCTCATGGCATTTGCTTCATGCAGCCTACCATGATCACTATGATAGTAGTCCAAACTCAAAAGAATCCAACGAAGTTCTAAATTACTGTTGCAACTATGTTTTGATTCAGATTCAGGCCTTGTAATAGTAGGAGTCGCAAGGAATTGACACGACTATGACACTTTGAGATCCCTTTGATTGGAAACAAAAGGAACTGGGGAAATATACCGATGGTCTTCAACTGATTATCAACAAAGGATTTTGGAAACCGAATGTCATCTGGACTCGTCAATCATAAAAACTGACGGAACATGAACATTTAGCAGACGTTACCTTGCCATCATATTCTCTGCGAGAAAGAACCTCTGGAGCAATATATGCTGGCGTCCCAACAGTTGATTTTGGTCTTGAATGAAGTAAAGAGGACTGCTTGTAACAATTTAAGTAGAATGTTTGTTAAATGTCACAAAGAGTTCACTATTTCAAATGTCAACTAGCAATAGATCAGGCAATAAAAAACGAAAATCTAGAACTAGCAGTATATTTCTTTTAATCTGAAATCAAACCTTTGAATAACCAAAATCACATATCTTCAACCGTGGTGCTGGGCTTCCATCCAGCAATGTATTTTCTAGCTTCAAATCTCGATGACATATTTGCTGCAGTAACATTGAAACTAAGAAATCGGTCACTCTTTCTTAGGATTCAGACTGAAGCAAAAACAATCCGAAAATTCATTTCACCATGGAATGGCAGTAGCTGACGCCTGAAATAAGCTGTTGGAAGAAGTACCTAGCCTGGAAAATGAATAGTGAAACAGGAAAGGTCTCAGGTGTAATGGCATAATCCTTCTTCCATTACCCACCCAATGATCACAAAACACCTTTTTTTCCAACAACCCACATCCTAATAAATGGTTAGGCAGACAGAGAGACCTCATCTTCGCTGAATCTTCCAGCATTACAGATGCGCTCAAACAGCTCCCCACCAGCAGCATACTCCATCACTATAGATAGATGGGTTGGAGTCAAAACCAGCTGCAAAATCAAACACCCAAGAAAGGAAAAACAAAGTCAGTAAATCACTGATCTAGTACAAAATTGCACTAGAACAAACAAAAAGCAGAGTTTGCAGAGTGATGATGGGCAACCAACCTCCTTGAAGCGAATTATGTTAGGATGGCGAAGCGATCTGTGATTTATAATCTCTCTTGCCACATTCTCATCAATCTGTAACAAGTAATGAAATAGCATTACGATCTCATTCACCTTTAATCCCCCTACCCAGAAAAAAGGCACCAAAGCCCATGAATCGCAAATTCAATCATAACCCATCCCGTGCTGCCATCAAACAATTCTCCTTCCCTTTCTCCTTGTGTACACTGATCCTACCGTCTTTTGAGGTTCGCGCGTAAAATAGAACTAGCAGAAGCACAGGTATCGAAGCATATCATAATGAAAAACAGGGGAAAGAATTTAAGACGCGGTACCTTAGGGCCACGCTCAATATACTTCATGGCGACGAGCTCTCTGGTCTGCTTGTTCCTCATCAGCCTGGCAATCCCGAAATTGCCAGATCCTATGTCTTTCACTAGCTCGTACTTGTCCATCTCCCCTCCCGAAAAGTAGATACACAAACCAACCTACCGCAATTCTGCTTCGATACCCAGCTTCCCAAAATACAAAACAACCTTTCTCCACCGTTTTCCTATGTATAAACAAAAAGATATTCTTCCTTTTATCTGATATATCTCTGTTTCTGCTCCCCGAAATTCAGAGACCCAGCATCGATTCCGACGCGGCAATCGCCAGAATTCCCAACGGATTGCCGGAATCGGAAGACGGAAATTCGAAGGAATTATCTGAAGACAAAGCGCGAGCAAGGGGAAAGTGGGGTGGAGGGAGGAAAAGGGAGAATTGAGGAAGGAAAGTTAAGAATCTACGGGAATTAAAAAAAGGGAAAAAGGAAAGGAACCCAAACAGAGTGGGAAACCAAAGAATCAGCAACTGTTTCTTTTCTTTTTCAGTTTTTTGTCTGGGTATGAGACACGAGAAGGAAAAGGAAGGATATTTTTGCTGGAGGAAGGAGAAGGTTCTCTGTTTGGATTGGAAGGAATGGAATTGGCCAATTGGGTCTCTCTTCTCTTCTCTTTTCTCTGTGAATTCGATTACGAGGGGGAGGAAGGAGAGACGGGAGGATTTGGTAATGGCGGATTAATAAAGTTTTTATTTTTATTTATTTCCCCTGTTTTTATCTATCTTAGCATCAGCGGTCAGCCATCATGCCGTCATTAGCCGCGGGAGATCGTCGGTAGAGTGTCCAAATGAGCCAAGCCAGCCGCTAGCGAGCAACTCGGCGTTCGAATCGGAAAAAACTCGTTTGATACTCGACTCGTTATTTAACAAGCTGGCTTGCGAGCCAATTCGTTAGTTAACAAGCCAAGTTTGAGCTAGACAATGCTCAGCTTGATAAGCTCGCGAGCTAGCTTGATTCAGTGGCTTGTTGAGCTAAGCTCGCGAGCTGCCTTGTTTAGAGCTTGTGAAAGGATGGAATACTTTTTTAAACATGAACATTGTCTTGTTAATACAAATGTGTATGAAATTTAGATGTTATTTATAGTTTCTAGTGTTCTTTCTATCATTTAAATTCTTATGTTTACACATTTTTTCATCAAGAATGATTTTAAATCGAGCTCATCTTGAGCCGAGCTTGTACTCAGTTTGACAAGCTATGTTAATGAGCATTTATCAAACTCTACCGAGTCGAGCTCGAGCTAGATGATTTTTATTCAAGCCGAGCTCGAGCTGGATTATCAAAATTTGAGTTCGAGCCGAGTTCGAGCTAAAAAATTAATGAACGAGCCGAGCTCAAACTTAGCAAAAACTCGACTCGACTCGGCTCGTTTGCAGCCCTAGAATGAAGATATGATGGTAGAAGAAATTTTAGGATAAATACCGAATAATTATTCTATATGGTTTGATGTTATTCAATTCAAAGATCATTTTCGTATATTTATTTTAGTATTTATAAAATTCATCGAGATAAAAAATTATATTATATTAAATTCAATTCGGTGTGATCAGATTCTGATCAAATCCATATATCGGTTTGGTCCGATATGATACTGTCCGGACCAACAGTTGCACATCCTCTTCGTCCACCTATCACGAAATGTTCCTGTTGGTGGATCTGGATCTGGTTGCCGCCTCCCAGATCAATTGAGCCGACTGGCCATTCTCAACGGGCCTAAATCCGAGGAGCCCAATACTGGCTCACTTTCAACGGGCCCAAGGCCCAACTACTCTGTGTAGGCATATCCTTAATCCTTGATTGCAAGTTGCAGCGCTGTGGCAGTGTGTTAACGAGATCGCAAATCTGACTTGCAGACTTTAATAAGTTTCTTTATCATTTTTTTCATTTTATTTAATTGTATTTACTGAAAACCAAAGGGCGATAAAAAAGAAAAAGAAACGAGAAAAGACTTTTTACAGTCTCTAACTTTTTTTTCCCCCCCATCTTCCGTTGTTAAATAAAAATCACTATCAGAGAGTCTCGTCCAATAAAACGCAGAGTGGCCAAGGTCGGAGGAGGAACAAGGAGGAGGAGGAAGAAGAAGAACCTTCGGATGCACAGAGCTCGCAAATACTTCTCGGCAGATTGCACTAAAGCCTGACGACGCGGCTCCACTGGACCCGAAGATCCCCCTTGCTCCCCTGCCGGCGATCGCAATGTCCTCCGCCGCGTCATCCCGATCTCTCCATCTCTTCCTCTGCGCTCTTCTTCTCATCTCTCCTCTCGTCCTCGCCTCCGAGTCAGATCACAAGGTAAACGAGCCTGATATCTTGACCTCGTGCTTCACTGCCGGTGCGGAGTTGGCTGCGGTTCTAGATCTCGTTCCTCTAGGTTTCTGAGTTCTTGATTGGGACTCAGATCTGTGCGGGAAATGCTTCGCCCAAATGTCGTGCTTCTTGAATTGTTAGTAGGTTCGTTTCTGGTGCTAGGGTTCCTGGATAGTTGAAGATGCGTGATTGGGTGGTGGGTTTGGTTGTGGTGGATTGGGAATTAGATCCTTCCTTTACCCCTCTCGTTTTTTGTTCTCTTCGTGCTAATGCTTACTCTGCTAGAGTGGTGTTGCAGCTGCGAATTGATTGATCCTATCTGGTTCTAGAGTGTTGTGGGGTGTTCCCGTGCGAGGATGTTGCACCTTGCATGACGTTGCATGTTGAACCATTTAGTTTTTGCACAATTGGATCTGATGGCTTCATGGTTTAAGCATATTGTATTCGATTTTGGTGTATATGTATTTATCATGACAGACTGATGCATTGGATCATGAGTTATGTCATTGATTATTTTCATCTGGATCTACTACCATGTATTCTTGTAGGCATTGTAGAGCTTGCATAGTGTTTTCAATCTTCATTATTTCCTCGTTTTGGGTTTTCTGAGATTTCGTTGGTACTGATGGACTTCATGAAAAGAGTACGAGGTCCACGATGGGACTGGATTTATTGCATTGTGCTCCATCGGAGCATGCAGCTACCTTTTGAATTTCGATGTGTATTGGCAACTCGTAAACATACTTGAGTTAGTGAGGAGTGAGCAATTGTTGCACTTGTATGCCTTTTTCCTGCTGGAACATTAGGCGGTCCTAGCGTAAAAATAGCTTGTTTTACTGCTGGAACATTGACACCCACTGGTGTTTCTGCTGAGGTGAAATTGGTCGACTCGCTTGATTCGGGAATGTTTTTATTTTGAATTTTAAACTGCTGACTACTTGCTAGAATCCCGGGAAAAATAATAACACTTGCTGAAATTACTTTTTTTTTTTTACTGTTGTTAGCAAGTTTTTTTTCCATTTGATAATCTGGATATTATTAATTTCACTAAAAACAGATGGTTTGTCCTGTTTATCTCTAACTCCTAGTCACATATTGTTTTTCAGTATCAACCAGATGATCCTGTTACTCTTTGGGTGAACAAAGTTGGTCCTTATAATAATCCCCAAGAAACGTACAACTACTACAGCCTTCCATTTTGCCGTCCAGCTGGAAATTCTGCACACAAATGGGGTGGTCTTGGTGAAGTCCTGGGTGGAAATGAACTTATTGATAGCTTGCTCGACATCAAGTTCCAGAGTATGTACAAACTTATCACAAGCCATGTTCTACTTTCAGATACTGTGAGGTGGAAATTCTGTTAACAGGATTGGTTTTGACTTGCTACATTTTCTGTTGCAACAGAGAATGTAGACAAAGGTTCCATTTGTCAGCTCGACCTCGATGAAGCTAAGGTCAGACAGTTCAAAGATGCCATTGAGAACAGTTACTGGTTTGAGTTCTTCATGGGTATGTTCAGTTTTGGCTTGTCTTTGGCGTCTTGTTTCCATCTCCATCTGATTTCAAAAAAATTCTGATAACATCAGGAAACTGGGCAAATCTTCTTAAAGCTTTGATCTCCACTTCACCTATTTTAGCAAGGAACCTGTTTCTCTTTTTGGTTTTATTAGTTATGGTTGATTAGTTTTCATGATTGGTTTTCAAGGTTGATTCACTAATGAGTTTCTTGTGTCTTCTGATTCGTGATCTTCTGTTCTATGACCACTAATGCAGATGACTTGCCACTATGGGGTATGTATTCACTAATATCATTGTTGTTGTTATTGTTGCAAATCCCTGCTGTATCGTATTGAGTTGATTCTTAATTATTTCACAGGCTTTGTTGGGGAGTTGCATCCTGATAAAAACAGTGACAATGGTAAACATGTTCTGTACACACACAAGACTATTACGGTTAAATATAACAAAAATCAGGTTGGTGCTTGACCATCAGTTAGATTGTTAGTTAATGCTGCTTATTGTTCTGGATGTTGAAGTGTCTATCCTTGCAGATCATTCATGTTAATCTGACTCAAGAGGGTGCTAAACCCCTCGAAGCGGGTAGAAGTGTGGAAATGACGTACTCTGTCAAATGGATTGCAACTAATGTTTCTTTTGCTCGTCGCTTTGATGTCTACTTGGATTATCCTTTCTTTGAGCACCAGGTAAAGCTGCTGCTCAGCTTACGATTTATGTTGTGTTTTTTTCATGACATTTTCAATTCTTTCAAGGTTGATGCACTAATGAGTTTATGATCTCTCTTTATTTGTGTTTCATTATTTATTGAGTTACTTTTCGATGCAGATCCATTGGTTTTCCATTTTCAACTCTTTCATGATGGTCATCTTCCTCACCGGTTTGGTCTCGATGATATTAATGCGTACCCTTAGAAATGACTACGCTAAGTATGCTAGAGAAGATGATGATCTGGAGTCTTTGGTATTGCCTCGTTATATTCAACCTCTTTAATTTTGTATTTCTTATAATGATTTGGAAAATCATATGATAATAATTTTTTCGGGATTCCTGTAGACCATATTTAATGAAGATTTATCATCTTTTCCTTTAGAGTTTTAATTTTGTATGTCTAACATGCTTGGCAAAACAATAAATGATGTTCAACAGGAAAGAGATGTCAGTGAAGAGTCTGGTTGGAAGCTTGTCCATGGAGATGTTTTCCGCCCTCCTCGCAATTTGGTTATTCTGTCAGCTGTTGTTGGGACTGGTGCTCAGCTGGCACTGCTTGTGCTTCTTGTCATCCTATTGGCTATTGTTGGGATGTTGTATGTTGGGTATGTGCCGATTCTTCTTCCAAAATTTCTATCCCCTTTATAACGTCTTTGGGTTTGTTCATGTGCTCTATCCGCTTGTTCCATGTATTCTCTGTATTTCATGAGGGACACAGCATTTGTGACGTCTGTGTGTCTTCTAACTGTGTTCTCCAAATAAGACTCATGGTTGTAAATTTTGCAAACCCCTATAATTTTGTTGACACTTTCTCATGTACTGATAGTCAAATGAATTTATGTTGTGCAGGAGAGGAGCAATCGTGACGACTTTCATTGTTTGCTATGCTCTGACATCATTCATTTCTGGTTATGTTAGTGGAGGAATGTATTCCCGTCATGGAGGTATGCATCTTTATCATATCTTTTGGTTCCCGCTTCCATTGGTCTCTGTAGTTGGCATTTTTTGTTCTTACAAAGTGCTTTATATTTTCTTTGCAGGTAAAAGTTGGATAAAGGCCATGATCCTAACGGCTTCTTTGTTCCCGTTTTTGTGCTTTGGAATTGGGTTTATTTTGAACACAATTGCCATATTCTATGGATCTCTTGCTGCCATCCCATTCGGTACCATAGTGGTTGTTTTCGTCATTTGGGGTTTCATATCTTTCCCCCTAGCACTGCTTGGTACAGTGGTTGGTAGGAATTGGAGTGGTGCTCCAAATAACCCTTGCCGTGTTAAGACCATTCCTCGACCAATCCCAGAGAAGAAATGGTACCTAACACCATCTGTGGTATCAATGATGGGGGGACTACTTCCCTTTGGTAGCATATTCATCGAGATGTACTTTGTTTTCACGTCTTTCTGGAATTACAAGGTGAAATTTCTGTGCTCATTTTGATTGCACTTATAGACCTCAAACTGGTCGTTTTCAATTGCTTTAAATTATTATTCCATCCTGATAATTTTGTTGTTGTCTTGCAGGTCTACTATGTGTATGGCTTCATGCTGCTTGTTTTCCTGATTCTCATCATTGTAACTGTTTGTGTGACAATTGTGGGCGCATATTTCTTGCTGAATGCTGAGAACTACCATTGGCAATGGACCTCCTTCCTCTCTGCTGCATCAACAGCTGTGTATGTGTACTTGTACTCGATCTACTACTACTACGTGAAGACTAAGATGTCTGGCTTCTTCCAGACCAGCTTCTATTTTGGATACACTTTGATGTTCTGCCTTGGCCTCGGAATACTCTGTGGTGAGTTCTTTTGTTCTAGACCATGCTTTGCTTCGGCCGATATATAGTGGATGGAATGCTTGTATGTCTCGCGAAAGCTGCTCGAAATGGCTGATACTGCCACTCATTTTCCTAGATGCCTTTATATCACTTCATGTATTGCATGTATGAGGTCAAATGGGGATCTCTGGGTCATGTCATTTCTTTGAACAACTAAAATGGGCCTTGATATGACGTTGTTAAATAGCTGAGCTTGAGCTACATACAGCAGCCTACGGTTCCTATAAGATTAACTTGTTAGCTGACAGCCTGACACCACATAGTATTCTGCTTAGTTGCATCTTCTTTGTTTGCTCGTGCTAATATGTGTAATGTCGGGATGGTGCAGGTGCTGTTGGTTATCTAGGCTCAAACTTGTTTGTAAGGAGGATCTACAGAAACATCAAGTGTGACTAGTAGAACTGGGCGGTTCGCAGAACCAGGGGACTGGGCGCTTCCTTCTCCCAAGCCCTAATATTCTTTTAACATCCCGGGGACACGATTCTCGAGATTCGAAGCATCTGGTCAACTCAACGGACGAATTTTCAGGAAAACTTGTAGTGGACGAATCAACAACAAAGCTTTTGATAGGGATTGGGGACTGTAACTCTTCCCTGGAATAGCGGGGGAAGCAGTTGTTGAAGAGGGTTTGTTCTTGGTGTTCCTGTTTTTTCCTTTTTGTCCCCCCATCTGTAAGTGAAAGAGGTTTTTGATTTAGAATCCCAGAGATTTGTCATATATCTGTGAAGCATTAGCAGGAAATATATTGGACCTCTCTCGCCGTCATTTCATCCGATGCCATGTTAGAACTAAGAACTGATACCCTAATTTTGATTGATTCAATGCGACTCCCTCGAACTGCCGCCATCCATTGAATATTTTGGTGGTTTTGTGAGGCCTTATCTTAGGTGGATGCCTTGTGGAGCAAGAGATCTTGATCTACCCCAGCAATCCGAACCAGAGCTTCTGTTCTTTGCTACAATCGATATGGTCGAAACTTGAGGCCATCTCGCTTCGTAGGCTGTCCTTGCATCTAGCAGTTAGATGTTTAAAGATCCGATAAGCCTTGATTCGACGGGCAGGGAAGCAATGCAAAGCAACCTTCACGCACTACTGTCTTCTTCAGCAAGCAAGAATCTTCTAAAAGCAAAGCATCTCTTTGTAGGACCACAGTGCCATGAACCCTGCAAAATCCAAAGGGCACACAGGATTTCGAAAAGGGTATGGGGCTTGTGGCAGCCACAACCCTAGGCCCAATTTACCCTCATTCACCAAAATTTCACTGGTTCGTTTTGTTGATAAAGAAGATAACACACACCACAATTGCCCGCCACGTGGCAGATAGCTATCCAAAAATCTCCAGCTACTAGTACTTCTACTACAAACACTACTCTTGCCCCAATTCCTCCCTACTCCTTCAAGCTCCTTCTTTCCCTTCCTTCCTCTCTGCTACCCAGAAAAAAAACAGAACAACAATGGCGTCTACAGCAGCAGGACTATGCAGCCCGATCCAACTGACCACCAGGTTCACCCGGCCGAACCCATCGGCCGCGTCCCTCAAGGCGCTCAACTCGAACCAGGCCCTGTTCGGGCTGAAATCCGGAGTCGGAGTCGGAGCGGGGAGGAAGAGGATGGTGACGGTGGCATACAAGGTGACCCTCAAGACCCCAGAGGGAGAAGTCAGCTTCGACTGCCCGGAAGACGAGTACATCCTCGACGCAGCAGAGGAGGCCGGCGTCGACCTTCCTTACTCCTGCAGGGCAGGGTCATGCTCTTCTTGCGCCGGGAAAGTGGTGAGCGGGTCGGTGGACCAGTCCGACCAGAGCTTCCTCGACGACGACCAGATCGATGGTGGGTGGGTTCTCACCTGTGCGGCTTACCCGTCTTCCGACGTCACCATCGAGACCCACAAGGAGGAGGAGCTCGTCGCCTAATTGCAACTCTGTTTGATGAAAATTCAACTTGTGTTGTTTTTTTTTTTGGTTTCCCTCTCTCCCTCTCGATGGCTCTGGTTGGATTTTCCAGATGCGTTTCCCAATTGAGTCTTGATGCTTCTGTGTTGCCTGTCTGATGAAAACCCTGCTACTGTTTTTCAATTGAATTTTGGATGTCTCCTGGTTATTAATGTAGTTGTAATAATATTCATGACTCTGTACACCCAACATTTTGTATTCGGCATGGTGTTGTTCTTATCTTGCTTGCGCGCGCGCCATGAAGGTGCTGCGTTCGTAGAAAGACTCCTCGGCCATCTTCCCATCTCTCTCATTTTGACCCGGAAAAGCCCTCTCTTCCATGCGCCATCGCTGGGCTTTCTGGAAAGAGAAAAAACAGAGGCTCTGTTTTAGCATGCCGCGATGGCGGAATCTTATCTTCCTCCCGTATAGTTGTTTCGTGGTAGCCTAGCCGTTGAGCAGAGCAGGAACTTCCTCATTTGGCCACAAAGGGTTTAAATTAAACTTTTGATTTCGAAAACCAATTAATTTAATTTGGTGCCGGACTGGGAGCTCTACTCCATGCAACTGCATCCGTTCCCTGTAATTTATGAATTCTGGGCATTTTCCCGGCGACGCAAACTTACCTGCCGGAAGACAGCCGACCACTAGGAGAAAGGAGGAATCTTATCATTTCCATCTCCGCCCAACAGTATATCGTGTTTCGATTATGATTTGCCTTACAAACTGATTCCTCTGTTTCCGCCATCTCGTTGGTTTTCCTAGAAACAGAGGCTCTATTTTCTTCTGTCTCCAAACTAATGATTTGCATTCTTCTTCTTCTTAATTTCACTTCAATTTCTCTGATGAAGTTGATGAGTGATTTACGTACCCAATGGAATTCATGTAGCCGCGTGGAGGCCGTCGCATGACTCGCATCCACTTGCGTCACAAAATCTTACCATTTTGATACGACGTAAAGACACGATTTTTATGCAGGATCGTGCAAATTGAGGTTAAGCATCTCATTCGCTCTTGTGTAGGGTCCTGTGATTCCCCAATTGTAGCTTAACAACGCACGAAACAGTGTTTCGAGTCGCTTCATACTCTGTTTTGCTCTCGTTTTCAATTTTTCATCTGGTTGCTGTCTTTCAACCTGGGATATTCAAGGATTGAAAATGACTCCCCTTTCTCGAATACAACTATACAAGCCACACTGTGTGACTTGTCTTCTCACTGTATTATAATATGGTTAAATACACTTCTAGAATCCACACAACAATACACCAAGCTATAAATGTAAGAATGTATAAACGGGAGATTTGGTTGTGGTTCACAGAGCAATTTGGCCACTCCATTCACGAGTTTGTTGTAATGTCGAATGAGCTTGATCTTTGACATGACACACTCGCTAGTAATGGCCTGAAACGTGGAAGATAAGCCATCCAGAAATCTCCACCACCCTCCCTTCACTATTTGATCATCGCCAACATTTCTCCATACTCCATATGACCATATTCCTCCCCCTAGCTCTCTCTGTCTCTGCTACGCAGAAAGCCAAAAAGGGTAGAGAAAAACAATGGCTTCTGCAGCAGCAGGACTGTGTAGCACCAACTTCGCAATAGCCACATCCCTGAAGCCACTCAACTTCCCAAACCAGGCACTGTTGGGGCTGAAGAAATCCGGAGGCGCGGGGAGAATGATGGTGAAGGCAATGGCGGCATACAAGGTGACCCTCAAGACCCCAGGCGGGGTAAAAAGCGTGAAGTGCCCCGCCAACAAGTACATCCTCGATGCAGCCGAGGAAGCCGGCCTCGACTTGCCTTACTCTTGCAGGGCCGGGGCCTGCTCTTCCTGCGTAGGCAAGATCGTGAGCGGGAAGGTGAAACAGACCGACCAGGCCTTCCTTGACGACGACCAGCTCGCTGCTGGCTTTGTCCTCACCTGTGTGGCTTACCCTGCTTCCGATGTCGTCATCGAGACCAACAAGGAGGACGAGCTCGTCGACTAGCTTGGTTTGACGGATCATATGCCCGGTTGTTGATGTGGTTGCATAAAGTAATGTGGTTCTGCTATCTAGCTTATAGACATATAAATAATCCTCGCTTCCCGAGGACTCTGTCCATTGCGAGGTTAAGTTAATGAATAAGAGAGGCATACCTATGGCTGTTATCAAGTGGCCCCTTCATCATTACCAGCGCTGGCATGAATCTATCTGAACTTACACTCAGTCATCATGCTCCCATCTGCTGTGCGCAGATACCCTATGGGTAATATTGATATGATATCGTCTGCAAATCTACTCGAATCCTGGAAATATACAAGAATATGCATTTATATACTTGAGAATACATCAAGACAAATATAGAAGAAATAATATATATTCTCGAATAATTGGTTATCCATATTAGTTACCTTCAACAGGACTTGAAAGCATTTTGAAGTGATCAACCATTACTGCTCTCAAGCTAAGCTACACAAGGGTCGGTAACTCGTAAAATGGCATCCAACTGTGCAAGTTAACTAGCTTGGAAGGACTCCACTCCTTCGACTACAGTGTACACAGTCAAGTTCGTGCATCCACCACCCCTAATTGCTTCAGATTTTCGAGCCTGGACAGATCCGATAATTCTCGTAGAGAAGTTGGATCTTGGAAGATTCACATCCTTCATGAAGTTTGGCCAAGTTATTGTGTTCAATCCATATCCAGTAACAACCAAGCATGTTAGTGACTCCAGGTTTTTGATTGCAAGTAGATGAGTCAATCTTGTACATCCCCTTAGATGTAGGCACTTCAAACATTTGAGATCTGAAAGATTTGGTAAGCTGTTGATCGAGTGGCAGCAATTCATGTCCAGCCCCTTTAAACACCTCAGTTCCTAGGCCAGCAGCAAGCAGACATGTGGCTGCTGGTACTAATTTGAAATTAGAGGGCGATATATATACTGCAAGCAGAGCAACCCAGACCTTTAAGGGTTTGCTTCACAATCTAGCAAATGTCTTCATAACGGTTACCAAACACATTCTTTGCCGAACACAAGCACAGAAGGATCAACTGTACAAACACACAATGTGGTGCCCATTCTATAATCTATCTCTCTGTAGACATTAGGGAGGTTGGGTACATCCTCGAGGACTTTGCACCCAGTAATGTAGAGAGACTTTAGGCACTGCATTCCCTCCAGTCATGCAGACTCGATTAGCCTCTCGCAGTTCCATACAGACAAAGAACACAAACATCCCAGTTTCGAAAGGTCAGGTAGCTTCTCAATTGACTTGCACCCTTCCGTCACCAGGTTCTCCAAACGACCTCAACTCCTCAAGTCTCCTGACCTCGGTAACTTTGTGCACCCGCGGATGTTCAGTTCCTTTAGTTTCTTCAAACCAGACAGATCCGGCAATCTTTCCAGTGACTCGCATTCTGCCACCCATAGTGACTCCAACAGTTTCATGTATTCGATGCCCTCAATCTCACGCAAATGCTGGTTGTTTTGCAGATTTACATTTTTCAGCTTGATCAACTTTGCAAGAGAAGGTAGTCTTTCAAAACGGGTGTCTTGCAGCTGCAAACGCTCCAATGCGGTAAGAGATTCAAGGCCCTCCACAGTTACCAAGCTCTGGCAACGGGTCAATGTTAATGACTTCAGTCTCGTTAATTTCGACATGCCAGGTAAACTCTGCAGAGACGTACAATCGCTGAATCGAAGCGCCTCTAGACACTCGAGCTCGTCAAGGCCTTCGATGGAAGTCAGCCGGGGAAGTTCTATGATGATCAACGACTCCAACTTCTTCAGATTCGCTAGACTGGGTAAGCATTCTATTTCCGGACACTTTGACAGCGTCAAGCGTGCCAAAGAATGAAGATTATCAAGGCCGCCAAGAGAATTCAACTTGGGTGCATGATTTATGAACAAAATTACCAACGACTTCAGCTCTCCCAGGCCTTCAATCTCGACAAGCTTAGGACTACTCATTCTTAGTTCTTTCAAGATCTCCAGATTGCCTAGATTTGGAAGCTTCACCAATTCGGGACAAAAGTCAAAATGCAGCCGCTTTAGAGAGGAGGGAAGGGCACGCATTGGATCTCTGAAAGTAACACGTCGAAGGATCAATATCTCCAACTTGGATAACTTCCACATGTCACTAGGAATTTCAACCCCAGAGCGCGGTTGATACTCGAGATACTGCAAATCCAACAGCTCCGCAAGATTAGGAATTGCAAGTGAGATGGACAACACCTTCAAACTAGTGGGAAGGTCTGGCACCTCTTTACAATATTCGGTGCCAGCCGCCATGAAGACAGTAAGAGACGGTAAGTTCCCAATATCGGCAATGTCTACCAATCGGTAACATGAGTTTGCATCAATTTTTTCAAGCCTCTGAAGTATTCCACTGCCAACAGTTAACTTGGTAACTCCAGAATTACTTAGCTTAAGTATCTTCAGGTTCTTCAGGTTGCCAATGTCCAGTTCTTGAACAATAAAATGGCAACTGTGAAGATCCAAAACTTCCAGATTTCCAAATTTAGAAAGGTCGGGAACTTTGCTGAATCCATTACAGTCATGAAGATCCAAAACTTTCAAATCTTTTGCAACCTGCAGAACAAGGAAGGGCAGTAATCATCACGTGGGGCTCAACAAGGATGTTGAAAATGTGAATCACCTTACCTTAATTTGGGTCCAGCCTTCCCAACCATTTGATATGGTGCTACCGGACAGATCAAGAATCACAAGTTTCTTTGGATGAAAATTTGTAAAAGCAGGATGCTCTTGCATTTGCATGCTCACTGAAGGTTTCGGGGGAGGAGTGAGGATTACAACAGGAGAAGCCTTTCCTTCATAAATCTCCATACGGAGATATCTTAAATTTGAAACTAGGCCTTGAAAGTCCCCTTCGAGTCCTTCACAATCTGCTCGAAGATACCTTAACTCGGACAATTTCTTGAATTCTTCACTGGTGAGGTGGTGCTGCTCTGCGGATTCCTCTTTTAGGTATACTTCAAGAGCTTGAACCTTCTTCGATCCCTGCCGAATGACAAAAGCACATAGATATTTCATTCAATAAATCCATGGTGAATCAAATAGTTCTTCCCTTAACCAAATTTCTCAAAACAATGGAATTTGCCAGACAGGTCGAAGATGCAAACGAAAGGGGGGTGTGTGTGTAGGAGTTATCGGTAGCTTAAACAGTGAAGCATTAACTACTTCGACATGGTGCTTAGTATTTCAAAGAAGCTACATAAACCAGAAGAAATATACTTGTGCAGTTGGGTTATTAGAGATCGCATAACCTACACTTGACAAAGACAAAAGAAAACGAAGCAATGCATAGTACTGTACCTTCTTTTCATTCAACATGTCCACTGCATCAGTGTTAGACCATACCCTGCTGCGCTTCCAGGGACGTTCAAAACTTTCTTCACGAACGATTGATCTACCGAGGTCTCGAAGCTGATCGTGCATCTTAAATTTTTTGCGTTCAAGTTTTACCAGAGACCTAAGGGCAAGGGTATTAATCCCACTCACTGGATAAAATTTACAAGCATTCCACATGTATGAAACTATGTCTGTGTGCTCTCCAACAAAGAAGCAAGCTATATCAAGAAATATTTGTTGCTCTTCGTAATTTAATGTGTTGTAACTTATCGCCAACCTCTTCTGCACATCAGTGGGCGGTATTTCTTTCAATTGTGCCAATTTTTCTACCCAAACCACTTTATCTTCACGATATAGAAGTGACCCCAAAACTTTAAGAGCCAACGGAAGCCCAGCTGCAGCTGCAACAAAATTTTCAGATAGAGAAGCATAATCAGATGGAGGACGATCCGTTCTGAATGCATGCTTGCTGAAAAGTTGAAGAGAGTGACCACTGCTCATTTCTTCTGCTTCATACAACTCGCATTCTCCAAGCGAGTTCAAAACTTTTCATCCAAGAACTGGTCCCTCGTCGTGATGATAAACCTGCTTCCTGAGCAAAACTTGTCTATTTGTCCAAGAACTTGTTCGAATGCAAACTTGTCATCCAAGTCATCAAGAACAATGAGACTTTTGATCTGACCAACTCTGTTTTTTATCTGGTGAATACCTTCACTAACATTAGTCACCGGATTCCCTCCTTGCACGATACCAGATATGAGTTTATTCTGTAGGGACACCGTACCTTCCCTCTGCTGTAACATTTCTCTAACGTCTTCAAGAAAGCAAGGACCATCAAAGAGCGGGGAGATCTTATCATAAACAGCCATGGCTATAGTGGTTTTACCAATGCCACCCATGCCATGGATTCCCACTGTTTTGACACCTTCGGAGTCCATGTTCAGCATTTTCACCACTGCCTCCACATGATGATCAATCCCAACCAATTCATCTGTTAGCAGTGCATAATCCTTGTTCAAAATTGATGACACATCCGCAAAAACCTCATCAACAATAGCTCCCTGTCTGGAAATCAAATAGAACTCTATGTAAAACAAGAAAAGAAAAGGTTTGATCTATTAATATAAGAAATGCCGAATGGCTTACCCGTTCGAGTCAGTGACATGCCATCCTTTCATAGCCCCAACCTTTTCCAATGCCTCCTTCCATTCTTGAATGGTATTTTGTGCATATTTGTTCTGGTATTCTTCAAATGCTCGCTTGTAAGGCCCCGTTTGGTGTCGGACATCGCTGGGATCTACATAAAAGAAAATGGGGAGAACGACATGGCCCTTGTCTCCCTTGCAGCATTCTACCATTTTGGCGAGCTCCTGAAGGCACCATTTGCTAGAAGCATAGTTTTCAGAGAAAATTGGGATATAAATCTTCGACTGGTGGATTGCCTGAACTAGGCCGGGGCCAATATCCTCGCCCTTTCGAAGCTCCTCATCGCCTCTGAAAGTACGAATCTTTGAGCGAGACAAATAGGTATAGAGAAAATCAGAGATGCTGTTGCGGGTGTCTGGTCCCCTGAAGGACAGAAAAACCTCGAACTCTCCTGTTGGAAGAGCAGGCAACGAAGAAGAATCAGCAGGCTCAGATGGAGAAGCAGCGTTTGAGCTTTCAGAGCTCCTCTTCAACTTGTAGAAGAAGAAGAAGAACAACAAAGGAAGCAGCAGCGCAGCGATTGCCACAAAACAGGACCACAATCCCAACCATGAGACCTCCATTTCGTAACTTAATCCAGAAGGCGTTCTGATATAAATTAAGCAAATTAGCAATCAGAATGAAGCAACCTTCCAGAGAAAACATGAATCAGAAGCTTGATTGAAGGAACGTACCTCAGTGCGATTCCAGTAAACCTTGATAAGCAGAGCTCAAACTCTGTTTAATCACAAGAGCAAGAACTAGAGTTGGGCTCAGCATGAAAGCAACGCAACCCTCGTCTTTTTCCCAGAACGGAGCCTCCATTATCTTCGCTTTTTAGCACCCATCTCCATCATATCATATACTCTGCTTTCTACTCTTGTCTTTTTTTCTTCTGAAACCTTATCTTGGCGGCGGGACCCAGGGTCAAAGCTAAAACATGCATACAAGAAAAGCCAAACTTCCAAGGGTTTCTATTCCATAATAGGAATCATGCTCAAGCACAGTCCCAAACATCCATTATGGCAATGACGGACTGAAATTCCAGTATCAAGCAGCCTAAAGAAGAGCTGAACAGAAGAGCAGTCGGCGGTTACTTTAATTGCGGGTTGACATATGTGGTACAGGAGCTGAACAGAGACACAAAAAAAGGTTTGGCAATCTGGAAAATGGGTAGGTATTGTCCACTTAGAAGTCCCCGTGTATGGATTTATACAAATATGTTTTGCAGTTTTGAGTCTGGTTTAGAACTTTTTTCCTCCTCAGATTGGATTGCGGTTAGATTGTCTAGAGAAAGTTTTACATGTCTCGTCAACTCTCTCGTAATTTATATTTTCTCGAGCATAATGAGATTGGTGTCTCATGTCCTTGGATTAGCTGACACATATTGGATTAATAAATCACATAAATACGTATGTTCACTTTTTTTTCATTGTCGATTTCCCTTTTAAATCATAGCATTGTCCCTTCTCTCTCGTCTTTTGCACTACTTAGTTTGACAACTCTCTAGATATGTGATGTGAGGCTTACCGTTCTTAGGTCACGTTATTATACTTTTGTTGTTGTGGTTGCCGTGTTGACAAACATAAACACGTTTTGTTGTTAATTTTAACAAAATCATGGAAGTTAGACAATTTTCTTTGTTTACTTACTTCATTAGGCCCCCTTTAATACTAATACCAAGACTAAGACGAAAGTAGCAAGATAATAGGAGGAATAATGTGACATTACGAGTTATGAGAAATTAGAGTGAGAGAGAAAAATGAAAATAATATAGGCAATAAGAAAAAAAAAAACATAAACACGTTTAATTGTCAATTTTCAGAAATCATGGAAATTGACCATTTTCTGTCTTTACTTACTTCATCAGGCCCCCATTCAGTATCAATAAGATTTCAGGGATGGGTCATGGGGAAATGAAGCGGAAAAAAATGTAAAAAGTGAGTCTAATGAGATTTAAGGCATTGTGACTTGTGAGGTTAAGTTAATGAATAAGAGAGGCATACCTATGGTTTTTTATCAGGCATACACGGATAGTTAGTTATCCATAATAGTTACCTGACTTGAAAGCATTTGGAAGTGTTGTGTTCTGTCTATTCTGGAAGTGTTGACTTAAGGCTACACAAGGGTCGGTAACTTGTAGAATGCTATCCAACTGTGCAAGTTTAACTAGCTTGGAAGGACTCCTCTCCTTCGACTACAGTGTACACAGTCAAGTTCATGCATCCACCACCCCTAGTTGCTTCAGATTCTGGAGCCTGGAAAGGTTCGATAATTCTTGTAGAGAAGTTGGATCTTGGAAGATTCACATCCTTCATGAAGTTTGGCCAAGTTATTGTGTTCAATCCATATCCAGAAACAACCAAGCATGTTAGTGATTCCAGATTTTCGACTCCAAGCAGCTCACTCAATCTTTTACATCCCCTTAGATGTAGGCACTTCAAACATTTGAGATCTGAAAGATTTGGTAAGCTGTTGATCGAGTGGCAGCCATTCATGTCCAGCACATTTAAGCACCTCAGTTCCTCGAGCCCCACAACCTCGGACAACTTTATGCATCCACTAACATTTAATTCCTTCAAATTCTTGAGGATGGAGAGATTTGGCAACCTTTCTAGCGACGTACATCCTGCGAGCCTCAGTACCTCTAATTGAGTGTTCTGCAGATGTGGCATGTCTTTCAGCAACCCACATCCAGAAGCGTCAACCATAGTCAGGGACTCCAATTCCTCGATTCCTGGGAGCTCAGTCAATTTTTCACAATTTTGCACTGAAAGAGTCGCCAAATTTGCGAGTTGTGAGAGATCTGGTAAAATGTCTATTGACTTGCAGCCGCTCATCTCCAACACCTTCAAGGACTTCAATTCCTCAACTCCCAGGACCTGTGTTAATTTCTCACAGCCGCTTAGCCACAGCTTCTCCAACTTTGTAAGACTTGAAAGGTCTGGTAACTTAACTAAGGAATGGCAGCCTGACATATTCAGCACTTTCAAATATGTCAGCCTTTGGATTCCTCCAACCTCAGTCAAACTTTTGCATCTTCCCAAGTCTAATTCCTTGAGATTCTTAAGGCCAGATAGATCTGGCAATGTTGTCAATGAATCGCACTGCCGAAGCCATAGTCGCTCCAGTGAATTCAGGCCTATGATTCCCCCTATGTAACGTAAACAAGGATGGATCTGCACAACTAATTGCTTCAACATGATAAACTCTGACAGAGAAGGTAGCCTTTCTATTACCTTGAAGTCGAACAAGTGCAGATACTCTAGTGTTTGCATGGGGAGAGGGCCATCAATGTTAAGTAAACTGTGGCACCCCCCGAGTGTGAACTCTTTCAGCTTTGCCAACTTGGACAGATCAGGGAGTCTTTGCAGGCTAGCACAATCGCGGATTCTGAGGCGTACTAAGGACTTGACTTCACTGAGGCCTCGAACAATTTGGATACGAGGGCATTGCAAGATCCACAATCTGAGCATCTTGTTCATAGCAGCTAGGTTGGGTAATTCGTCCATTACCAAACACCTTTCCAGGACCAAGTCTGTCAAATATTGGAGATTCCCGAGGCCATTCAGATGTCTCAAATTTGAACCATTCTGTACATACAAAATTTTCAGTAGTTTCATCTCGCCAAGTCCCGGAATCTCACAGAGCCTGGTACATGACAGTGTCAAGGAACTCAAGAATTTCAGATTGCTAAGATCTGGGAGCTTCTCCAACAAGGGACAATGGAGAATTTTTAGCTCTTTTAAGGTTGACGGAAGGACACCCATCCCTCTCAGGAGACTGGTACTGTTTGACGAGTGAACCCTCAGAACCTCCAGTTTTGGTAACTTCCACACATCTCCTGGAATTTCAAACCCGTCCTGGCAATCTGTAAACTCTAACTCCTTCAAGTCCGCCAAGTCTGACAGTTCAGGAACCATAGATGAGATAGCTAGCCTTTTTAGGCTTGTAGGAAGCACTGGTACCTGAATTTGTTTTCCCGATTTCACCATCAAGGTCTTAAGAGACTTCAATTTGCTAATATCAGCAGGAATCCCTTCCAAATTGGGACAGGGCCAAGCATCTATCTCTTCAAGCTTCTGAAGCTTTCCAATGCCACGACTGAAGTTTGTTATCCCACAGCCTTTGAGTCTAAGAACATATAGATTCTTTAAATGGCCAATTTCAAGGTCCCCCACCATTTGAGTGCATCCACTAAGATTTAACACCTCTAGACTCATACAAGCTGACAGGTCAGGAACTTTGGTTAAATAATTGCAAGTAATGAGATTTACAACCCTCAGGTTTCTTGCCATCTGTAGAACAAGAAAAAAATTAAGTGCTCGCTCAAAAGAAGCTAGCTTAATAAAACTGATCATGTAAATAAGCAATATTCGAGCATAATTGTGTCACAATGGATCACAATAATATTTGATTACCTCGATATGTTTCCAGCCTCCCCAATCATCAGTTATGTAGCTTTGACAGAGTTCAAGCACCACTAGTTTCTTCAGGTGAAAATTGGTCAGTGATGAATCCCCTTGATGATAATACAAGCGGAGCCATCTTAAAGCTGGCAGAAGTTCACTGAAGTCCCCAGTCAATTCTGCTTGATACGTTTCAAGATATCTTAACCCTGACAATTTCTTGAAGTGTTCACTCGTGAGCTGAAATTTCGAAAACGTGTTAACTTTGAGGGCTTTCACTTCTTCTGTTCCCTGCAAAACAGAGGAATGACTCAAATTCATGCCACGAATTCAGAATGAGAATTATTTGAGTTGCAGTTCTTTTGTCAAACATACAATTTGAAGATGAAAACTGAGACAGTATTATCAGTGTCTGAACTTCCAGATAAAGTAAGAACATAAAACAGGAAACGGAGGCCCGTTGCCCCAAATAATTTGTGTTATGCTAACCAAAAGGAAAATTATAGCTACAATAGATATGGAACAAGATTACTGATCACAGGTTATGGAGCCTTCTGCGTTTAATATAAAGCAAAATCAATGACAAAATGATTTTTGTACCTCTTTGCAGTTGAAAATGTCCAAGGCAGCCTTGTTTGACCATATCCTGCTGCGGTTCCATGGGCGTTCAATATTTCCCTCACTTACAATTGTCTTCCCAAGGTCTCTGAGTTGATCATGCATTTCTAACTCATTGTTACGCCCAAATTTTATCAAGGACCTATGAATGAGGGCCTTGATCGAACGAAATGGATAGAATCCGCACTCAGCCCACATGTGGACAGCCTTATACAAGTCCTTTTCAATGGAGAAGCACGCAATATCAAGAAAGATCTGCTGTTCCTCATAAGTCAATGCTTTGAAACTGACTTTCAGTCTCTCTTGGACCTGTGTTGGTGGCAGTTCTTTCAACTGTATCAATGTGTCTTCCCAAACTGCTTCATCTTCAGCAAACAAACTGGCACCTACAACCTTAAGAGTCAAAGGAAGTCCTGATGCCGTGGATACCAAGTCTCTACATAGACCCATATAAGCTTCAGGAGGAGAATCCCTTCTGAAGGCATGCTTGCTAAACAACTGAAGAGAATTGTGAAAGCTCATTTCTCCAGGTCGGTAAAGCTCACATCCTTCAAACATGCTCAAAACTTTTCGGTTTCTAGTTGTAATGATAAACCTACTTTCCGGAGAAAAATTCTCCAACGGTCCCACTATTTTATCAAACTCAAACTTATCATCTACATCATCCAGAACAATAAGGAGTTTGTACCGACAAACTCTGTCTTTTATCATGTGAATTCCTTCACTAGCATTATCAATGGGAGTCTCAAATTTCAAAACTCGAGAGATGAGCTTAGTTTGCAGATCAACAATACCTTCCTTTTGTTCTAATGTTTCTCGCAGGTCTCCTAAAAAGCAACATTCATCAAACTGTTCATAGATTTTGTTGTAAACAGCAGTGGCTATGGTTGTCTTGCCAATCCCACCCATACCATGTACACCAACGACTTTCGGACCGTGAGAGCCCATATTCAACAACCCTATCACTGCTTCCAAATGATGATCCATCCCAACCAACTCATCAGTAACTAAGTTGTGATTCTTGTTCAGATGGGACAGAACTTTCTCAAAAACCTCATCTACCACAGTTGCTTGCCTGGAAAACATATGAAGATTATTGCATTGAATCGAAACAAGTGCAAGAAACCAGTTAAGATAGGTTGGTTAACCAGATTCCCAGAACAGAGGAAAACCCCTAAGGAAGCAGCAGCAGCCAAAGTAGAGGAGACAGACAGGAAGTGGGTTACCTATCAGAGTCAGTAACATGCCACCCTTTCATTGATGCAACCTCTTGGAGAGCTGTCCTCCATTCTTGTACGGTGTTGCTGTCATATTTCTCCAAGTGCTGCTCCAGTGCAATGTGGTAGGAGCCTTCCTCATCATGCCGCACCTGTGAGGGTTGCACAAAATAGAAAATGGGCAGGATGACATGCCCCTTCTCTCCCTTGAAGCATTCCACCATTTGAGCCAGCTCTTGGAGGCACCACTTGCTAGAAGCATAATTGGGGGAGAAAATCGGGATGTAAACCTTGGATTGACTAATAGCCTGGATGATCTCAGCTCCGATCTTCTCCCCTTTCCGAACCTCTTCATCGTCTCTGAAGGTGCGGATCTTGGAGCGAACCAGGGAGTTGTATAGAAAGTCCGCGAAGTTATTGCGAGTGTCTGGGCCTCTGAAGCTCAGGAAAACCTCGTAACCATCCGTCCCAAGAGGCGCCGAGGAAGCAGAAGAAGAGAAAGAAGAACGAAGGGATTCTAATTGCAAACGAGTATTGGGGCTTTTAGAAGAGTTAGTCTTCTGGAACAGCGAATTTAAGCTCCGAAGGCTCCTCTTCCGAAACAAGGACTCACCGCCGAGCTGCAATTCCGGCCACAAAAGCAGAACTTCCGATTGCGCACCAGAGCTCTGACAACCATGGCTGAATTTCCGGAAGAGAAACTCGGAGACGAGTACCAGTGGGATGAGCAGCGCGTTCACTGCTGCAAATAGAGCGAGAGATTGAAGCGATTGAACTGCCGATGGTGAAAGAGCGGTTGACCTCATATTATCACCAAACAGCAGCAGCTTGGAGAGCGCCACCGCCGCGAAACTAAACCACAAAACCAACTTCATCTGTGGTTGAAAAGAAGATTAAAAAAAAACAGTTCAATCGACCAAAAATGGCGATTCTATTCGACAGTAAGCAAAGGAGGCAAGAATGGAAAAAAAGACTCTACCGATATCGATCAGCTGGTCCTCCGGTTGAAGGGAAGACCCAAAGCCAAAAGAACGAGCGGTTGACCTTGAAGTGGACCATCCAATAAGCGGTTGGGTTCGACCATTTTGGCGCGTGCATTTTGGCGCCCTCTCTCAAAGTTGTCACAGCGGCATCGTTTCATCGTCGCCGGCCGTAGGAAATGCCCGGCAATTTCCCGGAAACTCCTGTCATATTTTGGAGGAAATTTGTTGTACATGTTTCCAGCAGAACTGGAAGAGTTAATACTGTTAACTCTTCTGGCATTTCGATTATGATAGAATTTCAACATTCTTTAAAATGACTCGTTTTGTAGAATGAAACAATTGATCAAATTGTCTTGTTTTATAGTTGATCCATCCAAACGACCCCTAATAGCAGTCTATAACAAATCGTAACGAATATAAAATGATAACCTAGTTTATTAATTTTGTGATGACAATATATACCAGAGATCTGATATATATGTTTGGCCATTTTGGTAGCATCTATGATGTCTTGATGAATTGCAAGTTATAGGGCTTGTTTTTTTTTCGATCTAGCGATTTTATCGCTGATTTACAATATGAAAATTCCGGGTTCCCATCTCACGCTCATAAGAAGAACATAAAATTCATACGCATAATTATAATGATACTAGATTAATCAGTTGCCAAATAACTATTCGAAAAGTTATTCAGTGGTATTATTATGACCGTAGAGAAACTCAGTGATGTAATTAATGGTATTTTAGCAACTACATGTTAGAAGCAACCTAGCGTGGGTAGCAAGTCAAAACAAACACTACTATGAACAAGTCTTTGCTTAAATTATATGCAACTCTGCTAGTTCTTCATCACTACTCCGAGGCCATCTTCCATTTCCAACAATGGAAGCTAGCTAGGCAGGCAGCCTTGTTTGATGTTTCTGTTTTCTTCCACTGTCTCTATGCCTTCCGAAACAAGTCCAATAGGGTCTCGACTTTCGGCTCTTCCACAATGCCTTGTGCCGCGTTACTAACTTCATCAGATTCACCATCGCTAATGGGAGGTTCTGCCATACTATTGCTATTCAAGTACTGCTCAATCCTCAGTGACAGTTCAGCATCATGACGGCGCCCATTATTCGAGTTCTCAGGATCAGTACCACTACCTTCTTCTTCTGCTGCTGCTGCTTGTTCATCATCAGCCGGATCCACGGTTATCCCATTCAAGGAGTTCAAGGACGACCTCCTGGAGATGGTCCCGGATGCAACGGTGATCCCCTCGTCACCTTCATCAATGGTGGCCGTGTCAAGTGAACACACTGATCTGGTGGCTATTGACATTGCAGCGTCGCGCTTTGACCTCTCCTTCACTCTCTTGCACCAACTGTGGAGCGATTCTCTCACGCTCTCGGCGACCAAGGCTTTCCTGCAGTTCGATCCCATCTAGGCCGAGTATCAAACACACACAGATACAGCAACTCTATTAGCAGTATGAAAGGGAGAGCGGTTTTCGACTTTTCTGCTAGTTGATATGTGAACTAACCTGTGTGACAAGCACATTGAGTGGCACTGTGCTGTAGCTGCACCAGAATTGAACGAGAACTCTGTGAATGATGATCAAAACGGAATGAATGTCACACCATTTTAGCCGAGAATCAGGATAAGGAAAATGTGAAGGTGGATCACGAAATTTAAGGATAGACGCGTACCCAGAAACTAATCGAATGATGATCATGTAATGGTTCTTCATGTAGCAGGATCTCTGTTCCAGGCCCCACTGCATACAGCAGATCACACAGCGACATTAAACAAATGAGAAAGGGAAGGTTCTTTTTTTTTTTTTAACCAAAGATGAAAGGATGAGGGAGGGTAAAATGTTCCTTTCTCACCAAGGACCAGATGAATGTTGCCATCTCGAAGGCATTCTGAAAGATGATGAACTGAATCAACCTCAATAGAATTACTGGTTTACCAAACCAAAACAAGTCATCTCTTGGCTTGACTTGAGTCCCCGCTGATGGCCCTTGCTGTTGCAGAACCTCGAGTGCTAGCAACGAGACCACGTGTTGGAGCTTCGTCCCCACAACCATGACAAGCTACCCAAAACACAATAATAATGAAAAGAGTCGAGGTAAGACAGTGAACGAATGAGCCTTACCATGACCAGAAGCACTACTGCTACAACTGTACTTACAATTGCAGGGATGAAAGATAGCCAGAAGTAAACATTTAAACCTGCAATAACCAGCACAGAAAAAACTTAAACTCGCAAGAATCGAGAATGCAAGTAAAATAGAAGAATTAGTTTGATGGGAATTCTTACTCACCGTGGATGTTTATGAAGATGCAGACTATGGCGTAACCCCAGAGAGGTGGCCTGCACAACAATTATACCTAATTTAGTTCACATCTGTAATACGTATGTAAAGAGGTTTTGACATGTAAAGTTGATGAATGCATCAAAGTTCTGGCGATTGATGATACAATCTAACAGGGAAATTTTTACTGCATGAAAGACATTCACAATGTACCCACGTGATCCCCAATATTCCCTGGAACTCGTCTTCCATGCTTCGCACCATGTACTTGTGGAAGTTGTAGGAAAGTGGCAACTTGTGCTTCTGCAATTTTTCAAGGAACCATGGATTACTTGACAGGAAAGGAAATCTAGTGAGAATGGAAAACCAAATGGAAGTTCAAGTCAAGTTGATTTGGTTTAATTTAGGCAATCTATGGAGATTAGGATAGATACCCACAGTTAGGAAACCCAACCGCAAAGCCAAGTAGTCTGGTTTCTTTATAGAACTCTTGAACTGTCGACAAAAGCATAGCTGCAGAAAGTTTACAGCAGCAACCCTGTGAATACCTCTCTATACAGTGCTTCTGAACTAAGCAAACCAGTAACAAAATGATGATGAGAATGGAACAAGATTCAATTTCAAAGCTAACCATCCAAATGAGAATCCTACTCCTGCTCCATGGATGAGCTGTATGATGGAAGATGAAAGTAGTTTGCCTTCTCATCATCCTCTGTTGCTTGGCTTTGCCAACAAAAGAAAGTCGAACATGTCACAGTCTAAAAATCAAGTCACAAGTATCAGCAACAAGCTAGAGTTCATTATCTCATCTTTTTGTGGGTTACCTTGAACACTACCATCCACAGGTAAGTTGGGTTGATTCTCCCATTTCCTCCAACTGTATATCTACAAAGCCAACCAAATGACAAACTGGAATAAACATCAACAAACAACGCCCTAGTAAGTCGACAAAGCCTTGCACATTCAAGTGATCCATAGAAGGAATGTACCTTGCTCATTGCCAGACCAACCGCCAGGCAGCTGTATAGAACATGAGTGATGCCAAGAACAAACAAGAATCGATGAAGTTGCTCGAGACCTTCCAACGATACGAATGGCTCTCGACCCTGCAAGCCATCCATCCATTGAAGTTCAGTACATCTAGTTATGTAAGTGAATGTTGGGGCGAGCTTGTTCTCGAAGAACTTCACAACCACAGGCCATCTAAAGGTAATCACAGTGGGTTACCTGACCACACTGATGAGTTGTTGTGGTAATTATTCCTTTTGGAGGAATGTGTGTGTTGTTTGGAGAGTGGGATGGGAAGCTTTCTTCAAGCAAGAGATGGCGAGCCACACCAGCAGCAATATCTTCCTCGGCGCAAAGGAAGAACTTACTGCTGAAAAGAGATGAATTTACACAAATCTCAGATATCCATCTTGCCCATTGCGCCAACAACAAAGATATAAGCCCCAGCAGCATCAGCTCTATACCAAAAGAGATGGTGGGAAAACCCCCAAAAAGCAGAATCAAACAAATTATAACCAAATCCTAAAGAAGCAAATTGGATGGCAGAATATTCAGGTACAAGAAACTCACCTTCTTTCATTTTCTCCAAAGAAGCAAACAAAGCCTTCCTTCTGGTCCTTTTCAACCACTGCAGAAGGGGAAAAAAAAATCAAGCATGCAACTTACAGTCAATAACCAAATCAAAATGTCCCCGGAAAACAGAGAAAAAAGAGCATTTCCTCTGTTTTCTTTACTACTGCAGAAGTTTGTTTTGTTGTATTGTACCCTGCCAAATCGATAAATGGCCCTCTGAACAATGAAGCAGGCGAAAACGAGGACGGTGGTGACTGAAGCCACCGAATAGGTAGGCGTCTCAGCTAGAGATCTCCCTTGCCTTATCAACACTTCCTCCATTTCTGGCATAAGCTTCTCCAAATCATCAACAAAAGACTACCCACTTCAACTTTCCACCGCTTTCTGGAGAAAAACTAGTAGGGAGGAGCCCTAAGCTCAAGAACAGAGAGAGAAAGAGAGAGAGAGAGCAGCGACACATACAACAATGAATGAACAATGAGTGCAAAGGATCCAAGTAATAAGGAACTAACTGCAATATTCTATACCCTGAAAGAAGAAAACTTTAAATTAACTCTCTCAATTGGATCGCAGAGTTTAGTATTAATGGTGTCGTGGGGCAGTGTTGGGGAATTAGTTAACAATGCCCACTTTCGGCTGCATGGAGAAGTCTGCTGGCTGGCTGGCCCCTCTGAGCGAAATCGCGAGATCCGTATCTGGTCTGGTTGGTCATGGCAGCTCTTCCTTCTTTTCTGTTTCTCCCTCCATTAATGGGGAACCTAAACAGAGACCTCACACATCTCACAAACGCTCACATGGCAATGGCTTTGGCGCTCGGCTTCCTCTCTCTTTCGTGGGCTTTGGCTCTGCTCTGCTGACCGCCATTATTTTTTTCAAAATTTCTTGCTTTTCTGTGTTCAATTCAACGCTCTCCCTCTCTCCTTGCTCTGTTTCTTTCTTCTTTACTTTCTTTTGTCGCTTTTGACATTTGTTGGCACCTCTCGGCTACCATGGCTACACGTGCGTGTGAGATTGTGATTTGCGAACAACTTGAACAGAAGAACAGAGACCATGTGAGCTCCATTGAAAGCAAGAATAAACAGTTGCCTAATAATAATAATATTATTATTTCATCAAATTTATTGAAATTAACAGACAAGGAATAGTCGAATGCTGACTTTTTTTTATGGTTCAACAATAAAATCGCTTAATCTATTTTTTATTTATTTGGATAAAATCTTAAATAAAAAACTCGAGCTCATTAGTAAACGATTTTAATCATTTTTAAGGTCATAGTTAGTATTGCAAATGAGCCGAAGCATTGACTAGCAACTTGATGTTCGAGCTTCAATATTTGTACATTCACCAGCCACAACATAAACTAATAAATGGTTTGTTACTTGTTAGCCATATTGTCAAATCAACTCGTGAGCTCAAAATGAATCAAATGATCAAATTACAAGTTTGGTTCAACAAACCACTGAATCGAATTAGCTGCAAAGTTGTACAAATCTTAGTTCAAACTCGTCTCCTTAATGAACGAGCTGATTATTAGGTGAAATTTTCCCAAATCCAAAGATCGACTTGCTTTTGTAATTCGACTTCATTTGCCGTCGTCCTACATAAAACACACGAATGTCATAATTTTTGGAGTATATTTGAGCAAAGTGCAAATTGCAAGAGCCAAAACGTAGTGGTGACTGGTGAGTGATCACTCCTAAACCCTCAAAAACCCTACCGTCTTTATCTCTTTCAACATCCCGTCGTGCACTTGTCCATCTCGCCGCCATGGCTCTCCAATTCGGTCGTCTCCGGCGAGCTGTGACCTCACTCTCCGCTGTTTATCGATCTCTCTCCTCTCCAATAATGCCCGCCGCACCGTGTTGACTGAAGAAGAAGTGAGAAGGAGTAGCAGATGAAGAATCCGAGACCAAGAAGGATTCGCAGCAGCTATGAAGAAAGGAGGAAACGATGTCGGATTGAAGAAAGAAAGGAAGAAGAAGTAAAACACGCTGTCGTTTTATTTAATGCTGTACTAGCCGTTAATTAACAGTAAGACCGTTTTGTAATAGCCAGTGTCTCTCTGACATGTGGCAAAACACTGTTATTGGTTTGTTAACAGAGGTATATATACAACCTCCTGCAGCCCTTCCTCTCTAAGGGTACTGCATTTCTAAAAACCCTCATACAAAATTCACATGGTATCAGAGCGGCGAACGATCTAAGGCCGCAAAATGTCCGGAGCACAGACACCGCCGTCGGGAACACCACGGTCCGATGCTGCAGCAACAGGATCTGGTGCTCGATTTCAGTTTGGCTCATTTGATGCTCAACAGCAAGAACAACGAACCGAGGTAATCACTTTTGGAAACCCATTCTATCTGAACCCAAACGAAGCGCTCAATCAATCTATCGGATCTGAGCTATTTGATGGGACGAACTACACTATGTGGAGTAGGTCAATGATTATGGGTCTTAAGATGAAACACAAACTGGGTTTTGTGGATGGAAGCATTCCGATGCCTCCACCTGCAGATGATCGTTATTTGCTGTGGGATGCTTGTAATACAGCAGTGTTGTCATGGATTTTGAACTCTTTACACAAAGATCTGCGAAGATCAGTCATGAATCATGTCAATGCTAAGGTTCTGTGGGATGAATTGAAGAGAAGGTTTGGTAAACCAAATGCTATCAAAATCATCAACCTAGAAGATGAAATCCAGGCTTGCAAACAGGGGAATTCTACCATAAATCAGTACTACACCCAGATGAAAGGCTATTGGGAGGAGTATATGCAATTTAGCCCAATTGTTCCATGTAACTGTGCACCTGGAAATCCCAATCCTTGTGCAGCAGTGACAGCATACACAGAAAGGCAAGAGACGGATTACTTAATCCGGTTTCTTAGAGGTTTGAACCCAGATTATGAAGTGGTCAAGACTCAAATCTTAATGCAAAAACCTCTCCCAAGTGTATCTGAGGCTGTGGATGACCTGTTGCAGCATGAACAGAAGTTGAAAGGAGAAGCAGGGGGTAGCAGTAAGAGATCTCAAAGTGTGGCTTTAGCTGTCAATTCAGATCAAGATGCAGGGCAGAAGCAGCAAGGCAAGAAGTATTGTGAGTTCTGTAAGAGAACTGGTCACAACATTGATGAATGCTGGACCAAGAAGAGGAAAGACAAGGAACAGAGGAATGGTAACAATGCAGGTAACACACAAGGTCGTGGACCAAGTAGATTTGCTGGTTCTGTGTCACAGGGAAGTTCAGGTGAGTCACAAGGAGAGGGAAGTGTGACTGGAGACACATCAGATGGGAGTCCTGTGAGTACTGCTAAGTCAGTGGTAGGTTTTACACCTGAGGAGATGAATAGGCTAAGGTTCATGATGCAGTCTAGTACTAACATAGCCAATTCACCTCCACCATCACCTTCTATTCACCACAATGCTTATTCAGTTTCTCAATACCTTCCACCTTTTCCAAATTACTCAGGTAATTATGTGCTTTCCACTCATAACACCCTTACCAATACCAACATAGTGCATTTCTGGATTCTAGATACAGGAGCTTCAGATCATATATCTTGTTCCTTGGCTTTGTTCACTGAGTATCAACCAGTTGTCAATACTTATGTGTATCTCCCTAATACAACCAAGGTTCTAGTTACACATATAGGAACAGTGAAGTTACCATCTGGAATGTACTTATACAATGTCCTTCTAGTTCCCAGCTTTTCTTTCAATCTGGTTTCAGTTAGTAAGCTCACCAGAGATTCTCCTCTAGCCTTACACTTTCATTCTGATTCATGTTATATCCAGGACCTTCTAAGCAAGAGGAAGATTGGTTTAGCCAGAGAGTCTAGAGGTCTGTACCAGCTTTCTTTCCAACCAACTCAAGACCAAATGCAACCACCTACACTTCCTCAAGCAGCCACCACCTTCAACTTCAATGCTCACCAGTTTGACCTCTGGCATTGGAGACTAGGCCACTCTAGTAGTGATAGGATTTCTTTGTTACAGCAAACTGATTCCACTGTAACTAGTTCTAGAGTTTCCCATTGTGATGTTTGCCATTTTTCTAAACACAAACGCCTTCCATTCCCTGTTAGCACTAGTACTGCAAGTGATTTGTTCCAACTTATACATGTTGACATTTGGGGCCCTTTGTCTGTTCTCTCCTATGATGGTTATGCTTACTTTCTTACTGTTGTGGATGATTACTCTAGAGCAGTTTGGGTGTTTTTAATGAAACACAAAGGTGAAACCAGGGAGTTACTTAAAGGGTTTTGTCAACTGGTTAAAAACCAATTTGGGAAGACAGTCAAGGTAGTAAGAAGTGATCAGGGCCAGGAGTTTAATATGTGTGAGTTTTATATGGAAAATGGCATTGAGCATCAAATGTCTTGTGTGGTAACCCCACAACAGAATGCTAGGGTGGAGAGGAAACATCAACATATACTAAATGTTGCTCGTTCATTAAGATTTCAATCAGGGATCCCACTGAAATTCTGGAGTGACTGTGTGCTTCACTCAGTCTACATCATTAACAGACTACCTACTCCAGTATTGCAAAACCGATCTCCTTATGAAATCTTATACAGTAAACCTCCTTTCCTTGGACATTTGAAAGTTTTTGGTAGCCTTTGCTATGCCAGTACACTGAGTCATGCTAGGACCAAGTTTAATGCAAGAGCTCGACAGTGTATATTCTTAGGCATACCACCAGGCATTAAGGGCTACAAGCTCTTAGATCTACAAGATCATAGAGTCTTTGTCTCTAGGGATGTAGTGTTTCATGAAACTATACTACCCTTTAGACATAACTCCTCAGAACCCTCTACAGACTCTCCAATAGTCTCTCCATCACATACACCTGTTACACCTTCTCCACCAATTCAAGTACCTTCTTCCTCACCAGACACACATCCTACTTTTCCTACACCCTCTGATGATGGGGGGCAGCCCTCTGAAACAGTTGACCTTCCTTCTTCAGTTGAAACTTCAGTTGAAAACATCACAGAGTCTCCAGTACATGGTGATTTTTCTGCTTCTTATGGTGAACATGATCCTGAATTGGAACCTCAAGCAGACTATGAGGAACCAATTGGCAGGCCACCTAGACAGCATCAGCTTCCAGCTAAGTATACTGATTGTGAACTTGATCCCAGGTTAACTTTTGGTGGTTTTGGTTCTGTGGCAAATGTAAGCAGATATCCAATCTGTTTACATGTGGATCAGCTTAATCAAGTTGACAGGAAGTATGCATCGAGTGTTTTGGCACAGATGGAACCAAGATCTTATGCAGAAGCAGTGAAGTTTATTGAGTGGAAAAGAGCAGTGGAAGCTGAAATAGGAGCTTTGGATGAAAATCAAACATGGGAGATAGTGTTGTTACCTGTAGGAAAGAGGATGATAGGCTATAAATGGGTTTTCAAGATAAAATTGAAACCAGATGGAACTGTGGAAAGGTATAAAGCCAGATTGGTGGCTAAAGGCTATACACAGGTGTATGGAATAGACTTCTTGGATACATATTCTCCTGTTGCTAAAATAAACACAGTAAAAGCTTTGTTAGCAATAGCAGCAGTTAAGAATTGGACTCTAGATCAAATGGATGTTTCTAATGCTTTCTTACAAGGAGACCTAGAAGAAGAAGTTTATATGAAGGTTCCTGAGGGCATTGAAATACCAGCTGCTTTGCAGGGAAAAGAAGGACAAATTGCTTGCAGGTTGAAGAAATCCTTGTATGGGTTGAAGCAAGCTTCTAGGCAATGGTTTGCCAAGCTTACTGGATTCCTTTTGAAGAGTGGTTTTTCACAATCAAACTCAGATCATTCTATGTTCACTAAATGGATCAGAGGAAGGATTGTGATAGTGTTGGTATATGTAGATGACATTATTGTGGGTGGTGATGCACCAACTGATATTGAACAGGTGAAGAAGTCATTGAGCAGAGAGTTTAAAGTGAAGTTGTTGGGACCTCTAAAATATTTTCTTGGACTTGAAGTAACAAGAAATGCAGAGGGACTTTCAGTTTGTCAAAGAAAGTACTGTATGGATTTGTTACAGGACACTGGATATGTTGATGCAAAGGGTTGTTTGTCACCTGCAGATCCAAAGATCAAGTTGACACCAACTCAAGGAACTAGACTTGAAGATCCAGAATCATACAGGAGACTGGTTGGGAGGTTGCACTACATTACCATCACCAGACCAGATTTGACATACTCAGTTCAGCAACTTTGCCAATTTCAGAAGGACCCTCATAGTGATCATCTACAAGCAGCATATAGAGTACTCAGATACTTAAAAAGTTCACCTGGACAAGGGATTTACTTCAGTAGCAAAGCAGATCTGAAACTTGTGGGTTTCTGTGACTCAGATTGGGCTAGTTGCCCTGAAACAAGAAGATCAACTACAGGATACTGTACATTCCTTGGAAGCTCACTTCTAACTTGGAGAACAAAGAAGCAGAACACTGTTTCGAGGTCATCATCAGAGGCTGAATATAGAGCATTAGCTCTATTGTCTTGTGAGGTGCAATGGTTAAGAAGTTTGCTGGCAGAAATGAGTGTGCAGGTACCACTACCAATCTCGATTTATTGTGATAATCGTTCAGCAATTCATATTGCAGAGAACCCTGTGTTCCATGAAAGAACGAAACACATAGAGATAGACATCCATGTTACAAGAGAAAGGATTAAGTTGGGATTAATCAAGTTGCAGCATGTTAGTACTGTGAACCAGCTTGCAGATCTGTTTACAAAGGCAGTGCACAGGGTGAGGCTAAAAGAACTACTGGACAAGTTGGGAATCAGAATGATAACCACAACTTGAAGGGGGGTGTTGACTGAAGAAGAAGTGAGAAGGAGTAGCAGATGAAGAATCCGAGACCAAGAAGGATTCGCAGCAGCTATGAAGAAAGGAGGAAACGATGTCGGATTGAAGAAAGAAAGGAAGAAGAAGTAAAACACGCTGTCGTTTTATTTAATGCTGTACTAGCCGTTAATTAACAGTAAGACCGTTTTGTAATAGCCAGTGTCTCTCTGACATGTGGCAAAACACTGTTATTGGTTTGTTAACAGAGGTATATATACAACCTCCTGCAACCCTTCCTCTCTAAGGGTACTGCATTTCTAAAAACCCTCATACAAAATTCACACACCGAATCAAGCCGGCGCTCGTCTTTACCCTCAAACTTTCGCCGTGTCCGCGTCGCCGAATTTCTCGCTCTCGCAATCTAGGGGAATTACTGGTTCGACGGTGTCCCTGGCGCAGGAGAGGGAGTACAAACTGTACAAGGAAGGAGACGAGATCATAGAGGTTACCGTGCTCTTCGAAGGCTGTGACTTTAACCACTGGCTCATCACCGTCGAATTCCCCGAGGATCCTGCCCCGTCGGCCGAAGAAATGGTTGCTACTTATGAGAGAATTTGCGCCCAAGGACTCGGCATCAGGTACTTCGTTGGTTGTTTCCCCCCTTACATTTAGAAGATAGTGCAGGATTGTGATTGCAGTAGTCATCTGGTCTAAGCTAGGACGCAGTTTCAACGAGCAATTAGTTATCTTTTTCCTGATTAATGTTGGGGTTTTCAGCATTGAGGAGGCCAAGAAGAAAATGTATGCTTGTAGCACAACAACTTACCAGGGGTTTCAAGCTATAATGACCGAAGAGGAATCGGAGAAATTCACAGGTCAGTTTTGCTTTCAGGAATATTTTTTTTCTCGTTTGGCAGTTTTCCCATTTGGTTGCATTAATTCATATTCTGTACTCCGAGTTCCCAGCTGATAATGGGTTGTCATTTTCAATTTTAAACAGATGTGCCTGGAGTTGTTTATGTGTTACCAGACTCGTATATTGATCCTGTAAACAAAGAATATGGAGGTGAGGCTAGGAACCTCATGACAAATTGATGACTGATTTGTGTATCGAGTTCTGATTTGAGGCTCTGATTTGCTGTCTATTCTTCAGGGGACAAGTATGAAAATGGCGTGATAACACACAGGCCACCTCCAGTACATTTTCAGAGGAGGGATGAATCACGGATGCGAACTAGGAGATATGGCGAAGGAGGTAGTCCGTAATATCAGCAGCAAGAAAAATACCGGTACTGCGCTGTAATAATTTGGCCTTCGATAGATAATAATCAATGTTCACTGCCCTTAGTTCAACGTTGCTCTCATTATCTTCGATAGATAACATGAATTCAGCATAAGCTATAGTGTTGCAGGTATCATTATATGGCCTTATTACTAGGTTACTACTGTTCTATGCCTGCTAATACCGAGTTTTTCTTTCACTATTTCTCCCTTTTGGCTTATCTCTGAATCTTGGTTTCTGCTTTTCTCTACCAGGTGAGAGAAAGATATTGAGCATATGAACCAGTGTTCGTTTTGAGTAAGGAAAACAAGTGGGGCCTCTGTAAAGCACTTCTGTCCTTCATTCTGATTCCTTAGAGCAAAGAAAGAGGTTCTCCTCTTTTACTTGGTGAACATTCTGCTTGCTACGTTTACCTTTTATCAGATAGTTACTACAGAGGGTTTTGTACGATTCCCTCAAACATTCCCTACAAGTTGTGCATGCAAATTGTGGGTTATGGTTCATAACTCCTGTCGATTTTACTTATCATGTATGTCGTTTCTTCTTACTTTCGTTTGCTCTGCATTTAGATTTTACTTTATGGACCATCTTGATCATAAGAACAATTAGACTCGATTTGTTTTAGGTGGCTAACCAGTTTGTTGTGGTTAACCTAATCGAAAACGAAACTAAAATCCATTCAGGACTGTTGTTTAAAGCCATAACTCGACTGTTATAATTGACTTGAACTGCTAACCAATGGATCCCTCTTTTCAATTCCATTTCTGTTTAACCAATTTTCCTTTCACAAGGTATTTCAACAATCCCTCTGTGCATGAGATTAGACGTACTTAAGTGCAGGGTTTAGGATGACAACTATACTCATGTAGTATACTTAGGTAGTGAGGGTGTCGGGAAGAGTGGTTGGCGAGCCAAGGACCTTGCCGCCGACGTCTGGGAAAGATTCGTGGCCTGGCAAAGCAGAGACTTTACCGTCTCTGCTTACTTGAATGGGGTACTGCATCAAGTGTCCTTTCATTGGGAGCCTCTCTTCGGCCACAAACGCCTTCCAATTGTCCTTAGCAACCTTGTTCACGTTTTTCATGCACCTCATGCTCTGTGGCTCCTTGTGTGCTTCCTCCAACTCCTCCATGTGCTCCGCCCACAGCGACATCCGGTATCCGTATATCTAATCAACCACAAATCCACTACACCATTTCAATAATCGACTATACTTGGTACTCCTGGCAGACTAGGAGTATACAATACTTCGATACAGTGATACGATCAGGAGTACTGCATACTCGAAGTGTAGTGAGAGTACCATAGAAGTCACTTGCTAGAGTATTTTGCTATCCAGACCTGGCTACGTGGGTGGCCCTGTTTGGCAGCCCAAGTATGAGCTGGCTGATAAGCTCCCATTGCGATCTCAGTGTCTCTTGAACCATCCAAAGATCTCTGGTTGATGTTTGCTGATCCGATGACTACGTACTCGTCGTCCACAATCATCCCTTTGGCATGGACGTAGATCATGAATCTGCGGTACTTTTGACACGCTGCCTGCCAAGTAGAGCAAAGAGCAGGGGAAGTGCCCCTGGTTAATTATTTGTGTTGAACTGAAAATGAAAGTGAGACCAGAGTAGCTGTTACCAAAGCACGGTTCTCGGTTTGGGGATTTAAGAAACCGGCGCAGTCTTGATTCTTGTCTTCCCTTTTGCCAAGGCAGAAGAAGTTCAAGTAGTCCTGTGGATGGTAAGCCTCCAGCAGCCCTGCTTTCTCAAGTGCATTTGCTATTATTTTGTACATCATCTGCATTGTTTGCCCCTAGTATACATATTTCCATACGATCAAGTTGATCAATCAATACACAGTCATGTTTGCTTTATCGTGATGCACATTTTGTGTATCACTTCCAGTTACAAAAAATATATGAATCCCTTTACCTGCCAAAACAAGATTTCTTGAACTGCAGCACTGGTAGGAGAACCCTCTGGCCACATGGGTATGACCACATAAGCCGAGAAGCGCTCGTTGGCATTGATCTTGCTTGCTATCTTCAGTGCTATCTCCATTGGTACTAGGTTATCAGCACCTGATGATAATGATGAATGCATCACCGTAACAGAAAAGGGTGATCAGATCTCCACCTTCAAAGCCTGATAGTGAGTCTCTCTATTCTAGTTACTTTTGTTCATGTGTGATACCTGCATTTTTGTAAGAGGGCCAGCAGAATGAAGATCCAAGAAAGTATTGGTTCTCTATGTAGATGAAGTGCTGGGCAGATCTGATTGCTTTGATGTATGCTGTATGAATGCTTTTATCCACTTTCAAGTTCTTCCCGCACACTAGATTCTGCAATTAACAGTAATAAACTGTTTAATGCTGGATTGTTACGAGATATCTGAAGATTATCAGTGAAGAGCTTCTATGAACGTTACAAACCTGAGCAGCTGCTTCTCCAACTGCCTTCGGGAATCCCCTGACAGATCCAGAATCAATAGACCTGAAAATCTACACAACACAGAGCAATTTCAGAGGTGTTGGTGATGGTGTTCATAAGCAGAGAATTCCACAAACTCTGCATATGCTCGATCAATTAAAGTGTTGGATTGATTACCTGGACATGCCAACGCTCAGGATCGGATTCGTCACAAACGTAGACATCCTTATCCCCATGAGTGGATGGATTCAGAATCCAAGAGATACGATCCAGCTTCAACAATGCATCCCCCTGAGTGACCTTTTTCAGCCTGAAATCCCTCCATTTCTGGGCTTTCCTCCATCTCTGCTCGAAATTCGTTAGTATGTCGTGCGCAGCTGGACCTTCGATCTTGCAGTGCAGATCGTGCCACGGCTGTCTTGGACTCCTCGCATTCGACTAACCATGTATAATGTATGACACAGTGTGTTAGCTACTTCATACACAAGAGGGAGAAACTATGTGTTCTTTTGAAGCATATATAGCTAGGGCTTACTGGAAAAGTAGGATTGTGGAAGTCGTTGAGGAAGATCGTGTCGAGATCGCGAAACAACCTGTGGTCAGGAGTGTCGTATCTTCCATCACACAGGTCCAAGCCGCCGATGAAAGAAGTGATCTTCCTGTTGTTACCAGAAGCTTGTGTGTCCAGTATCACACACTTCTGATGATGCGTGAACAGGGTCCCGACCACCTGGACTACACCAAAGACGTACCATCTGAATCAATCACATATATAGTTTGTTCATGCATGAAGAAAATCAAATCATCATCATCTTCATCACCTGTTGCTTGAAAATACTGAGCTTATTGCTGGGGTAACGAGGTGCAAGCACGCAGTGAACAGTCGAGTGCTTAAAGAACTTCTTAGTCTCCTCATCATGCGTCTGCATAACTCCGTCCTGCATATCGACCAGAGATATCATTTAGCTCCTTAGATCGGCACGTAAAACATGTACGTACACATGCATGCATGCACGCACGTATATACCGTTTTGAAGAAAAACTTGTCATGAGAAGTCTTGTCATCCCAAATCAGCATCACAACCCTAACCCCTTCCTGCGACTTATACTTCAGGAGCTCCCCCAACGTGAGCTCCCCGCCGGAGGGCAACCCCCTCGCCGCCGTCGGCTCCCTCACCAGCTTCACCTTATGATATATCGACCAGCCCACCACGTATATCAAGTGATGCGCCTCCAACATGGCGTGACACATGTCCTCCCAGCACTTCTCGTGCCGGTACACCTTCCCGCCGTCCAACACAATCTCCGGCAGCATCCCGTCGGGGACATGCGCGTCCTGGTACAGCGTCACCATCCCTCCCTTCCTCAGAGGGAAATACGTGTTGGCCACCCCGCCGCCGTCGCCATAACCCGGTCCGGTTCCCGATCCGACCGGTTTGAACCGGATCGCGACCCGGAGCTCCGGGTAGGGTTTCAAGCAGTTCCCCGCGTGTCCCACGAGGGGGAACCAGTCGTCGATTTTTTCCCCCGGCGTGATCTTCTCCACGGGGAGCTCGACGACGCCGATGAGCTGCGCGCCGAGGACGTCGTTGTCTTTCACGTGGAACTCGACTTTGAGGACGGGGTGGGCGACGGGGACGAGGAAGTGCTCGTCCCAAAGAGGGTTCTCGCAGTTGGGGATGACGCGGGTTTGTGCGACGGTGGCGCCGGCGAGGCAGACGGAGACGTAAGGGTCGCTGGTGATGATGGAGTGGTGGGCGGAGGAGGAGGAGGCGCGGCGGCGGCGGCGGTGGTTTTTGGAGCAAGGGGAGCCGAGGAGGTTGAAGCAGCGGCGGAGGTGCTCGGAGGCGAGGTCCATGTTGGGGAGGGATTTGGCCTCGTGGATCCATACGTCGAGCTCGCCGTGGAGGAACGTGGGTTGCTTTGAGGTGGACGTTCTGCCGCCGCCGCCGCGGGTGGACGTGCCGTGGTTGGATTGGTGGTGGTGGTGGTGGTGGTGGGGCGGCGAGGATGGTGGTGCGCCGGCGATTGTTATTGAATCGGATTCGTGACTACCCATTGCATGTAGGAAAAGGTAAAAGATCAGGGTCCTGTTTGGTATTTTTAAAAAGTAGGAGGATTGGTGAAGGGAGATTTTTGCGGTTTAAATTTTTTTCAGATTAAGATGGTGGTGGAGATTGGAGAAGGGTGACGTATAGATGTTAGGCGACGAAATGAAACGTTCTCCTTATCTAATCTGGAATAAGGGAGAGGAGAACGAAGATGAGATATGAGGATTGAAAGGATGAAAATCTTGAACGGGGAATCTGTATATAAGAGAGGGGAAATGAGGATGGAATTGGCGAGAGGAAGATCATGATCGAATTCAGGAGTTGTTCCATGATATGAGAAAGTGATTGAGAAACGGGGAAGTGGGGAAGAGAATGAAACAAATGGTAAAATTGGAAGAAATGGGGGAAAATAGATCTAGGTGAAATAGTCGAAATTTCTATATCTTTTTATTTACGATTAAATAGAAAAAATAGATCTAGGTGAGCGAGTCGTTCAATTCTATTAATAATTAGATTAAATTGAGATAGAAATCGAAAAAAATAAATAAAAGGAAATTGAGTATCGATTCATTTGATTCTTTGTATTCAATTTCGCTTCACTTTTTTTTTTATTAAGAAATTGAATCCAAATTCAAATATATATCTCTGATTTAATCCAATTCAAATATCTAACATGGATAGAATAGATTGAATTGTAGTTTACCTCTATTCTTGAGTGTTTGCTTGTCTGCTCTCATTAACTTTTGGATATAATCAGTAAATTAACAAAATCAACAACAAAGACCGCATAGCGCAGTGGATTAGCGCGTCTGACTTCGGATCAGAAGGTCGTGGGTTCGACTCCCACTGTGGTCGCTTTTAATGTTTTTTTTCCTGTTTTCATTTTTGAAATTTCGGTTTCTAGGGTTTATGATCTAAATTGCTTTTTCCCTCTCGCCATTTCACTTCACCAACTGAACTCCGGATCGCGGCTCAAAGGAAACGAACATACCTCGCTACTGTTTTTCGTTGCACCAAAGACGACAATGGCTTCAACTGCCCAGCCAGCTTCGTCGCTCAAGAGAAGGGATGTGCCGGTCACGAGGGAAGGGGACCAACTCACCATTATTCCATTAGGCGCAGGAAGCGAAGTGGGGCGTTCCTGCTGCTACATGACTTTCAAGGGGAAGACTGTTTTGGTAAATTACGATTCATTTCGTTGAAGCATATGCGTTCTTCAGTTAAATCCCTTGCTACCGACTGCTTCATTTCCAATTCTAATGACTGGGGCATCAATTTTTGCGTGTGTTAGTTTGATTGTGGGATTCATCCAGCCTACTCGGGAATGTCTGCTTTGCCCTACTTCGATGAGATTGATCCTTCCACTATTGACGTGCTTCTAATCACTCAGTAGGTGTTCTCTTTGATTTTGGGGGCACCATCTTTCTGGGGTTCTTAGTTCACTCATAAGGATTGCTACCCTTCTGCCTGCTTGCAGCTTTCACTTGGATCATGCTGCATCATTGCCTTATTTTCTGGAGAAGGTTGGTTGGTTCCCTTGTGTCATTGATATGTAAGAAGACGAATGGGAACGATGAGTGTGGTTTGTGGTTCTGTAGCTTACTTTATACTGTTTTACTCAGACTACATTCAGAGGCAAAGTTTTCATGACTCATCCCACAAAGGCCATTTACAAATTGCTTCTGACGGATTACGTGAAAGTGAGCAAAGTTTCCATTGAAGACATGTTGTTTGATGAACAAGACATAAACAACTCCATGGATAGAATTGAGGTATAGTAGAGTTGCTTCTTTTTCATTCTGCGTCTAGTTAAACTTCCTTTTTCTTACCTGTTTCATGATGCGAAAGAACCTTTTTTTTTCTGTGGATTGTTCACTATCTTTCAATTTGTAGGTCATTGACTACCATCAAACAAAAGAAGTGAATGGAATCAAGTTCTGGTGCTACACTGCTGGCCATGTTCTCGGTGCTGCCATGTTCATGGTTGACATTGCTGGTGTTCGTGTGCTCTATACTGGTGACTACTCACGTGAGGAGGATAGGCATCTTCAAGCTGCTGAAATGCCAGAGTTCTCCCCTGATATATGCATAATCGAGTCCACCTATGGAGTCCAGCTTCATCAGCCTCGACATGTAAGGGAGAAGCGCTTCACCGATGTCATCCACACGACCGTCTCTCAAGGTGGCCGTGTTCTTATCCCTGCATTCGCGCTTGGTCGTGCTCAGGAACTGCTATTGATTCTTGACGAATACTGGAGTACCCACAAGGAGCTCCAGAACATCCCGATATACTATGCCTCCCCTCTGGCCAGAAAGTGTATGAGTGTTTATCAGACATACATACTTGCCATGAACGAGAGGATTCGGAATCAGTTTGCACACTCGAACCCCTTCCAGTTCAAGTTCATACAAAACTTGAACAGCATTGATGATTTCAACGATACTGGGCCATGTGTAGTTATGGCCAGCCCTGGCGGGCTGCAGAGTGGACTGTCCAGGCAGTTGTTCGATATGTGGTGTGCTGATAAGAAGAATTCTTGTGTCATACCGGGATACGTTGTTGAAGGAACACTTGCTAAGACCATCATCAATGAACCAAAGGAAGTCACCCTCATGAATGGACTAATGGCCCCACTCAACATGCAAGTTCACTACATTTCGTTCTCAGCGCATGCTGACTACGCCCAGACAAGTGCCTTCCTGAAAGAACTCAGACCTCCCAACATAGTTCTGGTCCATGGAGAAGCCAATGAGATGGGAAGGCTGAAACAGAAGCTGATCACGGAGTTTGCTGCTGATGGCAATACCAAAGTCTTAACCCCCAAAAACTGTCAGTCGGTCGAAATGATGTTCAACTCCGAGAAGATGGCGAAAACCATAGGGAAACTGGCTGAGAAGACACCCGAAGTCGGTGAAACAGTCAGTGGGATACTTGTGAAAAAAGGCTTCACATATCAAATCATGGCACCTGAAGATCTACATGTGTTTTCACAGCTCTCAACAGCAAACATTACTCAGAGGATCACCATTCCATTCAGTGGTGCATTTGGTGTGATAAAGCACCCTCTCGAGCAGATATACGAGAGCGTGGAATCGGGCACTGATGAGGAGTCTGGTGTGCCCACATTGCTAGTGCACAAGCTTGTCACTGTTAAGCAGGACTCCGAGAAGCACATCTCCATGCACTGGGCTGCTGATCCAGTGAGTGACATGGTGTCAGACTCGGTGGTGGCTTTGGTTCTGAACATCTCCCGTGAGCTCCCCAAGGTGGTGATTGAATCGGAGGCAAGTAAGACGGAGGAAGAGAACGAGAAGAGAGCGGAGAAGGTGATCTATGCTCTGCTGGTTTCAATGTTTGGGGACGTGAAGCGAGACGAGAATGGGAAGCTGGTGATAAGTGTTGACGGGAATGTGGCAAAGCTTGACAAGCAGAATGGGGATGTGGAGAGTGAGCATGAAGGGCTGAAAGAGAAAGTGAGGACTGCGTTCAGAAGAATCCAGACTGCTGTTAATCCAATCCCTCCCTTTGCTTCTTGACTGATTTCGTAGCGTAGCATGTAAGGCATTCTCCTGACTTTCCCATTGTGTTCTGAGTCCTGATTTTTGTATAGCTTTAGAACAGGATGAGATTTTTGGGTGATAGAGGAAGCGTTTTCCTTTTGGCTAATTAGTTGCAGCTTGCTTTTTGTTAATTTAGACTTTGGTCAGCTTAATGTTTGTTGCAGGTTCTGATTTGACTTGATGCAACTTACCATGTGCACACAATAATGTCCCATATAATTTTAAGTATAATAAACTAGCCCAAATGCAATCTATATTCTTAAAATTACATAAGTTTTTGTTAATCTTAGATTCCATCACTTTTATTAAGGTACCAATGGACTTGTCTTGGATTAACTTATGGCATTAAGGAACTCTAATCAAATAATATAAGTTTTAGGGATGCTACTTAGTCAGGTAAGGGTTACACCGATAAACTAACCAATAACTGTTGGCTGATGGTTGTACGTTAACCGATTATAAGTTAATAGAAAGGTTGTCAGTAGGGTCAAATGCTTCATGTGTAATGATAATTGAATAGTCGGTTAATAGTTAATCGACAACTTACTGATTATAAGTGTCTATGTTTCTCTCTCTCAAAACAGTAATGTCCTTTTCCAAAAACCTCTCGGAAAGTGAATAAATCATCTCCTCACTTCATAAGCCCTTTTCCTCTCTCCCCAATTTCCTTTCATTGTGAAGCTTAAAATTGAAAGAGGCAAAGAGCACCTTCGATTTTTTTTGGGTTGAAATGTAGGCATCAAGATTAGATTGGGGAGATCAAATTACTTATGTGGGAGGGAAAGATGCAAAAGATTGCGCTCTAATATCTTTCATCAATAGCGTTCTTTTTCGCCCAGTTCGTACTCATCACTTCCTCTATTCCCTTTTGTTCTCTTAGTATCAATAGGAACAACAAGCCAAACACAAATCAATGATAAAAATATAAAAACAGAACACATACATATGGAAGGAACACATAAGGGAGACCTTCTATTGATTTGGTTATCCATCAATTATTTTGCCCTAATCTTTTCGAATCACTTTCTATGGTTAGTCGGTTAACCAATATTATAACCGATAACTAACTATACAATTACGTTTATGTTAACAAAAATAAAAATGACTTAACGGTTAATCAATAACCGAATAGACAATTCCGATTATAACCGAACTAAAAACCGAACCCACCTCGTTATTTTGAACTTAAACGGAAGACAGGTGTGTGTTAGTTACTACTTACTACCGGAAAGGGAGAGAAAGGCCTAATTTATAGTACTGTCAGTTCCTCTCTGCCCTTACCTTTTCTTGTTGCATTTGACTTTTTTGGTGAACTTTGTTGAACAAACGAATCACAGAATCATGAGAAGGTAGCGTTTATGGCAGAAGAGCAAGGAGGAGAAGACGAAGACGAATCAGAAGAAGGAAGAAGACAACAGGCAACGCGCTCCGCGCCAGCCGCTGTCGTCCTTTCCACCCACCGCTGGGGAAATGTAATTTGTCTTCCCCGTCCCCCCGCCTCGAATAATAATCCGGAAACCCTAGTCGCGGTCGTCTAAAGTAACTGAACAATGGGGGAGAAAAGCTTCTTTGCCTTCAAGCGAAGTCGGCGTCAGTCGAAGAAGAAGGCCGGCCCTTCGCTGCCGTATCCTCTGCCGCCACCTCCCCCGCTGAGGGCTACGTCGCCGCCACAGGCCGGCGAGAACGGTGGCGCGGTGTCGGTAGTGAAGGGAAAGAAGAAGGCCGGAGGTTCCCGGCTGTGGATGCGGTTCGATCGCTTTGGGAATTCGGAGTTGGTGGAATGTGATAAGAACGCCATTCTTAAGCGTGTGGCGATTCCTGCTAGGGATTTGAGGATCCTTGGCCCCGTCTTCTCTAACTCCTCCAGTATTCTTGGTAACTATTTCTTCATATTTTCATGTACACTCGTGGAATTGTGTGATTTTGTTTCGTTGATGTGGTAACTGCATTGATCGCATTGATGCAACTGTGATTGGGACCGAGTTGTTTGCATTGCTTGAGCCTTGTTCTGCTTATGACGTAGGGTGATTTCAACTGTTGTTAGTAGAAATTTATGGAAGAAGTGCCAGACAGGAATTCAGTTTCCATTTCCTCCCTGTCACTGATGGTATTTTCACATATGCTGCACTCATTGCGTAAGTAGGAAGTACAGAAACTAAGTGGAATTACAATTTGTTGCAGCCAGGGAGAAGGCAATGGTTGTCAATTTGGAGTTCATAAGGGCTTTAGTCACTGCAGAGGAAGTATTGATTTTGGATCCCCTGAAACAAGAGGTTCTTCAGTTTGTCGATCAGCTAAGGCTACAGCTTCGGCTTAAAGCGCCATTACAGATTGAAGAAGCAGGCCATGCTGATGGACAAGACAATGGAAGGCGTGTTGCATCTGATGCACACCTGCCGACTCCTGAAGCTGCTGATGGTGAACAGCCTGAGCTTCCATTTGAGTTTCAGGTTCTTGAGATTGCATTAGAGGTGGTGTGTTCATATTTGGACTCTAGCGTGGCGGAATTGGAGCGAGATGCATATCCTATCTTGGATGAATTGGCAAGGAATGTCAGTACCAAGAATCTCGAACATGTGCGAAGTTTGAAAAGCAATCTGACTCGCCTGCTGGCACGTGTGCAAAAGGTAGTCTGGAATCTCTTTACTCTTTTCTCCTGATTCTTCTTGAATGGTGTCTTTGGTATCAATTCAAATGCAAGTGCGAAGTGACCTGTTAGAGAAGGAAGTTGCATACTATTTTGGTTAGATCCCAGGCAGTAGTGCTAGCATGTATGGTCCATTATTGTAGCTTATTCTTGAGCTTCTCGTTTGGAATTTAACTCAGCTACAAAAATAGGTAACAGGAACGAAAGAAAAGAACAGCCTGACCTCCTTTCGTAGGATAGGGGTCTCTTGCTTCTGCTGAGTGAATAGTGTGCATATGCCTTGTGCCTTTCCAAGCATCTAGTTGCTACATAGAATCAGAAAATTTGAAGTAGCATAAGATCTTAGCATGTGATGCAAAGCAGTTAGTGTTCTTTGGAGTATTTGCAGACATTATTGGAGACATTGTGCCCTCCTTAGAACTGCCAACAACCCTTTGTCACTACTAATCTTAAGGTCCCGGTGTGAACTCACAATTTACTTATTCTGTAAGAATTAATCTGAAGCGTATTGTACAGACTAGTCTTGCCAGTGTATTTCCGTTATGTATTCCTTGCTTCACTTGCTGGTTTGGAGGGGGATTGTCATCTGTTAAGTAATCTTTTCCTTTCTGAAAGACATCTGGTTCTTTCATACAAATAGGACTCAGTTAATCTAGTTTGTTTCTTTCCAGGAAAAAAAATTCTAGTTCCCCCCCCCCCCCCCCCCTCAATCTTAGACTGTGATCAGTTAGTGTAATTATTGCCTTGGAGTGAGGTTTCAACTCCATTCTCTCTGTGGCCCTTTTTATTATGGATATAATAATAGCATCAAGGCAAAAGCAAGAGGTGAGGAGATATGGGGATGTGGATCTTAAAAATCTCATATGAAGCTCTTACCTTAATCTCATGTTTCCTCTTGAATCACTGCGCACCTGTTAAGATTGCAGTAAAACCTGATTTCATATTGCACTAATAAAACGGACCTCAATAGTGCAATGCATGACTTTTTTTGGATGCTTTTATCAGGCTTCATAAACACTGTCACTGTACTCTTATGTGCCTGACTTACTGTAGGTGAGGGATGAAATTGAACATCTGCTAGATGATAATGAAGATATGGCAGACTTGTATTTAACTAGGAAGTGGATCCAAAGCCAGCAGTCAGAAGTCTTATTAGGATCCTTTGCTTCAAATAGCATCACTCTTGCTGCTACAGCTCAGGTCCCTCTGCTTGGTCGAAGTGCTAGTCATGCAACTGGAAGCTCTGTTGAAGATGCTGATGATGACATAGAGGATTTAGAGATGTTGCTTGAGGCTTACTTTATGCAGCTGGATGGCACACGCAACAAGATATTGTCTGTGAGTGTTCGTTTAACTAATTGGCTTTCTTTCTTTGAAATTGTCGAAAAGTCAAATGGTTTCATTGCTGTTATGGTCCATTTCGTGTGATAACATTTGTAAGTTGCAATTTACAATTGAAAGAGGTATAATACTTGAAGCACTGACAGTTTCATTATAATCTCTGCTAATATTATGAACCAAAATAATTATTATAATGAATGCATGTTCCAATTGTGATAAGTTAGTTTTTAAAGTCTACCAAATACTGAACAAATTATTCATCTGGATTATGCTCCCCCTACGAACTTCTGAATTTGATATCCCTCCGTCAAATAGTATCTGGAAAGACATCAAGTTTATGAACTGTAACCTTAAATGAGCAGTTAATTCCATGCCTACTTTTGTACGATGTGTCTGAATTTTCGCAGCTAACTTAAAGGAGAAGGGAAATGTGTGATAAACATAGCCTAAACTTGATGGATTAGTTGATTTGATAGTTTTTCTAAAAAGATTGAATGGGGGGGTTTTTGGGTATTGACCAATGGCTACGAGGGTTTGTGTCTGCTTGGCTCTGATCATAATGTCATGAAAGAACTTCATTGAAATAACAATATTCGTCTGCGCTGTTCTTGCAGGTCCGTGAATACATCGATGACACGGAGGACTATGTGAACATCCAGCTTGACAACCAGCGAAACGAACTAATTCAGCTCCAACTGACGTTGACCATAGCTTCATTTGCAGTAGCAGTGGAAACCTTGATTGCATCAGTGTTCGGGATGAATATCCCTTGCACACTGTATGATATAGAAGGGATATTCGGCTATGTCGTCGGGGGCTCTACCGCAGGGTCCTTCCTGCTTTTCTTTATGGTTCTAGGATATGCAAGATGGAAGAAGCTGCTTGGTTCTTAAGTTCAGAAGCCAATAAAAAACCATCATCAAACCAACAACAGATACGACGTCCGCGCTTGTTGCTTAATCTTTGAGGTGTGTAAGTAGGAAGTTTGCTTTATAGTTTTGCGGCTCATAGGAAAACACATAGTAACAAGTGTATAGGATGCTGGCAATACCAAGTTGCTCATCACCCATTGTCACTCTCTATTATTCAACATTGGCAATCAATCAATCAACCTCTTCGTTACGTGTATATTTCATCGCCTTCGATCATGATTGAGTACAAAGATATCGGTAGCTTCATAAAGAACGAGTCTTTGGTGCATCTAGAGCCGCTTCTGCATGTTCCTACAAGTTCATGCTAACTTCGACTATGCCTGAAATGTTGAATCCAGCTTTTCGACAGATCAAGTAAAACAGGGCATACCTTGGGTAAACATCTGAAGCAAGTGAGTGAAAGCTGAAAGGTTTTCGCCAATGCCTCGTCTTCTCCTGTTCTGTTTTCCTGAATGAAAATCTCTTGAGTGCGAGAGAGAGATGCAGAGTTGTACTGCACTTTGCGTTATCGAGCTGCCGATAGTGTCTCTGATTGTGCAAGAAGAAGGGATTGATGCCATGGTGTGTGTTTGTTTACAGCCACCATAGTAAGAAAAGGTGGCTATTTGGCTGAAATGATCACGAGGAGCAGGCTTTGGCATTCTAATATTGTGGCAACTCTTATATTTGCGGGAGTAGGACAAAAACCAGCAGCATTGTCAAGCACGCCGGCGATCCCCGCAACGTACTTTTGCGAGAATTCTCGGCCCTGTTTTGTTTCCTACTCGTTGGATTGGATATTCTTAAAGGAGAATTTCGGATCAACACAGTGTATCATCCTGTTTGTCGGCCGGCAACGATACGGACGCACAACATGCATAGAAAGCACAAGAAATTAGAGGTAAACTGAACCCTTTTTGTCTGATGTCTGTCGTCTGTTATGTCTCTGGCCTCTCATTGTGATTATACACAACAATATGGATTCTAAATAAGTCAGTTTCTGATGATGAATGAAACAAGAAGTCAATGGTGCTCGTCACATGATTTTGGGGTCAATTTCAATGATTGCCAACCTGGGAATTGTGTGGTTGGCTTGGTTAGACAAAAGCGCCTCTCGACCATCATGTTCGAAAACCCAACCATCTTAATGTAGAAAGCTTGGCTGCTTACTGGCTATAGCTACAAGTTACTTGATCGTGATTCGGGCAGTGGGCGAGGCCAGTGTAAATTCCAACAACTTGTGAGAAATCGACCATCGATCTTCAATTCCATGGCCAGCTGAGAACTCGATTTCCATCTTATCAAGTGCTGCTGATGGCCCCGCCAATATCGATCGGACGAAAGCCATTTCCAACCTTGTACCATCAAATTGATTCACCTTCACTCGCTTAAGTTCCGGCCTGATCCTCCTCCTCCGATCTATCACCATTACACCCAGCCCTACTTCACCAGATTTGTGTGGCTTCCCAATCTGAAAATATTCAGTCACAAGACAGCTTACTTAGATGTAAGTAGCACGGAAACATGTCTCATGTGTTTCCAAATCGACTTTGCTACATAGACCTAAATTGAAACTAGAATGACTAAGATTCGATCATTATAACCCGATAACTAAAAATGACCATACTCCCGAATCTGATAAGAGGAAGGGTGAGGAAGATATCGACACTCACGTTGATGGTTAGTTCAGGCAAGCCAGGGGAAATGCTCATCAACCCATTAGCAGACCACACATAGGCACTAAGCGTAGCATTCCTCCCTGGATGCTTAAGGTTAAGATGCTTAAGGTTCCGCAGCTCGCAAAACTTAACTGCATGGTCACCTCCGATCATCAAGTACTGAAACACCAAATGTATATAATTGTCAGAATTGAATTAGTCTAACTAGCAGTAGAAAATAATATTATTCCTGTATGCATAAATTAAACTGAAGGTTGAAGCAGAGCTGAGAAGAGAAATTTTTGGTTACGTACGTTGTAGAAATAACCAGAAAGAGAAAGCTGCTCCACTGCTGGAAGACAGGCTGTAAATTTCAAAAAGTTTGAGTATCCTGTCCTCAATGATGCTAACAGCTTGATGAACATCTACAGTTTTGAGTAGTGAAGTATGCTTCAGCTCCAGCAAGCTATAGCTCCCGTCTAGATGAAAATATTCGAGTTTAGGAGCCTCAATGACAATGCTGATCTTGTTGGCGGAAGAGCCGCAATCTTCCATGGTCAATGCAGAAAGCAACAGGCAGTTGAAGCTGAAACAAGCTTCACCAGCTTGCTGTACTGCAAAATCTCTAAGCTCGAGAACGTTGAGCTCAGCAAACGCAGCACTGCCAAATGCGACGTTGGAGGATGTGAGCTTGCAACCACACAACTTCAACTTCTGAGTCGGTTGAAGGAGTAGATGCACCTCGGCAGCACATAGTGCTTGATGTCAAGGGACATCGACTCAATGTGTTGGTTGTTTAGAAACTCCATGATTGTGTCAATCCGATTGTCGGGAAACGAGCTACTAAGTTCAGGAATCGAGAGGGAGAACTCCTGTAGTTGACCACAGTGGCGCGTGAGAACCTCGAAAACGTCCAATATAAGTTTGCAGTCGGCAACAGATGCTAGTTCATGTGAAGTACAACCTGCGACTGGTTTCACCACCTTACCAAACTTGTCATCGATGACAAGGATGGGCATATTTACCCAGAATCCCAGCTAGCTCTGTATCCCATACTAGTTTTTGTTTGATGATCCAGTCGCTAGTTGGCACAGTATGCTATATATCTCATTCTTCTGCCCTTACACTAGAGCTAAAAAGGAAGAAATAGGGTTCTAGCTGTTATTGGGGAAAAAGGACAATACACAAGTTGATGCAGTGTACAAAGAACTCTTGGTCCTGTGTACCTTGTACAAGAAACAGATACAGAGAGACGGGTCATATTCCCCAAGAATGATCATGGGGAGCAGGCTTGACATTCTTATCATACAGATATAGGTACCTCTTTATTTGCTGGAGGAAGACAAAAGACCTGAAGCTTTGTCAAGCACACCAGCGATCCCTGCAACATCCTGTTTGTCAGCAACAAAAGATATGGCCATCCAGAAAAAATACATAGAAAGCACAAGAATTTGGAGACACTGAAAGCCGAGTACACAACAATATGGATCCTAATAAGTCAGTCTGTTACGATGAATAGAAAACAAGAAGTCAACGGTGTTCTTCACATGATTTTGGGGTCAATTTCAATGACTGCCAACTTGGGAATTGTAGTTGGCTTGTCTTCCTAGGCTGCAAGTTACCAGCTTCCACCTAACTAACAACATGACCACCTGCTTAGGCTTGGGAGACAAGCGCCTCTCGACCATCAGATCCATAAACCCAACCATCTTCATGTAGAAACCTTTGCTAGACAACATCTGATGGGTGGTACGCATACATATTGGCAGCTTACTGGCTATAGCTACAAGTTACTTTATTGTGATTCGGGCAGTAGGCGAGGCCCGTGTAAATTCCAACAACTCTTGACAAATCAACCATCGATCTTCAACTCCAATGCCGGCTGAGAACTCGATTTCCATCTTATCAAGTGCTGGTGATGTCGCCAAGAATGATCGTACCAAAGCCATTTCCAGCCTTGTACCGTCAAATTGATTCACCTTCACTAGCTTCAGTTTCGGCCTTAGCTTCCTACTATTGTAATTGTTTATATACTTCAAACCCTGTTCTACGTTACCAGATTTGTGTGGCTTCCCAATCTGAAAATATTCAAATACAAGGCAACTCACTTAGATGGAAGGGGCAAAGAAACACGCCTGATGTATTTTCACAGCTGACTTAGCTACATTGATCTAAATTGAAATGAGAACGACTAAGATTCTATCGTTATAACCCATAACAAAAAATGACCATACTCCCGAAACTGATAAGAGGAAGGGGTGAGAAAGATATCATCCACTCACGTTGATGATTAATTCAGTCAAGCCAGCGGAGGAGTTCATCAAGCCAAAACCAGACCACAGATAGGCAGTAAGAGTTGAGCCGAGGCACAAATCATCCAATCTTAGATGCTTCAGGTTAAGCGTACACCACCGGCTGCAAGACTTAATCGCATGTTCAGCTCCGATAGTCAAGTACTGAAAATGCATGTATTTTCAGAAATGAATTAGTCTAGCTAACAGTAGACAATAATATCATTCATGTACGTATAAATTAAAATAAAGGTCAAAGGAGCTGAGAACATTAGTTTTTACGTACGTCGTAGAAAGAACCAGAGACAGAAAGCCGCTCCACTGCTGGAAGACCGACTGCAAAGTTCAAAAAGTTTGAGTAGCCTTTGGCCACAATATTGATGCTGGAATCTCGATGGACATCTACGGTTTTGAGGAATGGAGTATGCTTGAACTCCAGGAAGCTGAAGCTCCCCACAAGACGGAAATATTCTAGTTTAGGAGCCTCGATGACAATGCTAATCTTGCTGGTATGATGGCCGCAACCTTCCATGGTTAATGCAGAAAGCAACAGGCAGTTGAAGCTGAAACAAGCTTCATCAACTTGTGGTACCGCTAAACCTATAAGCTCGAGAACGTCGAGCTCAGCAAACGAAGCACTGTCAAATTCGACGTTGGAGGATGTGAACTTGCAGCCACACAACTTCAACTTCTTGAGTCGAGTGAAGGAGTAAATTCGCCTTGGCAGCACATAGTCTGTGATCTCAATAGCCAGCGACTCAATGTGTTTGATGTTTAAAAAGTCGATGATCTGGTCAATCCGATGGTCGGGAAACGAGCTTCTTAGTTCAGGAATCAAAAAAGAAAACTCCTTTAGGCGACCTCGGTGGTGCATGAGAACGTTGAGAATATCCAACATAAGTTTGTAGTTAGCAGCAGCTGCTATATCAGGTGAACCTGCAGCTGCGACTGGTTTCACTACCTTACCAAACTTGTCATCGATGACAAGGGCAGGCATATTTACCCATCTGTTCCTCCATTCCCTTGACAAAACACTCGTCCTCACTGCTTCTCGCAGAGGCAAAAACGTCAGAATGTGATCCAAAACACTGCTTGGCAACCCACTGATTCTGTCTGCACCCCACATCCTAGCCGGCTGGTCCCTTCCTTTTGCTGCACCAATTAATGCTTAGTTAATTCCTTGCCATTCCCATCTCTATCTTAGTTTGATAACGCCATGGATAGTGAGATCAAACCATCTTCCCTTCTCCTAATTATACATTACCCTAATATGAAGAGCTTTGCTCTTATGAATAGTACTTATGCTCACTACCAACTGAATCGCATAAATTAAAGGAAAGAAATTTGAAATGATGAAGCAAAATGGCCACAAACCCTAATCTTATATATTCTCGTACTGGTTAAATGTTAAAACACAGAAGGGGGAGAGTCAACTAGGCGCTCACCGTCGATATCACCAGTTGTTCCTTCTAAGTGCGACGCTAGTTGCTGCGGCGGCGCTGCGTGCGCTAGTTTTCAGGAAGCAGACAGGAATTTCACGTCTGGCCGATGAGGAAGGACCGATTGTGGGCAAATTGCAGAGTTGAAGAGCTAGGTTGGCACTTGGCAGGGAGAACTAGTGGAGCCAGACGAGGTGGCAGAGAACGGAAGAACAGAGAGGAAGGGAAAAGGGAAAGTAAGAGAGAGAAGTATAGAGATTGGAAATTGGTTTTCGCGCTAAAATGAATAAACAAATAACAATATAATAAAATCAGTGTGACCGCTGTGACGGCGATAGCCGATAGCGATACGGGCCTGTCAAAGCCCAAAACCCTATTCTGGATCAGTCCATCGGGCCTCCGCCTCGTGGCTCCTGCTTCCTGCAAAAACCGCCGCCCTTCCTGCCGTCCGGCCGTATCTGCTTTCAGACGCCTCCCTTTGTCTGCCAATCGGTTCCGTCCACCAGCCGCATCGATCGTTACCTCTCCGCCGTCCTTCCCGACGGTCTTTCTCCGTCCGATACTGCAGTATTCACGCGCAGGGTAACGATGAGGGCTGCTCGACGTGGGGATTTTATGTTCTGCAATGTGTGTGGGACGATGATGAATTTTAGTTCTGGCAACCAGGTGGAATGCCCTTTATGTAAATGCTCGAAGAGGTCAAAAGGTATACACAGTTCATGATGATTTGCCCTTCCGATTGCACTTTTCTTGCTTGTTTTTGAGCATTTGATGATCAAAGCATCGATGGTTGTTGAAGGGCATGTCTTGACATCTTTAATCTACTCAACTTGCTCGGTCTATTATTAAGCTCTTAAGCAAACAAAGTTAATGACTTGCTGCTGTCATTTGCAGAGGTGATTGGACTAGAAATATCTTACAAAGTCTCTGCTGAGGTATAATAAAACAACTCCCTTTTCCATTTCTATGTGAAGTTTGATGTGTTGGTATTGAACTTGTTCTTGGCTGTGGCTGAAACTGAATCAAAGGTGCGATTTTTTCAAAGGAATGTTTAGATGTTATTACGATGAGATGATAAATTCTCTAGCTGAACAAATGTTTGTTGCTGAGGGGAAAACGGTTGAATCAATGCTGCTCTTGGTTTAGAGCGGGTCTACAGGGTTGCTTCGCTGAAGCTTTGTCAATCCATGTGTAGTTTTGGTACTTCTTATTGTAGCGGGTGGAATGCAACTTTATGTTCTTTCGAATGCATCTAACATCTGGGTTTGTAATTGTTGATTGCGATTCTTGTTTGACTTTCTTTTAGTATCAGTTAATCTTATGTGCAATGTTTATGATGCTCAGGATATCAGAAGGGATCTAGGGATCTCACATTTTGAAGGAAAGATGGAAGTGAAAGACATGGAGGTAAACTGCTTACTGACTACTCAGATCACTTGTAAGGTTTCGTTTGTGGATGTCTTAATCTGATGGCAACTCTTGGTTTCCAAATTGGCTTTTGACGACAGATTAACAAGAAGTGCGAGAAATGCAGCAACACAAAGCTCAAGTTTTCGACTAGACAAGTACGCATCCAGCTAACCTAAAACCACTTTCACTACTCTCTCTCCCTCTCCATCTCTCTCCAATCATGTTTAAAACCTTGGTCGTGGTTGTTCCTTGTTTACAGATGAGGTCCGCTGATGAGGGGCAAACGACTTTCTTCCACTGCCCTGTTTGCTCTCATACTTTTACCGAGAATTGAACATTGAAGCATCTGAGGTTGAACTATCACTTCGTAACCAAGACAAGGTCTCTTACATTCTCGACATAGATAAGCTTCTTTTAGCTGTTGCAGTGCTTGCATTATTTTGTAAGGAACTGGAAGCCAGAATCCCAGCTAGGTATGTATACCATAGTATTTTTTTGTTTGATGATCCAATGGCCAGTTGGCACAGTATGTTAGACATTTATAATCTCGTTCTTCTTCCCTTGCAATGGATCTATAGAGGAAGAAATAGGGTTCTAGCTGTTATTGGGGAAAAAGGACACTACATAAGTTAATGCAGTGTACAAGAGAGTCCCTGTTGGTCCTGTGTACAAGAAACAGATACAGGCAAGTCAAATTCCTCATGTTCTATGGTGGAGCTATGAGTTAGGTGCAGAATACACCATTGCATTTTGGTGTAAATGTAACCAAAGAAAAGCCGACAGTTGCAGTCCATTGAGTTATATGGCAATTAGATCCTTGAAAACTAGTACCAATGATACCACACTACTCTGCTTCCATGCACATACGAATGGAAGATGCCATACAAAAGAAGGATGGAATAATTCTATTGGGTTTTCAGGATACAAGCATCCCATCAACGAAATTTGCTGCGGTGACTGGACGGTGTATTGTGCATCATCCCCAAGCGTCTCGTATTGTCGAAACCCTAACGAGTATTGGTTTTGGGATTCAATGATGCACTTCACCAGCTTTACCCACCGCTTGCTGTCAGCCAAGATTATCCCACAGATATCTGCCGCTCTGGGTTGTGGTAAAATGTAATTGGCGATTAACTAAAGCCTAACTTTTTGTGACCAAATTGGAGAATGGCATCCTCATGCATGAAAGCTCAACTAGTACTATTTCGAGAATCATGTATAGTACTAGTTGAGCTTTCATGCATGAGGATGTCATTTTCCAATTTGGTCACTAAAAGTTAGGCTTTAGTTAATCGCCAATTACATTTTACCACAACCCAGAGCGGCAGATATCTGTGGGATAATCTTGGCTGACAGCAAGCGGTGGGTAAAGCTGGTGAAGTGCATCATTGAATCCCAAAACCAATACTCGTTAGGGTTTCGACAATACGAGACGCTTGGGGATGATGCACAATACACCGTCCAGTCACCGCAGCAAATTTCGTTGATGGGATGCTTGTATCCTGAAAACCCAAAAGAATGAAAGGAATCATCATCTTATATATCGCTAGCTAGTCCAGGTTGTCATTGTATAGTTGTATATTTCATCTGATCATAGTTAGAACTAATTGGACGATGCTAACCTAGCGTACTGTAGTTGTCTAGCAAAGACTGCACCGCACCCCAGAGGTCGCCATACACCAGGCGCACATGAGGAAACTCCTCCCGCAGCTTCTGAAGCTCGTCCTGGAGGCGCTGATTGTGCAGTGCGTGGAAATAGTTGGTGGCGTTATGGTCATTGCCGCCTTGATAGATCCCGAACACAACCACTTTGGTGGCTCCGTAACCGACGATTAGCTTCTGCAGATCGAAAGCAAAGGGAGAGTCAAATCATGAATCTTAACAATAATGAAAGCTAGGATCATATACATGTATATATATATATATATATATATATGCCCACCCACCTTCACATAGGTATTGATTGCAGCCATGATATCGGGCATCACAGCAATCTTCTGTTCGACGAAAGGAAGGCGAGAGTAGTTCCCTCCTTTCATGTTGTTGTAGTCATTGATACCACCTCCGAGTAGGAAAAGGGATGTTTTGAGATGATTCCGGCGAGCTAGGGCAAAAGAAAACCATCACCATTTGCTCAATATATGTTGTGGGGCGGCGAATGTATTACAATTTAGATACCAACCATTTTCATCTTTGAATTTGTGGAGGTCCATGAGTTGTTCTAGCCATTGGAATTGCACATCAACGCTCCTCTGGGAATAGGGTAGGGTGATGTTCCATTTTGCTCGGAGTTCCTTCGACAACACACCTACTCCAGCGACGGCAAAATTTGCCCCCTTGGAGTGGTCGAGCTTTTTATCGAGGAAAGGATTCAGATGAGGAAGTCCAGCTGCTTCCGCTGCTCGATAATATATAGGGTTAAGTACATGCACACATATGAATCAAGACATGAAACAACAACGTACGTTACGCGTACCTATTCGGTCGACGAAGAGGTATCCGTCGCAAAACCTTCCCGTGGCATGGTGAATCGTCATGCCATACTAGAATCAATACCCACGGCTACGCCGCGAGGACTTCAGTTGCAGCAATATTATTTTCTCATCAGTAGTGAGGAGGCATGACAATTTAGAGAATGTGTCCATCAATTAATGGTCTCCTTCATGACAATGGTTATGCAAAACCACCCCAGGTTTGTAATTGTGGTCTTAAGGCAAAATGCATTACCATCACAATGTTTGTATAACAATATTTTATGTAGTCATGTGATTCCATGTTGCATGTTTCCTTCCTCCCAGAAGTGCAGCGGAAGAAATATCTGCATTTTTTCAACAAATAGTCAAATAATGTCATGAATGAATCGATGGCATCAATTCAGCAATTTATGGTGTAATGCAACATTTTAACCAAGACATATAATAGATGCCATCAATTGAAGCATACTAATCTAATATTAGAGCCTCGAGATCATTAAATAAATTAGATAGCATCCAAGGGGCATAATCCTTCGGGGGACATTACAATGACAATGAGGGAAAGCCAGTTACCAATTCTGATTGGCAACAAATCAAAGCTGAAGATGCAGCAGCAACAACAATATAATGAAGCAGCAACTTGACCCTCGATTATCCATTCAGCAGTAACAACAACAAAACCGAAATGCACCAACAACAGCTTCAGAGGACAACCAATAAGGCCTTCCATTGAACCCACTCTCCCATTTGAAAGCTACTATGGGTCAGAATATGAACAACATGCACTTGGCTGGTCAAGTGGTTAACAAACAACATCATGGCCAACTTCAGGTGCAACAGCAGTAGATGCACCAGAGGAAAATGATTACGGGACTGGAAGACATTATCGGTCATAATCCGTCAGGTGCAGCAGCAGTAGTGTGCAGGAAGTCATTATCCGTCATAACCACCTACTTTGTAGGACACCAATTAAAGGTTATAATGAGAAACTACCTACTTTCATAGGCAAAGACATCACAATAAGGGAATGATGAACATGAATAAAACATGACTGACCATTAAGGTGGCAAAGAGACTGGAGGGAAGGAATCGAAATATCGAAGTTGCAGGTGATCATATTGAGGCAAGGAAAGAACAGTAGAGGGAAATGGAGGAAAGTAGGGTCAAACTGCAGTAAGATAAATGTGTGTTCTGTATTGCTCATCTTTGAGCTTACGAATCGAAACAAACATGGCATATGTTTATGGTCGGTGCCGTTTGAATCAGAGTTTTTGCTTGCCTATGGTGGTCAGGAATGAATGAACGTTGTAAGTTTAAAAGAAACACAAATATATTTGGTCAATGTGAAAGCATAAGCAACAATTATGAAAGGCTCAAACTCGGTAGTTGTTCGATTCTGTAATTAAATTTTGTCAATGTAATAACAAACATAGTAAAAATGTCAAATTGTGTTCTATGTCCATTCTCTAAAGTATAAAAGCAAGCCAGAACCCTCAAGTAAGAGTAAAATAGGATGTGACTCACTATGTATGTGGGGAATCTGGCACCACTTGTCAGGAAAGAGTCAAACAGTTGGTGTTCCATTGAAGTTTGCCTCTGCTCATCTTCAATGTCCAAGGCAAGCCACAACAGGTGGTAAGTGGGGCTGGTAAATGACCGAAAATCATGTAAGAGGAAATGTTCAGCGCCAACACCATCCTTTGAGGCTTCTTCACTTGCAGCTGTCTGTATCTCTGCAACAAATAGCAGACCATCAATTTGTTTGAACACCCTAAAATTCATAAAACGATCATGAATCCTCCTTCACCAACCTTGTATGAGCTTGAACGACACTTTGTGCTCCAATTTCCTGTCAAAAACACAGCCATGAAAGTAACTAAGTAAGAGTTGCTGTTGTTGTGATTCCATGAAAGTAAATGAGAGTTGCTTCTTTTTGCCTCAACCCAGCTGCTTCAGCAAGCAGTCTTTCAGGCTTATCGAATGTAAGAAATCCAGATTATGCCAAACAACTCAAATCGTCATCTAATTGAACAAAATTAAGCCGAGGCAAGCACAACCCAAGCCCGGCGAGCTACTCAATTCCTATTTTCTGACTACCTAATTCTTTTGACTCAATCGAGATGAAGCAGAGATAGACAGTGCAAACCATGAGGGAAGGATTCCACCATTACTATACCTTTCACGTGGATGCTGCGGGACTCTGCTCTGGTCTCCATCACAGTGTTATATACTATCCAGAGCCCACATCATACCAAACCAATCCATACTAATTCTCTAATTTCAACCAAACAACACCAGAATTCACATCCACAAACCTAACCACAATTCCATTGACATTCAAACATCTTAGCATCCAACAACGTAGCAATGAACTGGTCAAATAAAATTACATCATGAAAGAAGAACAACTTGAGATACACATAGAAAGATCTCGAGCATAAGTACATAGATAGGGAAGAATGAGGACTCACCCACCGAAGCTTGACCCCACGGGGATGAGATCAGAGCGTCTTCATTTCCTTCTCCTTCTCCGTGTTCTTCTTTTTCAGGTTCTTCTTCCACCAGCAAAACAAAGAGAGATGGGGATTGAGGTAGGGAACCGCTTTCGGGGTAGGAGAAGTACTCCGCGACGGCACCCTGCCTGGCGGACGATTCTTCTGCCCGACAGATGGAGATGATAAGTCAATGGGCTCCCTGACTGGGTGAGCTTCAGAAGATGTCAGGCAAGAGCGATGTGCGGATCCATTGAAATCTCAGGAAGGAGGTGATGAAAAGAGCGATGAGGACATTTTTGATTTCTTGGTGGGTGGAAGAAAGATTGACAAGGGTCGAGAAATGTCGAGCTTGATTAACGTCGACTAATGATGAGAAGGTAGCTTAGCTAGCTTGGTTCTCTTCCCATTAAATAGGCCGCGTAGTGAGGCAAGCTCTATGGGAATGGGGAAAAGAAAGTTAGGCTCCCTACTCCCTTCGGTTGTTAGGCATAAAGTAAACCCTACATTAACCCTAACCTAATTTTCTGTTCCAATTGATCTTGTCCATTTCATTAGTAGTGTTTCTCATTAATTCACATACCTTGGGCGCCAATTAATCCTAACCTAACTTATGTAACAATAGGTTAGGTGGTCGGTTAATTACTTAAGTTGCTGAAATGATTCTGATTGAATTCTTGTCCATTTGCGTCAGTATTCTCTCATTCACACGCTCCTTTGAAAGTATTTGCATGATATAAGGGTTTGCATCAACGTGTTCTCTATCAACACAAATCATTCCAAATCGGTACTTGATAAGTTGATATGATTCCATCAGAGGCCATTTACAAGCTTGGATTGCTTGCCCAAGAAGGAATCATACTCACCACTTTGATTCCTCAAGTTTGGCTAAGTATTCAATTTGATACTGAAACGAAGAGAGTGCTAGTAATACCGAAATGAAGACGGAAGAATGTGAGGAAAAATAGAATTGAGTAAATTGATGCGGAAAATTTCAATTTGATACCTGACGTTAAGTTGAAGGATGGAAAATATAACGGTGCAACCGGAAGTCGACTTATGTGGTTTAGTTGCAACTAAAAAAACTTAAGTGATTAGTATGCAACGAAACTAATACTTATGTGGTATCCGATGCAGTTAACCTGATGAAATATCAATTCGTTGAAATGATTATTCACGAAATTAGAATTTTGTTTCGGTGTACGATATCGAGAACATGCTCGAAATATATTCTGACTTTTGTTTATGATTTTGGGTGCCTCTCTGTAATGTAAACAAGAGTTTGGTTTGCTTTTTTAATTTATTGGTCTCAAATCCATCAACATATGAATTTGAGGCTCTCGTTAAATTTGACATGTAAAAACCATAATCAATTTTCGATTCACGTAGACAAATCATTGACCAATTTTATACTCAAATCTATTAATATTAAAACAACCTTTCAGGGTTAATTGCAAGATTAGTCACTGAGATTACTAAAAACGTTCATGTTTAGTCACTAGAAATATTTAATTCTATTTGTAGTCACTGAAATTAGTTTAACAGTCCAAGTTTAGTCACTCTCCATTAGTCTCCGTTAGTTTTCGTCAATCTCTGTTAAATTGAGTCCGTTATGTGCTGATGTGGCTAACAGAATTGCCAAATCAGCCTAGTTAAATTCAGAAAATTTTAAACCCAACCCACCACGTTATATAATCACAACCCGACCCACGACCCAGCCCGTGAACCAACCCCTCTCTCTCATCCCCTCTATTCTTTTCAATCTCTATCTCTATCTGCGTTTTTGTCCTCTATATCGCCTCCCCTTCCCAGCAAGCCCGTCGCAGCAACCCGACCGACTCCACCACCACCACAACTTCCGGCATCATCGTCTCCCGAGCCCCTCTTCCTTTCACCCTCTCCCCTCCCGACGCGAGCCCAGAAATCGCTGCAGTCTGGTTTGTCTGCTCCAACCAAAGTCGTCGCTGAATTTGGATACGGCGCCGGGTATTTGTCTGCTCCTGCCTCGATCTGCTCTTGCCAAACTCGTTGCCGGAATTGGGCCCGGACTTGCCAAGAGCGATTAACGAAATCTTGAACAAAGATGGGAAATATGAAGGAGGAGTGCTTTGATTCGGAAAGATCTGAGAGGAGGTCGCAGATGCAAAGGTTTTCAGATCGTCTTCCTCCTCCGGAGTTTTCAGCTCTAACAATCGAGCCTACTTGCCGACTCCCTCCATAGATATCTGCCACCGTCGTAGTCGAGAAATAGAAGCAACAGAGAAGAACGAAGAAGGACCGCGATGGAGCAGATCCGCTTGAGAAGGGCGACCCAACCATCGCTGCCGCAAACGAACCCAAAAGCAGCCGTAGATGAAGCAAACCAGAACGAGAAAGAGAAACCTAGAAGCAGTCACAGATGGAGCAACCGAAAATCGATTAGTAGTGCTGGTTTTAGGAAGAAGAAGTCGTCGCAAATCACTCATCCCAGAGATCCCTATTTCGTTTCTCCGCTCTGTTCTTTTTCCTTTCTTCTTCTCTGGTATGTTAATTGTGATTTCTCCATCCTCTCGAGCTTTGGGGCCTTTTCCCGATTTGTTTGCCATTACATTTTTCATATCCTGTGAATTTGTTTTGGATGTGTGAGATTTCTCTCAATTGATGGGATTCGAAGAGAAAAGTAGTTGAATTGTGAATTTGTTTTGGGTTGGTGAAATCTGGCATTGGGTGTTTGTCGATGCCTTCACTTCAGATGATGTTTATTTCCATCATCAACTTGTGGGTGAATGTTTGATGTTGGAGTAGTTTGTTAGGTTTAATTGCAGCGTTTCGGTTCATTCTGCATCTTGCTTTAGAGTGATTTTTTCTTGGTAAAGGAGAAGGAATCGACGATAGATGTAGATTATTGGGTCGGGTTACAGGTTGGGAAGGTTTGGGTCACAAGTTGGGTTGTCTCATTCTGATATGGTGGTTGTTGATGACGTGGTGGGTTAGGTTTAATTTTTTCTGGGTTAAAGTAAGCTGGCTAAGCAATTCTGTTAGCCACATCAGCAAATAACAGACTCAATTAACGGAGGTTGACGGAAACTAACGGAGAGTGACTAAACTTGGACTGTTAATTTAATTTCAGTGACTATAAATAGAATTAAATATTTCTAGTGACTAAACATGAACGTTTTTAGTAATCTTAATGACCAAGCTTACAATTTACCCCAACCTTCCACCTTCATTGTTCAATTTGCAGAACCAAGAAGAAAATATTAGAATTTAGAAAGCTAACAATGAGCCTCTATGTTCTGCCAGTTCCCATCAAATCAAAACCATAAGAAACGGTTGCTTTGTAACAATAACTATTGACCATGGATTGGATGGACCAACTTAATTGCCAGTTCGGCATGAAGTGCTGCTTTGGACCATTAACCCTCCAGTTTACAGCTGCGATTCTTTCAAGTAATCAACCAATTACAACAATTTCCCCCCTTTTTCTTCTCTTTTCTTCTGTTGATTCTTGAATACACTTCATACCAACAAGAACAACAACAACAAGGGACGATCTTTTTATATGGGGAAGTGAGGAACCGGCCAACGAAGCTCCACCTCATTCTGCAGAATCAGTCCAAAAAACTGAACAACTGTAATTGTCAACTTGGACCACTTTTCTGCTGGTATGCACAATAATCTTTATGCAATATCTTGACCTACCTCACGTTGTTTAATCCAACTAACTATATGTCAAGAATGGGAAGGTTGTGAAGAAAGCAATGTGTCGGGAAAGACGGGTACTTCAATACTCAATACTCTGGTTAGCGAAAGATCGGATTAGCCATGTGCGGTTTGTTTGATTGGTTGTCACATAGGTAGGCAGGAGGGGGGGTGTTTGGTTAGTGATTATGTGCGCGATTTCAGGTCGAGTTCCTTACTCCCTCCGCTGTCAGCTAGATATCGTGAGGCTCGTAGTCGTAGGTAACCAAGAACTAAAGAGAAGAACGTGCACACTCTCGCTATGCTTCATCGGTGAATTTTTGAAGAGAAGTGTGGTTTGCGACTTGAATCAACATATGCACATCAGCTTATTGTCGGGGTCTACGTCTTTAGTCGTGTTCCTCTCTGTTCTCCCCGTATGAAAACTATACCCACCCATTCCTCATCATATTTGAGTTCGAGTTTTATCCACACCGCCGAGTAATTGGTTTAGTTCGGTTTTAATTCTATTTCATCGGACTAGATTTGAACGATTAACCATGTTGGTGGATAATATTGCAACCTATTACAGTCAATCCCACTATGTTTGATGAATTTAATTGATCTAAATGGACAATAACCAATGACAACGTAAAGTTATTGATTAATTATGCGAATTATAAAGAGACTTATGTGCAAGAGAATCAAAGTAGGGTGACCAAATTGTCATTTTACACTAAATTTTTATTTATTTATAATTTTAATGTTTTTTTTAATTTTAATTTTTATGTTCGCGGAAAAATCCTCGCAATTTGCGATCTTAAGCAGCGTTCCCTTTTCTATCGACCGCAGAGCAGAACGAGGGGAAGAGAGAGAAAAGAGAACTGTTTGCAAAGAAGAAAAACAGAAAAAGAAAGACAGATAGACAATACACACAGGAGACAGAGCGAGAGAGATAGAAGAAGATATATAGAGAGGGAGGCCACACCAACGAAACCGAAAAGGGGAAAAATTCCTCTTCTCAAGCTTTGCTTCATCTTCGTCAACGTCTCCTTCTTCTTTCTCCTTCTTTTCTGATTCAGGGAAGCACTCAAGAACAGCTCAACAAACCCTAACAAGAGAGAGGGGGGAGAGAGAGAGAGGAGGGGAAAGTGATTTCGATTGAGTAGATTATCGCTTTTCTGGCTTTCCTTCCTTTCCTTTCTCGATTCCGTTTTTTGTTGAGATCTTGATTCCTTCAATCTCATCCCTCCCTCCAAAGGTAACTTTATCCTTCTCTCGCCTCGTATCCGTCTTTGTTAATCTGGGTTGTGTCCGGAATCTTTGGCTGTTCATGGGTTCGAATAAGTTTGGTGGGTTCTGATTTCGATTTCTCGTCGTGCATTGCTGCTGCATTTTGTCCGAGGATATTGTAACGACCAATTTGCTTAGGTTCTTTTATATATAAAATGTTTCAGTCCCTGGATGCCCCTTTGTTTGGAAGCTGAGAAAATATGAGGTGAAAAACAATTGACAAGTTTTGTGGGATCCGATAGGAGAGATTGAAACTTGAGCCGACTTTTCATTCTAGTCCAGGAGATAAAAAAAAATGGAACTCTGGGTTTAGCGTGAGCTGTAACTGAGAAGCATTATGATGAATTAAAGCATGCATGGTCTTACTCTTCTTTGGTTTGCCTGCGCTCCTAGTAGTAAAGGTAATGCTATGCTGGTTAGCCTCTGTTTCTTAGCTGTCAGAATTTTGAACTTAGCTTCTGCATTTATGTGGGTACACTATGAGCTCGTCATGTGAAGTAAATGACTGGGGGTGTTGTTTATATCTACTGTGAGAAGTTTGAGCAGCGTAGATGCCTTTGATGGACTTTAGGTGATCAGCATCAATCAAAGTAATAAGGTGTTGATGGAGATTCTCGCTTAGTCTTCATACTGTTCTTACTTTTGCAAATCTGGGGTCTGTTGTGTTTCTATGATGACCAATTAGGCATAGGTTTGAGAAATATAAATATGAGATAGCGAAAACTTGATGAAAAAAATAGGTAAGCTCCTCGTTAATGCTCTAATTTAAGATGGCAAATGTCTCCCTGGACAGTTTCTGGTGATTATACGTTCATCCTGTTTGTATTATGTGAGGTTTTATTACTGCCTTAAGTTCTAGTTAGTGACACTCACGATCAATGTGATCTTGACAATTAGATATGTTTGTCTAGTGTAGTTGGAAATCATGATTGACAACTTAGAGGATACACGCTAATTGCAAGGATGTAGACATTGCATTATAGTTTTTATGTGGTCTTCTGGATTTCTAACTTCGTTCTGCTTGGGCCAATTAGAAAGTATGTTTGACTGAATACTTGATGGTTCAGGTTTACTTCCATAGTACATTTGGATTGATTATCTGTAAAGCCAATATACATACTTTTCTTTTGTTGTTCTGGATAGCTGATCTTCTCCTTTGTGATTTCAAATTGTCATTTTGGTTGTCCTAATTGATGCCTTTGTGATTCTTCTTTTACTTACATATTCTTTTGTTGTCTTTTTTCTTTATGAATTTTCAGGGTACAAGTTGTGCTTCAATGGCTAATTCCAAAGGTTCAACAAACATTAGAAACTTGATGTACACTGGAAAGCAATCCCTACTTCCTCCAAAAATCCCCTTTCCTGGTATGGCCCCAACATATGTTGAATATATCCCAAGCAATGTGGTTGGGTCAAAAGCTGTACAAAAGCCCAGAGAAGGAAGTACATTCCACCAGCGTACATCTTCTGAGACTTTCCTAATAGAGGACCAACCTTCCTGGCTCGATGATCTTCTGAACGAGCCTGAGACACCAGTTCGTAGAGGAGGTCATAGGCGTTCGTCAAGTGACTCATTTGCTTATGTAGATGTAACGAATAATTCTAACGTAGATTATGTAGCATATGATGACTACCGGTATAAAAATATGACATCAGTACCTTTTTGGGGATCTCAAGAATTTGATTATCTAAAAGATGCCCGTCAAGGTTCTTTCTATGTTGAAGGGAACATGTCAAAACAGAAGAATATGGGGCGTGATTTATATATGAATCCTGCAAGCCGTTCAAGTGGGGTTTCTTCTGTGAGGGAGAATGTTGCTTCACAGAATTCCGGATCATCATGTGCTCGACAGGAACCAGATGGGTCTTCGGCAGGTGAGAAGCAAGAGATTGTTGAATCTGGTCCTCATGATTCAAAACCTTCCTCTGAGAGAAAGGATGGACCTCATGCTAAGCCTTCTGCTTCAGAGGGCGACACAAAACGTGCTAAACAGTGAGTTATTCAACTTTTTGTTGATCTTATTTTTAGAATTCCGTTTTATGGTGCAACACATCTGGTATACAAAACAAGGTCCCCCCCCCCACACCCCCCACTGAAGCAATTAAGTTACTTGAAAATTATACTTGTTAGTTGAGCATTTTCAGAAAATGAAATGGCATTTCAACATTGGTTTTCTTCTATTTTGCTTAAGAATAGACAGGTCAATGTCCAACAATGGTAGTACATAAAAGGGAAGTGCTTGCTGATGATTAAGTTCTTTCTATGGTGAGAGGCTACATTGAATCACTGCTTTGTGCTTTACTAGTCAGAAGATAACTTCTTTTGTTGCACAATCACTTCACCAAGCTGTTGTTTATTGTTGTTATTTTAGTTCTGATGTAGTTCGAGTCTGGCTGATGTAGTTGTCAGCCATTGGGTCCAACCCCAACTAGTGTAATTGGGTTATGTATGATCTGGTGTGATTGCTATCTTCTCCCTTTTATGTCTCTGGAAGCAGTTAATACAAGCTGTTGTTATCCATCAATTAACTCAAATAATATATAATGCAGGCAATATGCACAGCGTTCTCGGGTCAGGAAGCTTCAGTATATAGCTGAGCTGGAAAGAAATGTGCAGGCATTACAGGCAAGTATAGACTTATTAGCAGAATTGTAATTTGTTGTAGCAATAGTTAAGGTGTCAAGGTTTAAACAGAAATCCTGTATCTACAGGCAGAAGGATCCGATGTCTCTGCAGAGCTTGAATTTCTCAACCAGCAAAATCTTATTTTGAGCATGGAGAATAAAGCTCTTAAGCAGCGGCTGGAAAGCATAGCCCAGGAGCAGCTTATTAAACACTGTATGCTCCACATCTCTATGATCATGTGTTAACCTTCGCTGTTCGATCTTCTTTTACTTAAATTTACTTGTCTAACATAGGCCACTTGGACTACAATGCACTGACAAAAATAAAGGCATACTATGCACTCCAATCTAAAAGTAGGCTCGAAATTATCAAATTTGACACACTACTATTTGTGTAGAATAATGATGTAAGCTAGAATTACCACTAATTTACTCATGTTTATTCAAAATTTTGTTCACGTAATGGTAATTTAGATGAAGCTATAGAGTAACTGGAACATTTTTTAAATACTATATGCAAGTAAATCGTAAATACATTGTCTTGTTCTGCATAATATAATTGAAGATTGGAATTGATTTGAGACGAATCAGATAATTGATATGATGATTGATAGTGCATAGCCTATCCCTAAAACGCTGTGTGTATGATAGACAAACCCATATGCCATATATGTATATGATTTCTTCATCTGTTTCAAAGTTGGATCTATCTGTTTGTTTGCTCCTTAACATGGAAGAGTTGTTTTCAGTGGAGCAAGAAGTTTTGGAGAGGGAGATTGGAAGGCTCCGGGCCTTGTATCAACAACAGCAAATGCCGCCACCGATTCAACAGCGACAGCCATCTTCTAGTCACCATCGCCGCACTAACAGCAGGGACCTTGAATCCCAATTCGGAAACCTGTCCTTGAAACACAAGGACTCTGGTTCTGGAAGGGATTCAATGACTGGTCCAGTCCGCATTTAGATGTACTATTTGTAGTGGTGAATTGAAATGATGGGTTGCTGCTGCTATCTTGCTCCAGAAGAGAGTGATGGGGATCATGAGCCTTCCTTCACCATCAATGACCGGGATTTGCTCATATTGCATTTGTCTGCCCTTCTCTCGCGTTTCTCCATTAGCTAAGAAAGAAAACTAACTGTTTATGATGCTTCATCATGTGCACCTGGTGGTCATTGCCCCGGACATTGTATTTTTATGAGGCCAATGACTCACCGGAGGTGGCGACGGAAAAGAAAGAAGTGACCATGTTGTCTGTGGTCCTCGTTTGTATTTTAAGGAAAAAGAAAAGAAAAGAGTAAGTAGCTGTAATTCGAGGGGAGAACTTGTTTGGCTTCTCAGAATTCTGATTTGGAGTATATCTTATCCTTTTTCCAGTAAGTCCACAATATAAGCTGTGGAAGGATGGAAGGAAGTCCAATGTAGTTGAAGAAGCAGTGTTTTAGGTAGGGAATATGTTTCTTATCTAAACTCTGTATCTATGTCTAGAGATGTATTTTGTCCCGGAAAGAAGTGCTCCGGTTGAGATTTGTGGCCTTGTGCTTCTTCCTATTAGATTCACGTGATTTCCCTCTTGACTTCAGCCTGTGTTGAGAAGTGGATTTAATATGTTTACTATTCAAGTGCTCGAGAAATGGATGTTTGTGATAGTTTTCTGCATATGATTGTTTTGTTATCTCTAACCATGCTCACAGTTTCAGCACTAGGCATACCTAAAATTTTGGATAGGTATGGTGATTGGCTAGTTGGGAATCTGAAGAAGGTTTTAACTGCTTCCGGGTCGGTATTGTTGTCTATAATAATGAGTCTAAATCACCATTAGTGGAGAAACATTGGTGATTATATACTGTGTAATTTAGGTGGGAATGATGAAAAGCATTTGATTCGGTGAACGGGGAGTTCTTGTTTGCTACTGCAACTACAGAGGTTATAGAATATAGAGTTTATGGAGCAGTTCTTAGGTTGGATTATAGTTTGTTAATATACAGCTCACCTAAAGATTAGCTTGAAATGAAGGTTCCTGCACATTCCCCAACTAAACAAAGTCATTAGGCAAGGAGATAACTAGGCCGTTGCTGAGAATAGTTTCCATTCCATCCTCCGTTACAGGAGATCAGTGACTTTCAGCAGAGCCAGCCAAAAGAACTAGCAGAAGAACAAAAGGAAGAGAAAAGTGGAGAAGACGAGCGACAGAGGGAATGGATATACAAAGGGAAGAGGAGAAGCATTAGGGAGCCTGGGATAATCATCTGGCTGTGGCATTACACATTCATCTCCGTTGAACATAATCCTTCTCGGGAAAGCCCATCCTCCACCGAAACTAAACCCTGGCTCTTTTGCCAGCAGCATCTCGCTTTGAACATTCCCACCATTCCCAGATTGTAGAAGCATGTCGTTATAGTACTTGATCCCCCAAAACATCCCGCTATCGTCTGCGCACATAATATTACAAAACCAGAATGAGAGACTCCGTCTCACTCACCCTGTCACAACAATGCTCTAACACACACAACAATGCTCTAACACACTGAGCTAATTATGCATGAAGTTCAAGTTATGGAAAGTAAAAACAGGCTTACTGGTGGTGCGAAAGTCATTGAGTGACGCATAGCTGAAGCTGAAAACCGTAGTTATGTTCTTCAAGTTAGGGTGCAAGACAACCATGTTCCACTGGGAGTAGTTCTTGATAATGTTCCAGTTTCTGATGGTCATCTTCACTCTCCAATACTGTCTGTAACTCTCCTTTACATGCCAATGAATCTGTATGGGGCACATGTGGTCTGTGCATCTCACCAATGGAGGAGGCTCCTCGTTTGGATCGTGCTTTTGCTGCAGCAGAGGTGGTGTCTCCTTCATCCTGCCATCCACTCGAAAGTATTTAGCCAAGCTATGCTTAGATCAATTTGCTTAATTCAGCAGACCATATCATAAACAATAGAAGATTGATGAATGGAAGGCTTGTTTGTTAAATTACTGGACGCATTTGGAGCCTGGCTGTCCTTGGCATGCACAGCTGCATTGAGGGCAATCAACAATTCTGCTATCATAGAAAGCTGACATCGAAACACAGCATTTTGGAGATGGTGATGATAAGAACGAGGAGTAACCACACACCGCATTCCATGTCCCTGCAAAGCAAAAACAAATCAGTCTAATCAAAATAAAACTGTTTGAAGAAACAGTGGTAGTTGCAGGAATGATGGTAAGGTTAACATATTAGTATCATACTGAGAACTTGAGTCCATCTGCGGCCACCATCGACAGGAATCTTGGTGGGTCGGACCTCAAAAGGCTGCCCACAAGTGTAGCCAGGCAATCCAAGGGTGAAATTCTCAACCATTACGAAATCGGAGTAGTTGGAAGCAGTGCTCCCTATAGTGGAAATCTGGAAAGATGCTCCATACTTTGAAGTGTCCTGTGTCATGGACGACAGGACTCCTCCTTTGCAGCAGTTCTGGAACTGTGTATTGTACGGAGCTCCGGGCAAGAGATCGATGATGACCGGGTGCTTATCGCAACAATGTGGGAGTTCTTGACCCTTGAATCTAGAGCAGTCACCTTGCTGTGTTGCTTCAGCTCCAAATATGGCACTTATGGCCTCCTTGCCCTTCCAGTCCCACCCTAGCTTCCACCCTGGTGCTTCTATGTGTCTGTACTTTTGGAAGTTTAGTATTGTTACTTTCACCTGAACCAAGTTAAAAACAAACATGGTAAAGTTGCAACCTTTTTCAACTACTGAGGTTAGCTACTAACAGTTCGCTCTTTTGAATAGTCACAATCAATTTGTTCTTTTAAGTAGTCAAAAATTACAATCTGTGCATACTTGGTTAGTTTACTTGAGACAAAAAGTTTGAAGCTTAACATCCTGTGATGCCGGTAACACGCGAAAAAATGAGTAGTTGTGTTAGGTTTACAGAACAGGTATATCGTAACTGTTCGATCCAGTCGAAATCTGACGACTAAGAGTCTAAGATTACAATCTGTGGTAGGTGTGCATACTTGGTTAGTTTATTTGAGACAAAAAGTTTGAAGCTTAACATCCTGTGATGCCGGTAACACGCGAAAAAATGAGTAGTTGTGTTACAGGTAACTGTTCGATCCGGTCGAAATCTGACGACTAAGACAGAGAGTGGAGAGTGAGCATTAAAATATTGTAGGGCGGGTCAGGTAAGGTTGGAGACTATAAACAAAGACTAAGTTTCGTTTCCCCTACTGAATCTAAACCACGACGGCCGCCATGCACTCTCTGCCTCGCCGTTAAAAAAAAAACAAGAAATGATCAAAGCAAAACAAACCATCGAAAGAATTAGAGTGATATTAACAATAATATCAGGTTTTCTTCTTACCGTATCAGAGCTGCCCGTTGATAGCAGGAGATCCCATTTGATTGTTATGTTGGCCTGAGGATCCATCGGATCAAAACCGTCTGCATTTGTTTCCGCCCAGAAAATCGGGTTTAGAATTGCGACTAACGAGTGACATGAAAGGAAAGAATGGGGGGGAAACAGGGGACGAAACAGAGGAGAGCAGAGAAGCCATGAATGTAGTACCACTTACAAGAAGGTGAAAAAGAGAAGGAGACGACGATGATGCAAACCAAAACCGAAATAAAACCCATTGATCTTTGATCCAAAACCCACGATGGGTTCTTCTTAGAATCTCAAACTATGGTACAAAAAATCAGCTGAATATCGGACATGATCAACTTCACTCAGAGACTACAGGGCTCTCAAGAAACGAATCAGCATGGGAACTTCACTCACTCTGTGAATAAAAGGGACGTATTGGCTGTTGGTTTTGTTTTCGTTCGTGTCTCTTTCATTTCATCTTTTTGTCTCTGGCTTCACAATATCCTAATTTTGACGCTTCTAGCTGTCAAAGAAACGGGGGAGAGAGAGAGAGAGAGAGAGAGAGACAGAAAGGAGCAAAATGGTTCTTCGTTTTTGGTCAGTTTTTTAATTAAGGGGAAGTGAGGAGATTAGCGTGACATTAATATGGGGAGAGAGAGTAGCTCTGCCCAGATTTGGAATGCCGTGTAGCGCACAGCTTTTGGATTTACAGATTGCAAAAAAGAGAGAAAGCAAATGAAACGGTCACAATATGTAATGCCTGAGAGAGAATGCTAGAAATTTCATAACTTTACTATTGCACTCTAATTCTCAGTTTAAATCGCATATTTGAAAACAACGAGTCGATGAAGGTAAACGACTCGTTAATCTCGTCGATTTGATTCGATCACGGTTGAAGTCTGTAATCTGTATCATATTAGATTCACAAATATCCCCTCTTGCGTTAATTCCTCCGATTTTCCAACCTCATTTACAGCGGCCACCTCCAAACTCCCAATCCCCTGCCCTGAAAGCCATATGTTTCCAATACATTGATCCTCACGCTTCCATTCTCCTCTTAAATGGGGTTCTGTTCTTTTCCTGTAAAGTTGTTGCATGGTAATAATATTCATTCTATCTTGTTCGACTCTGCAATTGGTATCGTTATGCAAAAATAGGAGCATGTTTGTAAGGAAGCATCGTCCAGAAATGAAAAGGTAACATGCTGCAGCATGGCTGATGGATGGTTGTAAGTTGTAACCAACGAGAGAAATAATGGCGTCTCTTACCCATTTTTTGCAGGGAGCTTGATTTAGCAATTGGGAAATTATTCTGCTGCCTGTTTTAAGTAAGAATAATCGGCTATTTTTTGCTAAGACAGAGTTGGAATAGGTTCATACATAGTTGCCAGCTAAATTACAGCTAATTAATCATCCCCCCAAGTTTAATTTCCATCCATGAATTATTGAGAGAATAAGCATCTTCCACTATGAACATTAATACTGGCCTTTACCCTTAACAACTCCTCCTCTGTTTCTGTTAGTAACAGCAGAGTATTCTTATTGTCTGGTTGAGTACACCTTTTGCTCTCTACCACGAACTATTCAAAATGTTGTTTCTCTCTCGACTCTCTGGATACTGTTGAATTTTGGAAACAAAAGATATCCCTCGAGATTGTTGTTTCATGCATGACATGGAGAGAGATACGGCCATCACATTTGGTTACTATTTTCCCTCCGATTTTCCAACTATTCGATGGAGGAGAGAACTCACAAATGAATTAAAATGCACCACTGGTATCAAAAAGAAAAGTTCATTGCTGCACTCACTGCATACTCCTTGTATGTCATATCACCCATCATGGACTAGGACCTCAGTAAATAGATAGTCTTGTTCACGATGTGCATCAATGAACCGGTGCATACAATCTCTCGTAACGGCAATAATCTGCACCTACTGCTGTTAATAGGAACTGTGGTAAAAGGAAGTATACAGCAGCATTATCAAAGGTTTCTTTGTCCAGACAAATTTTACCCCAGCCCTGAATGGTTGAGATGATGAAGGTACACATAGTTATCGCCATAGTTGCTGGAGAGGAGCAAAAACAGTAGTTCCATTTGGAGTGATCCTTGTGAGTGCGGCGCATTGAGCAAAAGCACATAACCTCAGGAGAGACCTGAAGCGGCACAAAAGCATCTCTGGAGTCCATTAGTGCAACTTTATGCATGTCTACGCCTTTTCAAGCCATCCTCTGCATAGTACTTCCATTTGGAATGATCCAGGGTGCTTATATCATCTAGTTCAGCTATAGCAAGAAGGTACTCTGTTAGCTTCACGAGCTCTTGGTCACTATCTCGGTTGGCATGAGCCTTCCTGAAGGGCTTAATTGTCAACCCATTTTGCGGGTTCATAACAAAATTCCGTCTTAGATCATCGAACATGATGGTGTTCTTCTTACTGTAAAACTGAGAGACAAGCAACAGGCGTTTGTTAACCTGGTGGTGATGCTGAGTGAACAAACTGTACATAAAAGTATTGGGGTTTTGTTGCTTGTACGTATATGTGGAATTTTGGCAGCATTTGACTGCAGCCTCATATAGACATTGGAATTAAACCCGAATTGCCACCGCTTCGTATGAACAGGGACATTTCAGAATATAACTAATCATGCACGCAGAGCAGAGTAGAATCTAACAACGAATTTTGCATGAGTTAAGAATCAAAGTATGGTAATGAGTTATACCTCGGGGAAATGAGCCCATATTAATCCAAGCGGCTTGCAGTCAAAGATCCCACGAGCATCAGATTGCACTGTAATCATTGCTAAATGGTCCAGGAGAGCAGTAATTTTGTAATTGGGGTTACTTAGTACTCCAAGCTCTCCCATCTTCAGTTCAACCCACTTCATGCTGCACAAAAACACATAATTAAGTTTATAGGAAGGGAATTTGCACCCTGATCATGCAAGAAAGAAATTGTCCATATTGATCAGCACTAGACGGAATTCTGTAGTTGAAGTTCCTTATATGTTGTCTTGAAGACTGAATAGGGAAATAATAAGAATTACCATGTTCACACCACTAGAAGCAAGTATAAATTAAGGAACTAAGATCGCAAAATACGCGGGGTTTGCTATATAGCATTGGCAAAGAAAAATGATTGATATGACAAGGAATCACCATAATAGGTTAGAACTGGAATGTAGGGAAAGATATCAAACCTAGTTGCGGACCATATCATTATATCATATTCTGTATAAGCTGCTGTAAGGAACTCATGAAGATCTGAAGAAACTGATGTTAGAAAACAGTACACGGGGGGAAAACATAAGATCACATTTAGCTACAACAGTTCGCTCACAAGGGCGCATTAGTTGCATAGGGTTCTCCGCTGTTGATCGATGATCAAAAAGGGTGTAATCAATATCCAGCACGAGCAACTTCTTTCCCACACGACACGGATTACGGAGCTTGATCTAGAGCGCAACAAAAAAAAGAGCCAATTTCGTTAATAAGCTCTAAATGGCATGAAATCAGACAACAGATCAAGAAGCATCAGTAAATTTGCATAACTCTGTAACATCCTGAACGGATGCGAAGCACATGTTAAAGTTCCCAAACTAAATTTCCACATAACCAAACTATGCATCTCATCGACTCATCCTAGCCATCCTGCTGAAATGGCAAAAATAATTAAAGAAAAAAGTTTTGACCTTTCACTGAAAAGAAAACCAGAAAAGAAGGTATGTCAGCTGTTCATTGGTTGTTTCGAAAAACATGGACTGCATGCCTTGGTCAAGGCAGTTTCATCACAGATTATTTAGCTAGACTTGGTCAGGACACTGTCATTGATACTTATTTCAATGAGCATTCATCCAAGCGCCACCATGGCATAGCAGATTTTGAACAAATCCTCACATCATATTCTGATGCATTAGGGTTCTGTTTGCAACCACTTTCGGGGGAAAAGAGACTCCAAGTGGACAAATGCTACCATATTATACTATACAAAAGTACAGGAGACAAAGCTGACTTCACTATGTAGACAAATGCTAAACTAGAACATAAAACCGGTGGTTTCTTCCAAGAGAGGCTGCAGTTTGAAATAGCAAGAATTGTGCTCAAACCAGCAGCTACAGTTAAGGGAAAACGATACCCCGATGACACCATACCAGGAACTTGGCGTAATTAACACAGAATGTCACCTCAACTCAAGTGAGCAAATAAACCTCAATCTAGATTCTAGAAGAGGAAAAAATGTAGTCCTTCAATAGCTCATTCCGCTACTGTAGATCGAGCGACATAAAAAAGTTGAGAGCTTTACCTTGTATTGATCTACACGCCTCTTCAACTTCATCTTGTTAACTTCCTTGTCCTTAATTTCGACAGCTTCATCTTGCCCAAGCTCAAAATCGTCAACAATCTCCGGGTCATCCACTGGGTCAACAATTATGTCATCCTCCACAGTCCTGCAAAACCCAATACCCAGTTCTAAGTTCGACTTCAATATCAGAATTCAGAGTCAAGAAAACCCAGCAAAAAATAGCAAGATCACGATTTCCTAAATGCTTCATACAAGACAATCACGATCAGCACCGACACACGGAAAATTCCCATGGAACCGAATATACGCTTTGATCGAAGAAGAGAAAGAGAGGAGAATCGAACCCAATCATCGTCATCTTGAGCGAAGACTTGAGGGGAAGCTGGGAGAGGATAACGGTATCATCGGCGAGCTTGTTGCCGATTTTAGGGTACAAGAGCTTCTGTCTTTTGGGCAGTACATTGGTGACTTCGCAAATCCGTCGCTTCAACTCGGCCACCGAATCGTCCCCGCAGACACGGACAGTGTACTCCTTGCCGCTCCACTTCACGGTTAGAGTCAGCTCCTCCACCATCGCCGCTGCCGAGGATGACTCTGCCGCCATTTTTCTGCCACTCTATTTTGGTTTCTCTGAGGAAGTTCTTCTGGCAAGTTTTGAAGTTTACGCTGCTAGGTGGAGTATATGAGTGCGTTTCGGTGGGCTTCATACGCTCAGCGGCCCGGCCCATGTCAGCAAAGGCCCTTCAAACCTGACAAGGGCAAAAGGCCCTTCAAGCTTAGTGAGGGTATGATTGTCCAAAGGTACGATATAAGTTCGTTTCGGCTCTCGTAAAAACGTTAGGGTTGTTTGGAATGATTAATTGTTAATGTGGTATTTGTAGATTCAAATAACTCATTAATTGTTTATTTCATTGGTATTTGGATTAAAGTATCTTGTTTAGTAGAACCATGGAAATGTGATATTTGGCAAAAGCAGAGTGGTAAAATGAGTCATTTCGAAATAATCCGGGGGATAGGAGTTATTTCAAATAAATCCTTATTTGTAAATAACTCACTCACCAAATAACTCATTTCAGTAAAATGTTGCCAAATAAGTTATTTGTGTGTCCAAATAACCCAGTCAAATACTTCATGCAAATGACCTCTAGGTTTATATCCAAATCAAATGGTCCATTCAAGTGAGACTGTGAGAGGCCTGGATTTCATTTATCAGGGGTTAAAAATCCAATATCATACTAACGGTTCGGTCAGAAAAACTTCTTACTGGAGGCTAGATCGGTAGGCGGTATTTAGTAGTAGGAAACGATGGAACCACGATGTCGACATAAAATATACCTAATCGTTGAATTTTTCAATACGACTTCCGATACGGTTAAACAATCATTGCATTTTACTAATTGGTTTGGAAATGTCACGTAATACGTTAATAGGATAAAAATTGGTGTGGCTCGAGGAAAAAAATGTGATAATGGGAGTATATATCACATTTGTGATGTTTAGGAAAAAGATTTGGAGGTTGGAATTTGGAAATTTAACATTTTTTTACCCCAAATATCATCTTTCAAATTACTTGCTTTTCTCGCAATTTTGCTAATGGCTCGTCCAAACAAACTGTATATGAAAAGTAAACGAGGTTGGGTCCTAGCTAAGAGTTCGAATGCTAACTGGCATTCATTTAGCATGGTCGACCCATTTAGGGTTTTTGGCAACTGCGAGAATGATGGAGCACGATGACGATCGTCGAGGTTTGGCAATTGTCGACCTCGTCGAGCTGTGGATCGAGGTTTGAATTTCAACGTCCACTCGAAGGAAAAAAAAATATGTGTGTGTTTTATTCGTTCGTTGAATTATACTAACAGTCAAAAGTTGACCATCACCCTATCGTACAGTCACAATTAGGTTAAGATCTTCTTGTGACCATAACTAAACATCGTTTATCGCGGTATACGACAATAAGAAGGCATCGCGACAGAACGTACTTCAAAGGTGATGTCAACAAGGCAAGTAACATTTACAAGACTCGCGGCGTGGTTTGCCACAACTTGACGTGGCTTGATACCCGAACTTGTGCTTACACAAGAAGGGACATTCTTCGTATACACATTTTTCAAAATCTGGGAATTCCCCTTTCAAGCAGTATGATACAGGGGGCGACAGAGGATCCAGGTACCTTCCTGTATCAATCAAACGATTTCAAATTATTAGCTCCTAAACCTTATATAAGTTTTGAATTATTGTATTTTCGATACCAAAAAGAATCAATGAATATTTACCTTCACCGTGAACGACAAAAAGCACCATTATGATGAGAGCCATAGCTGAGAAAGTCTTCATATTATGTTGAATACAAAAAAAAAATTGGTATTCAGAAGAGATCTAAGGGATGAGAGTTAATAAGTTTGAAGCTTTTATTTATAGGAGAAAAAATCATTAGTTAGAAGAGCTACTTATTTCTCATGATTTAATAATTAATAAGTATACAACAAAGAATCACGATTTTTGCTACAAGAGAATAGGACGTCGACCTAAACCTCATATACCATTTATGTTTCAGTTAATAAAGGAAAATCGCATAAAGCGCAGGTTGATTCGGTGGGCTACATAATTGAATTTGTTTTAAAGCATGAAGAGTTTAGATAAAAAAAAATTTCCATAACAATTGTTATATGTAGGAAGGAGATAGGATAATAAACATTCATTAGTGCTACTGTAATGTTAGTTAACTTATAAGCTTGTGTTGGAAAGCCATTTGAAGGACGACAAGAAATCATTTCTGCATTCTATAGAAGTTTATGGGCTTCATAATTTCAGCGGCCCGGCCCGGCCCGTGTCAATGAAGGCAGTTCAAGCATAGTGAGTTAGTGACCAACACTAAAGGATATGACTGTCCAAGGGGGAAAATCACGCTTAATCAGACATTCAGAATTGTCAACAATTGGTATTTTCTCATCTTATTACTGACCCTTACAATCATTAGTATTGATTGATTACTTGCTAATGAAAAAAATTCCATTCGATTATTGGCCCAGGGTTGAATTCAGAGAGGTACGTAGTTGTTGTGTTTTCATTTTCATATTGCCAGACCAGGTCAACTCCAAGTAGGAATGGCAATGGGCAGATACCGGTGGGTTTCTTGGTACCAAACCCGTCCCGTGGCAGGGCAGGTCCAGGTCGGTAATTTATTACGGGTCGCTGGTCGGGGCAGATCGACCCAATGGGTATGCAATTTACATGAAAAACATTATAAATATTCTTTATTTTTATCATAAGACCAATAAAACAAACAATATTATGATAAATGTAGTTAAATTATTAGAAAAATTGAGGTTTTCACTAATTTACAACTTTATTATAACTAAAATATGATGTAATAAAAGAAATTTTCTTAATTTGACTAAGATTACATGTAATTTAGACAAGAACGGGTCGATAATGGGGCGGGTCAGGGCAGGTCGGGTCGATGAGAGTACCCATGCCCACCCCACCTACAGGGCGAGTCGGACCCGCCCAAAACAGGTCAAACATGTCGGGTAAAACGAGTCAGATCGAAATTGCCATCCCTAACTCCAAGGGCACTAGTTGACGGAGGAATGCATAATTAACTTTTAAAAGTATACTAATTTATGGACGAATGCTTTATGCTTTACTAATTAATCCTTATTAAATGAATTCCAGAATACTAGGTTGCTAACTAATCAACACACAACACTTACTATTGATTATTAAAGATTTATATACTAAGAAATCCATGATCATCACTAATTAAGTAGAAGCAATAACCAATGTTGATATCATTACTAAGCACAATAACCAAAATACTTACTAGCTAACGGGGTATTACTAAGAAATTCCCTAATCATATTACCTAAGCCACCACAATCCAATCACTGCCAAGAGTTGGAGCAAGGATCTCTTTTTTCTTTTCTTTTCTTCTTTAGATCAAAATAACTAATTTCGTCATCAAATTTCCAACATTATTACGATAACTTCAACAACTACATCCATCTCGAATTTAAATAATGATCTATCTGAACTTCAACTATTTAAAATTATATAAATCCAACATTATTCTCTTAGTTTGAGAAAGAAGCATTAATCCTAACACATTGACTTAGTTATATCACTTTGTACGTGCATCTCCACTTAATTTACAAAAACCATCCTTAACATTCATCATACACCATGTTTCATGATCGAAGGAAGTAATAAATAATGGTCAAATCCAGAAACTAATAACGATAACAAGGTCGCAAATGCTTTATTATTTATTTTATGTACAATCCCTTATTATTATTATTGTTATTAATTATTTGTTTTCATGCACACTCTTGCTTGCAATTTATCTTATTTGATGGACTAGTTCTTCATAATTTGGCTGATGATGTCTTCCGAAATTGCGGCGGCGTCCTTGGAAATTCCATTAATACCCATCATCGAGTATCCAGCACAGTAGATCCCATGCTCTCCTTTCCAGTGGTTTGGCATTTCATTTTTAGGCATCCCCTCCCCGTTAAATATGTAGCTGAAATCCTGACAAAAAAAAAAAAAAAATTCATTAAACCAAATTATTTACATAAATTATCCCATCAGAAAAGGATATTATTTAAAAATATTTACTAATTAACCTCGAGCCAACTATTTGCAGAGCTTCTATAACCAGTAGCAAACAGGATTGCATGAAAACGACGCGTCGTGCCATCTGCGAACTCCACCTCGTTCGTTCCTTTCAGTACTCTCTCAATTCCCGGGACGACCTGAATGAATTATTTTAATCGTGTAATCATCAATACAGACTCTTACTAATCATATTTATATATGCATATGCATGTTTACTTGGATTTGTCCGGAGCGGATTCGGTCGACGGTGCCGACGTCGATGACCGGAGTTTTCCCGGTGGTGGACTTGTGGGTGAAAGGGCCCTGCAGGGCCGGGCGGTGAATCCCGTACTTGGGCAAATCCCTGTAGTAGAAGCTCGCCATGGATGCAACGATGGAGTCGACGTACTTCATCTTCACGTATTTCAGCATTTGCATTCCCAAATGCACCATCCCCCTCGTCACCACATGAAACTGCATGCATTTTTGCATTAAACGTATATAAGCATTTGTTCACGCTGCCAGCCGGCCGCCGGATCGGGCAACCGGCCGGAGGCCACGTGATCGATGAATCTTTATGACACTGAAAAAGGAAACAACGACGACCAACAAACTTTGTACTATTAGAAACCGTCGAAGATTCTCTCCTCCAAAGGAAGAGAAGAAGAAACCGCCAATTTGGCAAAATTTGCACGCCCCCCGTTCACTTGTCAAAATGCCCATAATATACGCAAAGAAGCCACATGTACGTGTAGATACTTTTTTTCTCCACAACCGCTCGTGCTATTCCATCAAACGAACGAACTCACCAAGGACAACAACCACCACCGCAAAAAGCTAGAGAAGAGGAAGTGATGAAGACAAAACAAAAGCAACAGATTCATCGGAGAAAAAAACACATTATACTGTAACATGCATGATGATCAAGATTCAAGCCACCCTAAATATCACCTGGCTAGCAGCCAAAGAAAGCCATAAAACACAAACTAAACTGAACTTGATGCATGTGTCTCAACAAATGATCAACTGGGTAGGTAACTAATGACTAAGGATTGTCAAAACTGTATCGGATGTTGTATTGGAAGGTTTGCGAAAGTATTTCGTGGGGAGGTCTTTTGTATCGAAACTGTGATTTGACTTTGTTAAAGATTGATCGAATTCCTGATAGCCTTATGACGTGACGCGTCTGATCTTAGAAAGTAGAGAAAGGGAGCAGCAAGGAAGGAAAAAGATCGGACAAAAGAGAGAAAGATCGATTCATGTAAGTCGGTTGGTTTGGAGTAGATAGAGGGGGCTACTACACCAGCAACTCGTAAGTCAAGTACGAAACGAGCCTTGTCTATGAAATGGAACGACCTCATCTTGCTTGCTCCTGTTCAACCATTTCATACAGCTTAAAACCCTCTATCGATTGAGATTTCGGTAGAAAGTTTTTCCGGTCAAACTGGTTTAACTTGCTGTCCAAGAAAAAGAAGACAAAAAAAACTCACCGGTCCCCTCACGACAATAGAAGCACGAGCACCATGGTTGCACAAATCGAGCCCGATCTCCATGCCGGAGTTCCCACACCCGACCACCAACACATCCTTCCCCTTAAACTCCTCCCCGTTCCTGTAACCACTAGAGTGAAGCGTCACGCCGCCAAACCCTTCCATCCCATCCACCTCGGGAACAAACGGCACGCCGTTCTCCCCCGCCGCCACGACCAGAAACTCCGCCTCGTAGACCTCCCCCCGCGCCGTCTCCACCCTCCACTTGCCCATCCCATGAGCCGCCCGGGTCACGAGGCAGTCGAACCGGGGCTCGATTTGGAAGCGGGACACGTAGCTCTCGACGTAGGCCGTGAAGTGGTCCTTGGACATGAAGGTCGGGGTGGAGGCGGCGTGGGGCGGCGCGAAGGGGAGGTTGCAGTACTGCTTGGCGAGGTGGAGGCGGAGGCGGTCGTAGGCTCGGTGCTTCCACAGGGAGCAAGTGACGTTTTCTTTCTCGAGGATGGTGTTGGCGATGGCGAGCTTGGAGAGGCAGACGGAGGTGGCTAGGCCGGCGGGGCCGGCGCCGATGATCACCACAGTGGTGCGGTGGACGGTTTCCATCGAGTGGTTTGTGTGTGTGTTTGTTGTCGAAAGTGATGAAGGTGGTGGAGTTGTGTGGGTGAGTTTAGGTCTGTTGGAAGAAGGGAAGGTGGCCGGTAGGTGTATATTTATAGAGGGAGAGTAAGGGAGGGAAGGGTGATTAGGTTACAAAAGAGCTAAGGTCATGGAATTTGGAATTTAGGGCAGGAATCACTCTCACTCACTGCTGGATCTCTCCCTATACATGTGAAGTTGGCTTTTTTCAGTTTTGTTTTGAGTGACAGTTGGGTTGGGTTGGGTTTAGGAGTTCATGATCGCATTTTGTGGGTGATTATGGCCAAATTTTATATCATTTTAGGCGAGGATAATTACGAATTAAAATTGTGGAAGAAATCACATCGCGGGACAATAATTGAACTATGGATGAATTCGTGCATTCGAATCGGAGTAAGTTCTGACCAATAGTGTATGCTTTTAGAGTCGCGCATTGTGTTAATCAGGCGTGGGCAACGATTCGACATTATTTCTGACCGGGTGATATTGGATTGATATTTTTGATAAAATTCAATTGAATCAAATACATATATTCATATTCGGTTTCGATCCATGAATTATCTTGGTTTTGAATAAAAAAAGTGGACCCAACTCGTAACTGAATTAATACGGAACCCGATCAAACCAATCTGATTCCTAAACTCATATTTCCTTCATTTTTTTTATTCGAATCTATCTTCTTTTTTTCAATTTGATTTGGATCGAATTGAATTATGCAGAATTCACAATTAATTATTAACAAGTTAGTTTAATGGGTGATCATTATAGCTTAAAGAAGGATTTTCCGGCATGTTGGGTTGTCATAAATATGTTAACAAGTGACCAGTTTGTGACTTGACTTCTCAAAATAACGTTACGAGCATGCAAGCATGCATGCCACGTGCCCTCTCGTAAACTCATCAAGGATGTTATATTATCATTAACTTAATAGTTCCACATGTAATTTGCAAGTAATGTAAATAAGACCATCCGTTCAGTACGACTCAGTCGACTCTTGTACCAAAAATGATAATGTCTTATTACCCGTTACAACCATGCATGACTGCCACGTATATATATATATTCCACGTACGCAAAAACACAATTATAGTCATATAGATTACTTCGCGAGGCCTTTCGTGTTAAGATCCAACCGTACCGTTAGCATTTAATTGTTCTTAATTATCATCAGTTTAAGATGATAATTAAGCCAAACTCTCCAGAGAGCAAACCTCGTCGGAGAAGAAGGAGAGAAAAAACCGTCGCCGGAGAGAGGAACGCCGCGATAAGAAGCCAAACTCCGTTCGTAACCACGACAAAGAACTTTCCACCATCGGTCGTATCGAAACGACCACGACGGACGTTGGGTTTTGTGCCGTCGTCAGGTGTATCACGTTAGAATTTTGCATAAAATATGGAGTTCCACAAACAGGGTGCACGAAGTTTTTGGCTGCTTTTGTAGTACTTGTGGCAGCAGGGTATCTAAGAGAATATACTTTTCTGATTAGTAAATTGGTCATGTCCGTTTTCATTGTTAATTATGAGTTGATCTGAGAATTCAGTGGGGGATCATTAATTAGTACATAATTGGAGATTTAATTGATTTCGTGTCTATACATGCAAACCTAACCTTATGTAGCATCTTTGTTGCTTGAAAAATGTAACCGATTTTCTCGTGTGTATCGGGAAAGTAATCGATAAGATGTACAAGTGAAAAATTCTCCTTAATTTTAAGTCGATGCCTCTAATCAATCGGTTAGTTGTTGAACGATGTTTAGTTACTAGTATAACGGCTAATCAAAATAAGCCTATCGGATACGTACGAACACGTTATGTTTTTTCGTATATGACAAACAAAAAAAGTTGTATCCAACCAAATCATGTACAGATTATATAAGATCTCGAAGAACCCTTTTCTTATATGTCAGGAAGTCGGTAATTTGTCGTAGAACGAAGAATGTAAGATAACGGTCAATCATTTAAAATAACCACCAAACACTAATACATTTTTATATTCTTACGTCACTACAACAAAAAACGCTTTTTGCAACCAAAGAAAATAGTTGCCAAAAGCCGAAAATTGGTCGCTAATACTTTTTTGTGACTAAACTATTTTGTTAGCATAATTGGTCGCTATAGCCGCTTTACTAATTTCTATCCCAACCAAATTATTGATTGGTAGTGAAAAGGAAAGCAATCGCAACCAAATTTGCTCATCGTAAATTTTCCGATTTTTTGTGACTATTTTTTTATGGTTGTCATAGGTTTTGATTAATGGTGGCGAAATATAGGTAATTGGTCGCCAAAAATACTAATGCCAACCAATTCTTTTGGACACAAAAGAGAATTCATCCGAAAGTGTTAACTGCGACTATTCAATTTGGTTGAGAAATATACGCATGCCAACCAATTAGATATTTTGGAAACCAATTACTTTGGTTATAGAAGGTTGACAAAACCATTAAATTTGGTTGTGAAAAATATGTATGGCGACCAATCATGTAATTTAGTTTGTGGTTTTAAAAGTTCAATACAACCATAAAATTTGGTCGTGAAAAATTAATATGACAACCAATTCAATCACTATAAGGACCAATTAGTTTAGTTACGAAAATATAAGACAATCAAAAAATTTGGTCGTATAAAGAGCAAAGGACAACCAATAATTTTGGTTATGAAAGGTAAATATAATGAAGAAATTTGGTCAGGAAAAATAGGAATACCAACCAATCATATCTCCAAAATTAAATTGAAAATATAGTAAAAATGATTTAATTTCGTATTAACAGAATTGCATGGAACCAAAATCATGGTTACATCATTTTCATTGGACAATTAAATGTATACATATTCTGTTATACTTAAAATGACAGATCATTCCTTTCCAATGTCATTAAACAATTAATTACATGCATGATTCTTAACTCGAGCAACATATCCAATTGCTTCGGAACGACTAGCTCTGTATAACTTGGAAAAGTCCCGTTTTAACACCATCTGCAACCAGCATAATACAATAAACACCTAAGAAAGAGAATATGAAAACTTTCATGTAAACAGAAATGGAGTGAGAGCTAAGATAAGGTAGAATAGAGCCAGAAAGAAATGAAGGTGGCAAATAGGGGTGGGCATCCGGTTCGGTAAACCTGAACCGGACCGAACCGAAATCGAGTTGAACCGAACCGAAACCGAACTTTTGTTATTCGGTTCGGAATTCGGAAGAGAAATATGGGTAATTCGGAAACCAAGGTTCTCTCAACCGAAACCGAGGTTCCGAATTCCGAACCGAAAACCGAAAAATTGCCCCAACAGTTGACATGTCATGAATCCCAAGCCCAAAAGCCCCTTTGCCTATTGAAACCCTAGCCCATTCCCATCCCCCTATCGGCCCATCCCGCAAAGTGCAAACCCTAGCCCAGATCTAACCCACTATCACCCATCCCCGTCTCACAACACAACAGGCGTAGTCGCCGCCGTCAGCCATTCTCCTCCTTCCCCTGCCTCTTGGCTCTCCCTCTTCGACGACCGACGCCATCAAGCCACCACCTCCACCGTCTTCTCCATCATGATCTCCCACCTCCTTCACCGCCGAGTTAACCTTCATCATTGAAGTTATCTCCACCTGAATAAAAAACAGAGGCGATGACACTGAATCTCGAAGGAGAATACAAACCCAAAAAATGTCATGCATGCTTGGATTTGAACTCGTATGAACCTTCGTCATTGAAGTTATCACCATCGCCGTCGTCAATCGCTTCCGGCGGCCGTCCTTCGATTGGATTTCTTTACTTCGAACCCTTAAAGATCCGTGTTGCTTCGAGACTGGAGGCGGAAATCTCTACCGACGCTGTCGCGGCAGCTGCGTTGTGCTCGCCGTCGTTGGTCGCCGCCAGCTCGTTAATTGGTTGGAGGGAGAGAGAGGGGGGAAGATCAGAGGATTCAGCTGCATGCGTTGTGCTCGCCATCGCCAGTCGCCGCCGCCGTGTTGGTTGGTTGGAGGGAGAGAGAGGGTGGAAGATCGGAGGAGTCAAGGGAGAAGTGAGAGGGCGGAAGAGAGAGAGTCAGGGAGAAGTGAAAAGATAGGGTAGAGAGAGAGAAGGGGCTCGTTTGAGATAAGGCAGCAGGTGAGTCTTTCGGTTTTGGGCAGTCAAACCGAACCGAACCGAGCTATACTTCGATTCGGTCGAACCGAACCGAATTATAGCTCGGTTCGAATTCGGTTGGGGTGCTGGGTACTTTGGAAATTCGGCATGTCCTTGTTCGGTTCGGTTCAAACCGAACCGACCGAACGCCGACCCCTAATGGCAAAGCACATAAATTCATATCCTCTAGATGTGCAACTAGCTCCTGAAATTTCAAACATACGAGATTACGTACTTCATAAGAGCTTTTCATTAGGTAAATTTCTTACAGAACTTTAGGTGTTTCCATGTAGCTATGGTACTCAGGGATCCATCTTGACAGTAAGCTGTTCCTTAGCAATAGGGATGGCAATGGGGCGGGTTTGGGGCGGGTTTGTCTAAACCATCCCCATCCCCATCTTCAAATATCCAAACCCATACCCGCCCCATACCCATGCGGAGGAATGTTTTGCAAACCCATCCCCATACCCGTGGGTTTCGGGTACCCATGGGTAATACCCATCCCCGTACATCCAACATTATTATACCTAAAACTTACAAGAAAAGTTTTAATTATAACCATAAACAAACCTATTATATCACGAAGTCAACAAAACACAGTCATTTTCTAAATACGATTCAAAGAATATGATTCTAAAACATCCATTAATACATAATATAGACTATCATATTTTTTAAATTATTATGCTCTAACTCTTGATACATTTACTAAGTAATAATTAACTAACATAATTTTGTGACAAGGGGGAAAGTGAAAGAGTGGAAGGAGAATTGAGGGAAATGAATTAGGTTTTGATTAAGGTGGTTACTCAATTGCATTTCTACTATTTATTTTCTCGAGTTATC